ATAGCATCTTCTGATCAAGATACCTATGAATTTGCATTCCTAATATTCTCTTTGACTATATATTATTCTATCCCATATATTTTATCTTAAATGCAGACTTCAACTTACTCTTGCATTCATCAACATCGGATTGGTTTTTCGCAAGAATGAGCATGTCGTCAACGTATAGTACTAGAATGATGAGATTGAACGTTTCATTATTTCATATTTTTATGTAGACACAAGGATCATATACCCTTAGTAAAAAAAACTTTGTGCCTTCATGAAATCATCAAATCGCGTATTTCACTGCCTATGAGCTTGCTTTAGTCCATACAATGATTTCAACAATCTACAAACCAAACTCTCTTTGCCTTTGACTTCAAAGCCAACACGTTGTCTCATGTAGATCTTCTACTCTAAATATGCATAGAAAAAGTCTCTAACTACATCTATCTGATCCATAACAAGATCAAATATTGCGGCCAGTGCACATACTAGATGAATTGTAGCATACTTAGCTACAGGTGAGAAAATTTTGTTGAAGTTCACACCCTTCTCTTGTGTAAAACCTCTAGTCACAGTGTAGATTCTTACCTCGTCTCCTGCTAGATTGTCATTCAGCTTGTACACTCACTTGGAGTCAATCAGCGTCTGATTCGTAGGAAGCTCAACCAGCTCCCAAGTCTTATTATCAATCAGAAATTGCATCTTCCGCTTTATAACAGCATTTCACTCAAGCTTGTTGACAGAAGTTTGAGCTTCCTTGTATGAAGAAAGTTCATCTTCTTCCAAAATCAACGCCATAGCATTCCCATGTTTGACATTGAAGTCACAATCTTTGAGAATGGATGAATTTGCCCATACACCAAACCTTTCAAGAGCCCTACTAGCACAACGCAATCTCCTAGTAGACGTTTACGATTGATCTCTATTGTTTGAAACTGTTGCAATATGCTCATCAACGATAACTTGCTCATGTTCCTTCTATTCTTGATACACAAGTGTTATTTCTTGTGATAGATCATTAGTAATATAATGATCAAACTTTCTCATAACGACATCCATGACTGAAGATTTCTCCTTGTCAGTATGAGTAGCCTTAAAATTCTTCCCCTCTTTCAATAAACCAAGCTCATTAAAAGAAACATTCCTACTGACAATCAGCCTACATGCATTGTAACATTATATTGCACTAGCATATCCAAGAAAAAGATATTTCTTGGATGTAGGATTTAACTTAGTCATTTGCTCCTTTGGTGTGAGATGATAAACAATACAACTAAAAAATTTCAAGCGATTCTAATCCGCCATCTGTTTATGCCGAAGTTCAAACGGTGTGAAAAAATTGATTGCACTAGAAGGAGAAAGGTTAATCACATAAACTGTGATGTTGACGGCTTCAACCCAAAATTCTCCTAGTAATCCGAATTCTCTTAGCATACATTGCACCTTCTCCAACACTGTTCTTTTGAGTCTCTCAAATCAGCATTTTGTTAGAGTGAAATGACAAGTATTTCTCTCCTCTGTACAATACCTTTGAAACTCCTCAAAAGTATATTCGACTCTAATCTGATCTCAAATATTTTACCCTCTGGCCAATCTGAGTCTCAACTTGTATGCGCCAAGTTTTGAAGGTGGGAAATACCTAAGACTTGTGGGTAAAAAAATATAGCCACATATACTTAGAGTAATCAACTATAAAAGATACATATTAGAGATTTCTTGAGAATGAAGCAATATGAGATGGATTCCACACATCACTATGTACATACTCCAGTATCTCCGTAGAACTATGAGTTCCAACACTAGAAGCTTGTCTACGTTGTTTGCCCATGATACAATGTTCACAAATTGCCAAATCAACTTTATCCAAAACTGGTAACACTTTTTTTTCATCAAGAAGTCACCGTTACCTATCACTCATTTGGTCTAGTCTGGAATGTCATACATGAAACATCTCTACGCATGATCTGATAAAGTTAACTTTTCCACAAATAGTGGAGGATTTTTGACCTGATTGTATTCTGATTTATGATGATCTTTGAATGTTGTGTTGCAGGCATATAGTAGACATATTGAAGATGGATGTACAAGTCAAAGTTGGAGATGATGGCTCTCCAAAACAAAAAAAAGATTGATAACGTCTTACAATTGATGATGTTATTATATATTTGTGAAAAATTTTGCTTTTTTAGCTCAAGGTTTGGCATCTATGCTAGACAAAGATAAAATGAAGATGAAAAAAAACTCAAGAGTTCGTTTGTCAAATCTTGAATTAAAATTGAATTTATATATGCATAAATACCCAAGAAATACTATTCTAATTGATTTATCAAGTTAGATACTGATGCGCTATGTACTGAAATGGATGTCATATTCCAACAAAAATGGAAGGATGTATGACGTTCAGTTGGTTTTTACTCTTGAAATGTATCTTCAACAGATTCACTTTATCACATAGCGAAATGAGAAAAATTAATTATTGCGTTGGCAACAAAACACTAGAATTATTACTTGAATGATAAATAGTATGTGGTGAATATCTATATAAACAACAAATTCTACAAGCAAAATGACTCCCTTGCTTTAACATGAAGATTGTGTATTTGAAGTGCAAAAAATAACCTGCAAATGCTCTCATATGCCTATCATGTCTTTATCATATTGCAAAATTGAATATTCAAGCCAATTGGTGAAACATTATGACACATGTCATAAAGAAATATAAAAAATCATGAGAGCATTACAAGTTGGAAAAGGAAAAATCCAAGGTTTGACGTTTCACAAGCATTGTATGCGAATTTTGTAACACCAAGAATTACAAAAAATGATTTCATGAAGATGTCATTATACAATCATTAATGAGGGGATGGAAAATACCTTGGAGAACCACAAATGCATTCTATTGGTACAAAATACTAAAGTATGTTGAGAAGTTTAATCAAAATTGTGTAATTAGTTAACAAAACAAGATAAATCATAATAAACTAATCGATGTATCACAAACTTTTCCTCTTTCAAAACAACGATGGCAATATGTCATCATTACCCTATATGTGAATATAAATTTAACATTGATAGGATCTAGTAATTTTTAATTAATAAAATATGAAGTATCATGTGACTTACCATTGAGATTTAATTCAAATTTTATGTTTCTTGATTGAATAAAAAAAATTATATTAATTGAAATTTTCAACTTGTCATTTAGTGTCTTAAGTCAAAACAAATACTTATTTTAATAGATTAAAAATTAAATTTTGAAATTTTTCTTGATCCAAAATTTTGCTTTCTGAAATATCAAGAGAACAAATATTGCTCCAAAAACTTAATTTATATATCTTTTTCAATTAAAAGCTAAATAACTAAACTTAGTCATGACTTAAAAAATATAATAAAATCTAAATCTCTTTTTATAACAACTGTTAATATATTCATATTAATTTTATCATTCAATTAAGAAAATTTACTAATTTTTATTTCTTTAGTTGTAATAAAGTAAACTAAGCACAAATTACTTTCTTAGTATATTTTTGAATTCCTGAATGACATTCTTTGGTATTATAGACTAATGCTTGAAGTCAATCTTTTCTTGGCTCTTGGTTCTAACATGAATAGTAACCTTTGGAGTAGAAGATGATTTGAGCGTTTGGTATCTCACAGGGAAAACTCCAGGTTTCTTGATTTCAGAGAACCGTTTATCAATATAGGTGGGAACCACTCTATCACAATAATTTTGTAAAACTGCCTTCTTTCTCATATCATTCTTTCCATGAAATATACTCTCTTCTAGGTAAGAGTACACTCTTCATATATACACTTCAATCACTTATAACAATCTCTACATTACATCCATCATCAACTGTTTTTTCTTCTACAATTGTAACCCATGTATATGTATATATAAACATATATAAACTATGTTTCATTGTCAGTTTGGTGATATTATACTCAATAGAATGGGTATCATTACTAGTTTCCGTTCCAATATGTACTGAGTCAAGACATAAGTCCAAGATTCGAACTATTTCTTCGCTTATATCATTTCCTTTTATTATAACCTACACCAGTGGCTTCCGTCCCAGAGGTTCGTACTGAATCTGCTAACCAATCACATCGCATGTACCTTGGTACATGCGATGAACATACCCAAAAAGTGGAAGAAACGATACCAAAGACGTTGTACAAGCCCTTGAACAATGTTCAGTCTACTACTCAGTAGATCTACTGTAGGTCTGTTTGTAGCCTTTGTTTGCTGCAAAGTAGAATATCGCGTGACCATAGAAATTCATCCTCCTTAAAAGTAAACTGACCAAGCACCAAAGGCAAATTTCTGATGTCGAAGCTCATGAAGAAGTGCAATATTCCTGCGTCATCTTGAAGGCATGCCTGTCATCAGAAGCGTCTAGTATCAAGAATATCATACTGAATTTCAGATAAACTCTTTGAGTTCTAAGAAAAGAAAGTTCTTCTGCAATGAAAAGGGTATCAGACGGATTTCAACTTAGGCCCTGGAGATTGACAAACAACGTAGGACAGGGATGTTTAAGGACACACAACTCTACAATACATAGATATGTTAGAAATTTACATACTACAGATAAGTACTGCCGCCTTCGGGACTTCATCCAAAACTTGGAAGAACGAATTTCACATGTTGCTCGCAAAACTAGTAGCGCTAACAACAAAACTTTTACAAATCAGGATGCTTCATTTTAGAAAAGGAGAGACGCAGCTCAGAGTGTACACAATGAAGTAGAGCATGTCTGAGCCTTAGCAAGAAGGGAACAATACATCAGAATGTTTAACCAACAACCACGAATGATATGGACACAAGAAGCCGAGGGCCAAGGATTAGACAGATAGGAGTAGAAATCTGATACCAGATTCAATTGAAAATAATACCACAACACAGACCTTGCTTTTTGAGCATGAAGCACGGTCATATACACTCCAAATAGGGATCTAGCCCACAAATACATAATAAGAAACCTCTGCAAGCTTTGCTCCATTGAAGCCCAAGGCAAAGAGAATGAAACGGCAAGTTGAATTCACTGGATATCAAAAATTGGTACATCAGAATCTCGTAGTCGTGACAGACAGACACAACAGCTCCCAAGTCACCTTCGTGACGTCCTGACATCAAAAGACCCGCGGCCCTCAAAACTGGAATGGATTACAGTCGGACAATATGCTATTCACCGGCCCTCTGCTCAATCAATGCAGCAACAGCCATTTCTACTTTTACAGGTAATCCACGCACAGCGCTATGTACTGAAATCCGCAAGTCAGGTTTCAATATTTTCACAAGTCACGTTCGAGATGGAGCCTCTGAGAAAAGATAGACCATGCACAATTCCTGGCAGATGAGATGCAAGATACTCACTCGATCACAACTTCCAAAAACCATATGAACTTTTTTGTGGTTCTCCATTTCGCAAGCTCGAACTCGGGGGTTCAGCATGTACACTAGTCTGCAAAACTAACTTGGATGACCTCAGAAACACCCGAGAAGCACCCTCCATTTCGATGCTCAAGTCCACGTCCAGTGGCCTGCTGAGTACCACGAGGTGAGGCGGCAGCAAGAGCAGCAGCGGGTGTGCCCTTGAATCACTTCAAGTGGCATCACGAAGATAATCAATATCAACAGTTAAGTATGTCATCCCACCGGTCTTCTGGCACAATCCACCCTACAACCACTTCAGCTTCAGGGAATAATGAGGGTCACCACAAAGAGTACACGTCCTCGCTTAGGGTTTTTTGGGGGAAAAGAGGGGTTAGGATGGGGTCACTGTGGTGTGGTTGAACAAGGTGTAGTGCCAGCTGGGTTAAGTAAACCCTGTCGGGCCTAACTTCAGACAGATTACAGGGACAAATCTGTTGTAGCAACAAACTTAAATTGACCCCGAAATGGGCAACATTATATCTATCTACAGTCAATAGAGAAACTATTTCCACTCAGAGATGTGTCTGGGCCACATTTGCCTGGTCATAGCTGGGGTATTTTCAATTTTGGATTTACGTCTATCGATGATTACTTTCATCTTTGGAACCAAACTGGGGTGTCCGTCAAGAAGTTCTGCTGAACCAAATGCAGAGACACGAGGCCCATTCGCATCAAGCCCCATGTTCAAACCCGAATCAAGTGATTCTCTCCTTCCCCAGGAACTCCGTCTATCCCAAGCTCCGGTTGGACTCGTGAGGTACGTCGGAGCAGCTTGATAAATGTGCCCATTGCTGCCTCCATTGCTGTGGATCGCTGCATGACCATTAGCGAACCCAGAAGGTGTTGAATGCGCCAGACTCTTGGTCACACCGCTATATAAAGGTACAGAGAGCCTTCTGTTGTGCGCAATATCCGCCTCTGTTGGACTGACGGAACTCCTAGTAACGCTGGAACTCCACTGCATAGTTGAGCTTACATCGATTCCCCGCTTCAGGTCCTGAAGCTCACTGTCCAAGCGTGAGAGTTCCTGCAAACAAGGATTCCGATTCTCCATCAGAACTCAATCCACCGACGACTCTCATGTAGAATGGACTTCACACACCCGTCGTTGACCAGCAGGTTCTCTCAGAATCTACCCGATCAAGGAACCGTCCATTATTACCAATAAATAACAATCCACTCCACGATCATTTATGGGGACCATAGTTCCAGAAACTAGTGAAACTTTATTCCAAGCATTTGCTCTTGAGAAAATTTGGTAATGTCACATTGTCAATATTTAATAGAAAGGCCTGCACTGTAGTGTAGTGTGCCACAGGTGGTGTACAATATCTACAATTATATCGTTCCGTCTCGAACCGTTTTCTTCCTCTGAACCCTTTCTTCCTCTGCGTCGTCACCATGTAGAGTAACTTCCCAAATTCCGTCTCGAGCGAAGATGAATAACCCACCGTCTACTTTACTCTGCGCTATATATACTATTCTCTATTAGTGCAGGAGCTCGTACCCAACCAGCGTTAAGATCACCTTCAAGGCAGGTGCACTTAACAAGAACAGAGTAGTAAGCACTTCTAACACAACAGTTTGATTTCCCGGATTATAGACAGCAGAGTAGGAGAATCCATAGTATAACGGGGATTTTGATAATCACAGGGATTTTGACCCTAATTGGAGCAACAAAAATGGCTTGTCCGGTGCACGTCAGAAAAATCATGAAGTAGAATAGGATGACCGGTACCTTTCGCAGCATATCATTGTCTAAGGCGCTGGCTTTGTCAGGCCTTGTAGTACCGGTCCAGCAGTCACGGTTGTCTGGATCCTCCTCTGTATCACTAAGTTCACTACCAGCATCGACACCCGCTGTGTCTTCTCTGTCAGTCTCTCTTTCATCCCCTCTGTCTTCACCCCATTTTTGCCGCGTGCGACTTTCCGCGGACCTCGGACGCCTTTTCTGCCATGTGGGACTAAGGTCTTCTGGTGGTCCAAATACCATTGGAGGAGATCGGCCCCTGGTCACTATACAACCGTTGCATTGATCTTGTCCCATAGAAGTTGGCCTTCCACGCACTGAGTATCTGCTATCGACTGATCCTGGAGTCTTTATCCGTCTTAGCTTTTCAGGAGTATGGCATCCAATATTATAATGGCATCCACTACTATAAACACTACCATCGCCTGATAGGATCCCATCAACATCAACTGTTCTATCCTGAAACTTCGACCTTGGGTTTGTTACCCTTTCTGAGTTGTTCCACACCTGCATATTGCTGCCGTAACTGTTATCTACCGCACGAACATTTCTCCATCCATCTCGATTGGGAGTTCTGGGAGAACCTGCTGGCAACTCACTTTCACTACGAACAATAGTATCGCACCAAGCCCTGTTTTCTTTCGCAAGAGCTAAGTCAGGGTTGGGATTGGGGTATCTCGGACCTGTAGTCGTCAATGGACCTGAAGTTGTCATGTTTTGCTGCTTATGCAAAGTGGGGGCCGGACTAACAGGTACTAGGCCTCTTGCAGGCGGCATGATCCCCTCCTCTATCATGATTCCTTGCTGGGCAGCGATTTTCAGGATCTGGTTACGATTCAGCCCCGAACACTCCAGCACAAGCCACAAGTTGTTCAGTGCTTCTCTTTGGTCATGGATGATCTGATCTCTAACAGCCATCTGAAACTGGAGCTCCATGTTTGTCATTCCCTGAAAAGAGATGTATAATTATACCTATTAGTGACGATCATATCTCTAGAGGGAACAACAACAACCTTCAATGGGCAACAAGAAGGCAGAGTGGTCATGGTAGTTAGATCCAGACATTATCTTAGCACATACCAGCAAACGATACTGGCTGAGAATGCGAAGAAAGGTCTTATTCCGATCACTGCTTATGGCCTCGTCAATCATTCGTTGTAACTGTTTGCGCTGCGCTTCGTTCTGCTCAATGTCCTGTAAAAGGCCAACCGAACCGAAGCTTATTTCCGTTAAGCTGTAAGCATGTAGAACACAAAGTTAGACCTCCTACATCAACATAAAATTTAAAGAAGTGTAGGGAGATATTGGTCCGATCATACCTGTCGGTAATGAGATCCAGCTTCGTCGTTGTCCCTGATATTATCTAGAACAACTTTTCGCCTGTTACTCAGCTCTTCCAGTTTCGCTGTATCCTTGCCAATTGACTGCGGCCACTGAAAAATTCAATGTTCAATTTGGAGCTCTACATGACTTCAGTTTGAGCATACGTCTAATAGTTGCAGGACATGACTGCGACCATTGACTCGTTATCGACGACAAAACAAGTGAAATTATGCATTCAAAAGCACTAGAAGCTCTATGCTTCTTCAATCGTTCAGAGCACCCAGGCTTTAAGATAAAATCTTTATTCTGTTCACCAGATAGGAGAAAGGTTCCGTGGCTTTTGTAGGCAACTGCATGATCGATAGGCTATGAAAAGATTGTGCAGAGCGTGGTTCGCTTTCTCAATTCGGCTAAGGTTGCCCTAGCATTTTGCTAGGGCAAGCTAACATTTTGATATGGTCTCACTTCAGGCTACTAGAATATCATAACTGGCACGTACGAGAAGTGATTCCCTTGAACACTTTGAAGAGGTCTGAACAAAGACAGTATACAGTAACACTTTTCCAAAGAGCACAAAGTGCATATTGCACAAAAAGGCCATGCTAACATCTGCAGCACGCGTAATCCAATGCTGTAGATTGTGTACCTGCCCTTCTGCAATAAGTTCATCAAGCTGCTGAAGCTCTGCTCTGTTGTGTAGATTCGTATCTTCAAGCTCAAAAAGAGCTTTCTGCAAATTGATGCGTTCTTCTACGTTCTCGTTGATATCGTGACTTAAAACATCTAACCACGACAGTTCATCATCAGCAGTTTTTTCTGATGTTCTGGCACTCAATTGCGTCTCTTTCTCTGCCAGTTCCCTCCTCAGCTGACTCACCTCCACCTGAAACAGGGTCAAGGCATTAGATGCAGCAAAGTAGCTCGTATTGCAAGAATGATCATATATTGTAGGACGATGAACTTAAGAACAACACAATTCTATTCATACCTGTAAGTTGTCAATCATTCTTTGATAATCTGCAACATGGGCATCGACCGTTCCCACATTCATCTGCCAAAGACGGGTATATCACCGCCACTTTAGCAATGATAAACTTTTATGAACTGCTCCTAGCGGATTTCAAGCAATAACGACTGAATGAGCAAAATTTACAGGGAATGTATGCCAACTGCAATTGTCTGGCTTCTGGACCAGATACACATTTCCAACCAGAAATACTGACCTGGATATGTGTCTTGATCTCCTTCGCTCTATCAGCGTATTTCAGTGTGTTGATGGTTTGGTGGTATTGGTCATCTCCGGACGAAACAGTTGCTACCATAACTGTTCGAGAATTTCCACTCAAGCCATCTTTTAGGAGCCTTGTCAACTTGCTGCAACCGAAGACGTTTCAACAAAAGGTCATTACGAGAATTGTCGACACCAAAAGAGGCAGAAATTCGCAATCTGCACTCCAGTTTATATGACTACTCGGCAAGTTGGTATCTCTCGAAGTAAAATTTCATGCAGCATGTTATTCCAAAGAAAATATCAGTATCCGTTCTGGTATCACCTAACAAAGCTTCTAGTCAAAAGGATCTCTCACCTATTTCGGTATGGTACATAGGCCAGTCCCTTCTTCTGCGTCTTTCCAAGGGCGTTGATACAGTTGGCTAAGGCCAGCAAAGATCGATTGATATTTGCTCCATCCCTCAACTTCTGACCAGCATTATTCGTTTCTGAAGCTCTTTCACTAAAAACACGATAAAAAATCGAGACCACAAAATGTCAAACTTCAAAGACAAAAAATTGGGATGAACTTCTTCTAAGCATAGGTAAGACGTCGCTAAGTTTCAAGAGAGAAAGACAACAGTCAGATACACCTACCTGCCAGCTAGATCCACCAGTGCAAGTTTTCCTCGAAGCACCTGAGCTCGGTATGTGTTTCGTTGCTTCCTCTTGACAACGATTTCCAGGACGGCATGTGATCTGAAGTTCCAGCCAAGCAGATACAGACAATGGAAATAAAAGGGTCAATTTGTAGCCAATATAACAGTCCATGTGGATCAGCACGTAAACCTTGGAAACAGCCGCCAGTATGACTCCAGTATGGTAATTGATGAAGTTAATGGAACACCTAATTTCCTCCGAGACGTGTAGGCTTCATATAACTTTCAAAGAAGCTTCTATTCAAGACGACCTACTGGTCTGAAATATGTAAGCCTCAAGTGTGCCCGAAGATAACCACTGCTCGGAAGAAGTAGACCTAGGTGAGTTCAAAATCCAAATCTATTATCCAGAGCTACAACACCTACTGATCCTCAACCGAAGAGTTTTATTGAACATCATAAGATAGTTTAGAACGAAAACTGACCTTGACGAGGTGGCGTTGGCATCGGTACTTTCTGTCTTGCGTCGGGCGTTGCCTTGATTGAGAAGTTCCAGAATTTTCTCCGCAGAACTTACCTGCATTGCAACAAGTGACTTACATTTGAGACCAACTGATAGTGCTGAAAGTATGTAATTTACCTAGTCCTCACCGGAGCTCAGTCATTCAACAAACCAAGGTCTTTCGAAATGTTCCCAGTAACTTGGCTATGGCACTGAGGACATGAAGGAGTCCAGACTTGCGCTTCTCCAACCGGAGAAATTGACAGCGTGGAGCATATAATGCAGCTAATGCTTATACCTTAGAGTAAGTCTACTGTTCCAATAACCTAACAATACCCAGCAAGCCTGACTGCAATAGTGATTGACGTCGGGACAACACATTGGGACTAAGTTCCACTAGATTTTACACATGTTGTGAATGCGTCAATAGGATCCACCTCCGATGTGTATATCAACAAGCGTATTGACAAACACTCGCATTAATTTGAAGGAATGATATGTGCTGTTGAAGTATTTGCAGCAAAATCTCTTGAAAGGAGAGTGGAAAGCAAAGAAGAAGAAGCAGCAGCTTTTCATCTTTTCTCTCGGCTCAGACAACATGTGTACAGAATTTGATCCTGCAGTCATTCAAACCTGGATGCGCTTCAGGCCGGCGACGGTTATTCCTTGATCAGGATCCTCCCGAAGTTCCAAATGTCCAGATCTTGGTTCTAGAAGATCGTATATTACCTACAAAATGAGATTCGAGATTTAGGGTACAATGTTAAGAAACTCAACCTGATACCAGAGCTATAAATATAAGTGCTCTGCAGCTAGTTTATTCGTACCTCGTTATACACCTCCAGATATGAACATGTAACATCAAATTCGTGCTCAGCTTCTTGCTTGACAATCAAACCAAAAATAGCCTGCAAGCTGAGAACCATGAGACCCGGATCTTCTGGTGTCCCAGCCATTGTATGCGTTTTACCGCTGTTAACACCAAAATACAAACGTCAGTTCCAAAACCGGGAATTGACGATTGTGACATGAATACGACGTCTCCACCCGCCGTCCGATATGACTCTGTCATCAATATAGCCTAGAGAAGTACGCCGTTGTTATTCAGAAAATTCATTGGACATTCTGGTATGTGCGTGGGCCACGTAGTGTTTCCAATCAAAAATTCAAGAACTTCATGTGTAGATGTCAAGGTCGATGTGCTTGATTGCATCCACATGAGCAAGCACCTCACAAATCTCAATTTTCAGCTATTCGATTTGAGGTGTGTCGCAAGCATATCACTTACCTTCCCGTGGCTCCATAAGCAAAAACAGTGGCGTTAAGACCTCGAACCACTCCTTCAACCATAGAACCCACCGTGATACGGTAAACATCCTGGGCAAATACATGTGTATAACTTCGTCATATTGAAAGCGGGATTGACAATTATTCTGTTATTACATCGATCCGCTTAAAGCTGAAGTTCACGTGACAAAAATAAAAAGTTACATCAAAATTCCAGAATCTCACATCTACTCGTAATATTCTCTTCTAAATATTCATAGTTGTGAAAATTGCAGCTAACTCATCAGCTGCGAACTCACTAGCTGAAATAACTCATCAGCTTAGAAACATACATGCACAAGTACAGTGTTGCTTAGACGATAAACAGTCTCCTTCAATATCGTAGATTCTATAGTCATCTGGTTATACGAGTGGTGAGGGAACATTTGTTTGTTCATTTGTACCTCAGATTCGGCACGCTACGGACCCTTCTTTGTGTTGTTTGAAGATAGTAGAGAAACACTTTTGAAAGCTGAAGTAATATACCTGATTGGTTGCGGATGCACCGAACGCGATGTCGAAGGCATATTTCTTCTCTTTGCTCCGACCCTGTACACGATCGAGGTACTCTTTCTGAGTATCCGGATCTAGTACCACCACCACCTGTCCAGAAACCACGTCTTTAGATATCGCAGGCCATAAGACCTCGGTGAAGTGGTCATGACTGACCAGCTGAAAGGAAGGCTTACACTCCACGACGTCAATCTTGCGCCTAGCGCACAGATGTGGGTCTGAATTGCGAACCTTGTCATCTACGACGCGGAGGATGTCCCGCGACTTGTCCTTCTCTCTGTGCGTGATAGGGCGGCATCGTACCGCTACCTGCAAGAAATGCGAAACTCGGTCAGAATCCTACCAACGACATGTGAACTCAGCTCATTCTGTCCTGACAGGAACTACTGACTTGCGTGAAGTTATGATTGTCATCTGTAGCTGGAAGCTACAGATGTCCAACACTACTTACCAGCAAAGTGGTGGCTTGCTTAGACTCGGGAGCTCGAATAGTGCGCATCATCATGTCGCAAGAATAGTGGTGGTGTCGAAGTTAGGGACAAGCTGCATTCCATCCAGCTTGTGACTTCTCCACACCAAACTCTCCCAACTCGTGGGCTCAGCATAAATCTGGTGAGGGGGAGATTGAGCCTGGCAAGGATTCTGCGGCCTCTTAGACAGCTAATCCAGCTTCTACCTCAGGCAAAGTCCTTGCGGGATGATGTTGGTAAGACCATTTCATGTGACGAAGAAGAGAAAGGAGAATAAACGAGGCTGTCTCGGAGATTGTCGACTAATAGACCGTCCTCGGAGAAACTGTCGACTAAGAGATCGTCCGAGGACAGAACTTTCAAAGAATTTTGGCTTGAGAAAGAACTTTTTGTTTGACATGGAGATTTTCCGTCCGGCGATCAATCCATTCTAATTTCAACATATTGAACACTGAAAAGAGAAGCCCGGCTGATGACATTGTGTGACAATTACTGAAGGGACATGAAAGGAGCTTCTAGTCCTCCGAACTGACATCAAACAAAGACTGAATCGAAGTATTCAATTGCGTTTGTAAGAGTAAAGAAGTGGACATTAAAAAGACGCCTACCTCGAGGATACACATTTCCAATGTGTCCTTCTACCGGATATCATTGCAAGAATTGCTACACCATCACATTGCCCGCTGCATTGCCCGAAGGCAACAGTAAGCCACCGAGAAACTCTTCACCAGGGGCAGACTGTAGGGAGAGTCATGCACCTTTCTCTCCCTCACTTGGGATCTATAGTTCCTCTAGATTCAGAGCCAGCGCGCTTTAAGAATAATCTACGGGGAGAGAATATTACGGGAATCGCTTTGACATGCCAACGTTCGCCCACTACGCAGAACGAAAATTCCGAAGGCCACATGGAGTGGACTTCAGGCATGCCAAATTGGACACGGGATCGAGGGCAGGGAGGGGCAATTGGGCGAGTCGAAGGTAAGTTAAAATTCAAGCTACAGTGCGCGGCGGGGAAATGCACAAAGATTTCGACTTCTCAGATCACAGGATCCGCTCCACGAAGTGCGAGCAGCCATAAGTCACGATGCCACAACGCAGAGCGCAGCATCATCCGAAGCAGGAAATCACAGCGACGGCATCGCTGGAGCGCGGAACAAGCGAAAACCCCACACTGCACAGTAGCTGACGCCACCACACTACCCGCCCCATGCAGGCAGTCCGCGGGATCAGCATCAAGCGCACAGGCGCTCGCTCGCTCACTCACGCGCACTCTCGCGGCACAAACTGCGCAGACGTGCGCTGCTGTACACACGCATTCGATCGACCATCCGGCCCCGCGGAACGAGCTCGGGCCGGGCACACGCCCGCCAACGCGAGAACAATCCACCGCAGAGCGCAATTGCCCGTCGCTGCCCTTGCCTTGCCTTGCCTGGCCTGGCCTTCCCCGCCCTCCCCGCCTCTCCTCGCCTCGCCTCAAAATCCGTCCCACTCGCCACTCGCAATTCTGCCGGCAATTCGACGCCTCCCTCCCTCCCTCCCTGCCTCCCTCCACGTTGCCAACTCGGCCCCGGGCCTTCGCAATTCCCAAAAAGACTTCTCGCTCGCGATGCGCTTCACAGCGGCAAACAGTCGCCGAGTTGTCCGAGTGACAGAAAGGCACGGAGCTGCGACCTCTCTCTCTCTCTCTCTCTCTCTCTCTCTCTCGCCGCTCGGTGCGTTCGTGCTCCGCAGCAGCGAGCGAGCAAGCAGGCGACCATGGCCCGGGCACGCTCGCAGCAGCCAGCTTAGGAAAGAGGGAAGGCAGCGGCCAGCCAAGCCCCGGGCCCCAGACAGAGAGTCCAGACCAGCCCAAGCCCGCGGGCCTGCCGGTGCTGCTGCCGCGGCAGTTAACAGGCTCCCTCCCTCCCGCCCCGGCTCCCAGGAACAGCGGCGAGATGCCGAGGGAGCGCCGAGGGCAGCAGCGTCGCCGTGGCAAGAGCGCGCGCCTGCCCGGGCTGATTGGCTTCTGCTGGGCCCCACCCGCGAGCCGACGCTCGTCCGGTGGGGATGGATGAGACGCCTTGCCTAAACACCCCCCCCCCCCCCCCCCCCCCCACCCACGGTGGACCCCACCCGCGCGGGCCTGGCCGAGATCCAGGTCGTAGCTCCCCGAGCTCGCCCCATGCTTGTTTCCCGACAGTTCGTTAAGTCAGACCTAGGTCAATCTTTAACGGTTATTCAGTCAAGGTTAGGTTTGGTGCCTTGGAAATTCCCCCCCTCCGCCCCTCCCTTGCCATGCCTGTGTCACGTACATTATTGGCTTCCGCCATACATCTACGACGCCTACCCGCGCTCGCACTTTCCGCCATTCTTCATCCATCCTGTCCGCGCCTTCCTTCTCGTGGGTCTCTCCATTCCTGCCTCTTCGTTTCTCGGCCGCTCATGTTTTCTCCTCCTCTCATGAATATGTCGGGCGCCATGCCGTGGATTCGGCTGCCACTTCTTACCGAGTTCAGACATATTCCGAGTCCGATCTCCGGCTAAGCGTGAGACGTGTTTGGGACTTGCGAGTCCATTTGCCCCAAGTAGATTAGGTTTACATAATCGGTCAATATCAAATCATCACAGATGTGGTGAAACGTGGGTCCATGTGTTTGATCCATGGGATTTATTTATCACGACATTATACGAGCCGAGCCATGTAGTGCATGGCCACTTGTTAAATGGGGATCTCAGAGTCACGGACTTCCAGTTTTCATGGGCTCCTGGAGGCCACACTTTTGAGCTTGATTGCTCAGTAAAGGAGGTAACGGGGACAAGTTACTGACTCCCAAGTATGCTCGGCATTAAATGGCACACCAGGAGATGGCTTCCCCCAAGACGGAGGGCCTTGAAACCATGGGAGGCGGACAGTATCATGACATCCCTTTTCACTCTTTCTTCGAGAGCTAATTCTATTCTATCCCGGAGACTTTAAGGGCCGGTATAATGGAACGGCGTGGCAACCACAGACTCAAAAGTACAGAACACTCTTCTCGGACCCAGCTGTCGTGAGTACTGGACCTGGAACCGCAGATTCTACGCTCGTAGAATCTGATGTACATAGACTGACCAACACCCTGTTGGGTGCTCATCATTGTTAACGCATCATCGCCTACGCAGCACTTGAAATTCAAATCCCAGATTACCGAAAGCTTGATTATTTGCGGGGCCATGATAGACCTCGTGGATGGCTTCTGGCCATGGGTGCAGAGTCGCAGACAGCTTTGATTCAGAGGTCCCAAGGCTTGAACACAACTATTCTGTGCTCGCACTCAGTGACTCAGTTCAAGTCACCACCAGCTCAAGGACACCGATGATGTTTCACTGTTCCACCAAAAGGCCCGGGGCCTGCGAGATCCAAAAGATTCTCGGGAACACCTACCGGCAGAATTTGGAAATTTCTGCAGGAGGGATTTGGGCACCGGCTTGTAATCCGGCAGATTTTCTTCACGTTGGAGTACAAAGAGCACACAAGTACTGATCATTTTCCCCAGTAATTTAAAACGGACAGAAAACCATTGTCTGGAAAGAGAGTCGACTGTAAACAATATATAGGCTTATATCCAAATTCAAAGAACAATGAATATAAGGCACGAAGGAAGATGAGCTCCCATCAACCCGAATGTAGATGAGACCAGGCGACTGGGGCTTATACTATGAGGCTTATACAAATAGCACCAACAGTGTAAAATATGTCAGACTGCAAATAAATTTATCATATATCTTCTGGAATTCAAGGGGCAATCCTATTTTCTTCAGTTACAACGTCTGTAACTGGCGATGATCTATATGATCGCAATTTTGGTCTTATTGAATATCAAATCCAAAAAATTAAGATAACTGCAAATTGCGTTCTTGTTTTTGTTTAATTGCAAGTCACCCTTCCTCCTCCCATGGTCACAGTGGACAACTTGCTGATCACATGTAAATTTATTATGCACGCGTGCAAGAAAATGTGATATGTTAATTTTTTAACATTCTCAGAAAATCATGAATAATATTAATGTAAAATACTTAGATATCATTGACATAAAGGATCTATAATTCTATTATCTATAGCAGTTCCTACATAAAAAGAAAACTTCCAGATATAATTGAATAGATTTCAAGAATAATAATATGATAGTTCAAAAGAATGATGGTAAATTGGGAAACTTGAAGGTGAGTAAATTATCATCATGAAAATATCAAGAAGATGTTCGTGTTGGTGAAGATTAGATAACAATTGGTATTTACCGACTATGAACTTCTTATATGAGTCCCTGACACTTTTGAAATACGAAGATTCCCGATGTACTGGAATCTTTGTTGCATCCAACGCAGCACTCAACATGCTGGGTCATGCTAGATTTCAAGCCAATTCAACATTAGTTGTTGGTGAACGAGGAGTGAGGGATATTATTGCCAGGTTGCCATATTTGGCCCATGCATTCTGTTCATGTAAGAATCTGAGATAGTGTCTATCTGCGTATTTTTCTTGTGTATAAATAATTTCGAAGGGAATCTGCCTTACGGTCGGAACCTCCCTCCATTCCTCTGATTCCTGAAAAATGAATGCGCTTTACATTGCATTGAACAAACATCAGAAGCAGCGCAAAGCAGTGTTTCCGCCCTTTGCGGTTGAACATCTGCGTGAAGTGTCTGACATGATTCTATCCACTCGGTGGATCAAGCTAAAGATCCTCAATTCCTCGTTGACTCAATTCCCTTTAACTTCCTTCTCCTTGGAAACTTCCACAAAGAGCATTAAAACAAGAGCCCCATTTGAGCACTTCATGCAGCATAGAGGGACGATGTTTACATATCTTTACCATATTCTTCTCGGCCCTCATTATTGATATGGACCTCCTCCAGTATTTTGACCCTTTGACTCCACAGTTACCCTTGTGATCTACTGGGCTAGCTCCATTGACACGTTTGGTTTATCCTTGTACTTCACACGGGGCTTCCGATCAGTTTGCAATACTACGTCGTTTCTCTCGAAACCACATAGATTTCGAATGAAAATCGCAATACAGGCTTCTCACGCATGATTTGCTGGGACTCTTGAAGATCCTACATGGAAACAATTCCAGATCTTTATCCTTGAGAGTCTCGCCGCATGTGCTTGCCAACAACCTCCACCCATGGACTCACAATCTCCCCGAGGCAACGAACCATCCTTGTCGGATCTTACTTTCTATCATTGCTTTCTAATTCTTGGTATCTGTAACTATGAGGTTTGTTATGGTTTACTTTGTTCCTTTTAGTCAACCACCTCAAAATGTGACCCTTCATGTGTTAAAGTAAACAAACCTTGTTAGTACGAAATCTCTTGTGGATTAAAAAATTCGCCAAAAAAGGAAGACAATCTCATGTACCATAAGATATACAGATTTTAATAAAGAAAATAAAATATATATGAAGTGCCCTTGACAAAATTTCTGTATGTGCTAGCCCTATCCTACTACCTTCGTTTTATCGCTGTAGGACTAATATGTTTTCCCAACTTTTTTTCTGATTACTGGCTCTTCCTCCAAGAAACGTCGTAATCAAAGAGAAAAGCAAGTTGGAAAGAATATTGGCATGGGAGGGAAGTGATGATGTCCCATACGCCCTGCATTTTAGCAACAGCGGCTCCACTTGAGGCTTGTCGGTATCTCCAGAAAGTACTCCAATCGAAAGTACTCCAACGTCATGACGCTCACGAATCGGTACAATTCGGTGGCAGGGGTCTCCTAGTCAACGTCTCAGCCGACCCTCTTCATCTCCCTGAACTTGTACCCCTGGACAACCGAAATATCCTAGTCCCCTACTTCAAGGAGTCGATGACCATCTTCTCGGACGGATTTTGTCCTCCTTTTGGGGAGAGGATAGTACCGTGTGTCAAAAGTGGTCTACCCATGCTTGCTCAAGCACCCTTTTAGTGCCGGTGAATCCATAATCCATATGACCCAATGGTCAGTCATAGTGTTCAGTTCAACAGGTTTTATATATTACAGAGTGTTGAATAAGCACCTGATAAAAATCTTACACTATGGGCTCTAGACCTTATAAACTGCTTCATAGAACAATATACCTGTTGAGTACTAAATGACACCGCATTTTTCTCTTCCTGATGTGTTGTTGGTCTCTCATCACTATGGACACAGCCTAGGTATTTGTAAGCTAAATTGAGGATATAATCAGGTCCTTTGATTCAATATATATATCCCGCCCTGAAGGTTTTAACACTGTACTTCTTGATGCGGTCTCCCCATCCAATTTGCTCTATTAATTGCTCTTCTTTTTTAAGATCTTCCTCTTGCTTGGTGCAGTTTTTCCTAAAGTGAACACTGGTTGCTTACATTTTTGAGATTTATGTCATGACATTCTCAAATTTCTTACTAAGGGGATCTATTGTGTATAGATATTAATTTACTTCTGGTAACGAGTTCTCAATTTTGTCTTCATGTTCTAATTAATCTTCTCATATGTTTATAAATAAAAACCTGTCGGTTCGTTTTTCGCTAAAACATAAATAAAGGGTTTTGATGTGGAGATGGAGTTTTGATAATCTACTAATCTTTGTATCCTAATATTAATCTTTCTCCTATCTTGAAACCCTCCGGTCTTCTTTATTCATGACTTAGGCTTGAAATCCATCGGGCCACACATTGGCTTGATAATTTCGCCTTGGGCCAAGATTATGATAATAAATGTAGAAGAAAATCCATATGGCTTGCATGTGGATTAGTGTGATTTACCTCTTGTGTTATTTCTGTTCTACCTAGGTGAAAATATTTTTTGAGACAATCTTAGAAAAAAACGTTCTTCGGGTTTTTTTTATCTAAGTACATGTGTATACTTCTCTAGACCAATACTCTCTTCTAAACATATAAAGAACATTTCAAATCTCTCATATCTTTATCTTCTTACTCAGATAGATATGGTTAACATATAATTGCAATATTTGTAAACTATACAAGAAAAATATTCTGAAATGTTTATTTGAAATAGCCGATTTTCATTGTATGTATTTCATTCTACGATAAGACCGTAAGAATTGATATGTATGTATGTATCGAAGGTTTTGTGTATAAGACTCGTGTAAGAAAATGTAGACAATTATCTATTGAGCGAAAGCTGTCTATATACCTATAATTTAGAGAAATATGATACTTTATGTAGATACTCAATGACATGTTGAATTGATATTGGATAGATATTATTGAATTGAATACTTTATTCTCTCCACGATTTATCTTATTGTATGTAGATGGGCCGCACTTTATCAAAATTTAATACAGTTGAAGTGGAAGAACGGGAGTCCATTTGATTTGATAGCTATGGAGAATGTGGGCATTAAGTACATGTGGAATTGATTGTATCTTTGACAGAGCGACTTTTGATGGAATCAGTTAAAACGGGTAGAGCTCTTCTTAATCTGAAGAATATCACGAAGACGGCATGATGTACGAGAGAGCTCTATTACGTCGCCTCAGACTCGCCGCCTGGTACGGTGCTACACATTGTTTATAACGTATTTAAGGAATTTTTCAGAGGAACATGGACACGGGAGGTAAGTAATTTCGAAAGTCAATCACGTCTCCTCGTCAAACCTTGTGCACTAAGAAAACACTTCAAAAAATTTGTTTTCTCGCACGTCAAATTCTCCAAAAACGCGTCAAACATGTTCAAAATATAGAATCGAAACGTCATCCATCGAAAAAACCACAAATATAATCTCAACTCAGACCAAGTCATTGAGGAAATTGCGTCACAAATATTGTCAGGTGACAATGGAATGTTGAAATATGACGTTACCTCTTCCAACTGACCGTAGATATGGCCGAAGTGTAGAGTAAACAAGAGCATGTTGCTTTCTGGAAGTTCCAAGGGACAAATTTTGTTCTATTCTTTGCAAAAAAGACTGGATCTAATTACTGTACTATCTCCGCTTGTAGACTTCTTCATATTTTAAGTATGTACTCTCAGTGGATTCCATGATTACCTTTTTCTCTAGAACGGACTTATTGTGAATTTCAAAAGAATCCAAAACCATTAGCAGCCAGACTGATAGGGACAAATTAGACATTTTGCTACAGATGAATTGGAAACTTACTTAATGAGGTAGAAAATTGGAACCGTATCGGTGACATCTGTACGTATAATGCATCTCAGTGGAAAGAGAAAGGACATCTTTAGTATTAGCACTCACGCCAATCAGTGAAACGATTGAAATAGAGAAACTTTCGACTCTAGTTTAGTGATGAGTTCGTCGCATACGAGTGCGTATAAAAAAGTTGGACTACCGTAGCAGTGGTAGACATCCACCGAACCCTCAGTTGCAATGAGTACAAGGACCACCTCATTGGCTCCCATCAACGCACCAAATTATTATCACTAGACATTCTAGCCATGTCAAAATAGAAAGATCTGCCTACCCTCACCAGGGATAGGCCATGTATCCCACGATAGTGTACTTCAATCGATGGTCCAGTCCTTGATGTTCCTCACCCTCAGATAGAAAAATTGTTGTCAATCTTTAACCCGGTCACGGTTTACGAATATTTCTCGAATGCTAAACCATTCGAGACCTTTGTCCTTGTCCTCTAGGACGATGACAAACTACTCAGTAAATGTTGAAGAAATGAAGTAATTCAACACTCCTCAAGACTATTTCAACCATCTATGATAGATGCGCTAAATTTTGCCTGCAGATCTAGATTTAGCACATTCAGTATACAATTACTCGGAGGACTACTTCAGGCTTCAAGCTTTCTAGTTTCTTAAGACCTCTACTCATTGAGCGCTTCTTCAATTTCACTACCTCTAGCGTAAAGGAAAACGCGTTACAGCCAAGACTAGAAGATCCGTTCTTTTCTGTTTCAATAAAATAATTTGGTTGGAGATTGTATTGGGCTTCATCGAAATAGTCCAGTCAGAGAGGCCAAACCGTAGACCATATGTTCTTCTCGCTACCCTGTGATCATGTGTGAATGAAATTGTGGTCATAACTGCATAGACCAGACTGTTATATCATACTGTACACTGAGTTCTCCTGAATTGCTGGTCCAAAGTGGCAAAAATTAGATCACACGATGTTATAGAACGTGCCAAGACATTAAGTCAGTCGCCTTCTCAAACGGAAGAAAAGCGAATACCTATACACTTTGACCATTAAAAGCAGTTCCTGAACAAGTCATGTCCCCTAACATGTAACTTGTTGCTCCTCCGATCTCTAGTCAGTCCGTGCTCATTTTCATTTTGAAGCGCCTTTTGAACGTCTTGAAGACAAATCCTGCAAAGCAAATCAAATCAAAAGAGGCCAAAAGCAGAACACAAACTCAAAGCCCCCAAATCCATAACATCAAAGCTGTCTCAGGCAAGGTATCGAGGACGGAGATCAGACTATGTCCGATGTACTTTGGTTTCTAGCCTGCTGAGTAACCGTATGGCATTATTCGGATGAGACTGGTGTAACAGTTGAATACACAAGGTCTTTATCTGTAGCGTGAGTGCCATCTCCCCTCACAGATTTCTAATAATGTCGAACACGTGATTACGAGGAGACATGGAACTTTTACCGTGCTCAATGATCAGCTGGAGTGCATTTGTTTCTTTTTTATTCTCTGTTCCCACTTTCCTAGTTTAAAGTGAATGAAGATCAGTTCGATGAGTATTTCATTAGTCAAGAATTCAACCGTCACGAGAATTCATGTCTGAATCAGGAAATCTATTTCCCGTTAACCTATCTTTTTCCAGACCACCGACCAAGGCACCATGACTTGCACATAGAACTTGCTTCAGTCCAGTCGTGGAGGCCTCGATGGAGATTATTTACATCTTTTTGCCTCGAAACTCACGGTTGTGATTAAAATCTGCATTGGACCGACATTCCAATCACATGTAAACTCAACCGTAGCTTGTCAATACTGTATGGAACTTTGAGCTTGGTCGACTTACTCAAGAAAAGGGAAAAGTACCAAGATCTGGTGAACAACGCCCTAGTATCCGATACTATCGATCTCATTCGACACAATCTGTTCGCCTATTCGACATCATGAGAACTTTGGCGGCCCTCCTGAGGTTAGAGTGCGCAACATAATGCAGAGACATCCTTTACCTCTCATTAGTCAATCCTAGCATGTGTATCCTGAAGCCTGCAAGATGGGTAAGAGTGACATCGCCTTACATAACCCCGTAGAAGTTTTGTGCATGTTCAAGAACAGAATTCTTTGTGACATTTTCCAGCAAGACACCCGTCGTTACTGTGCCATTCATTTTAAGTACAGTACTTCAAGCCTTCACCACTTAGACAAAAACGTCTACACGAGTTTTCGTTGAAGAATCTTCCTCAAGCGGCTGAAGGTTGTTGCATGCTTGGCAATAAACCATTTGCTATAGACATTCGCCCCATTACTTACATGTGTGTTTCGCATTTCGAGGACTGATCACTTCATGTACTAAAGGTCAAGTTCGGTTGTCAACTTTTCGTTATCTCCTTGGTAGACGACCGGTCAGCTGGCACCTAGCCATTCGAATCCAGCTATACAATCATACATGAACCAAAATGTGATGCATCGTGCATCAGCTGGCCGTATGGCACAGAACCTTGGATTTCAGACTTCTTGAACAAAGAGGAAACAGAACTGTCGACCCACATACCTCTTTAACCAGGGTTGGAATAGTACTTTGACCAACAGTGATCCCGGTCCGCGAACATAAGCCTCTCGGAGATCCCAATCCAACAACCCATCTTTTGAATGCTCTTGACACAGTCAAAACTGAAGGATCTTGTGAAAGTCCCAAGGTTAGATATCGAAGATGAAGTACGGCCCGTGCACTATCCATGCAGCGTCAGTCCGACGCAAACTCGATGGTCGTACCGCAGAAACATTACGTTGCATACGACGATGAGAGAGGAAAACTGTCCGGTTCGTGCAGAGTGGTGCACACAGAACGCGTCATTGTAACTATGGGCACCTATTCATCTCGTAGATTTGTGGTGCCAAGGGTCATGAGTCACAAGCTGAGCCTAGACAAGGGACACCGGTCGATTTGCCGTGCCACTTTCTGTCGAGAGCATGCATTGGTTTGCATGCCATCAAATGTTAAAAAGAACGGAGTACAAGAGCCAACGAGAGCGCAGTTCAGGCTGTGGACTCAAACCGCAACAACGTCCGAACGGTGAAAAAGTGGCGCTCTTGTGATTCTGAGGTTCGAGTGGAACGACCAGGAGATATGAACAGGCCTACAGCAGCGGCCAACGGCCCAGTAGGCCTCGTTCCAAACGTTGCAGGTAAAATACTCGTACTGCATTCAATTTGAATTAGGATTCAAATGGCTTTCGACATCGAAACTCATCATTCGTCGATAGACTCTTTTTTCAAAGAACGTGGCTCTAGCTGCACGATCGAAGACAACCCTTCGAAGAGTACAGGCACATGTACAAAGTACATGATACGATCGTTTACCTCCAGCAAGGGTAATTGCTTCAACAATATGTCATCTAGCTTTGTATCGGAGGGATTGTTGGAGCGGAACTTCATGAAACCCATATTCGCGTCTCGATATTCAGCTCTGCATATCATTCTCGTGAGAAATATGAGCATGCTTCAAACTACAACAATTGAGCCAGGTTGATCTAAGCAATCATTACTTCTACAGTTCAAGAAGTATTTTCAACTTAAATTGTACAGGCGAGGAGTTTAGAAAGATATTGGTCTATAATAACGATTGGTTGCAATTGAACTCGAGACCTCAAACTGAGAGTTCACTAAAGTTGCCCTTCCAAATAGGATCTTGTGATACAGAGAATCTACAACAAATCTCGTGTATAAGTTAATAATGGTACCCAAACCTCCACATATTGTTCACTGCAAATTAGTCCATCTATTAGTGAATTATATATATAAAATATTTAAGCATAAAATCATATGAATTCATTGAAATTTCATTAATTTGTTCTATTCACTTTGAAAATATAGGAGTTACAAAAGTCATTCTTTGACAAGGTTTTTTTGAAAAAACATAATATATTATGACATCATCTAAATAAAAAAAATAATTTTTTTATCATAAAAAATTAAACATATTTAAATATATTAATTAATGAAATTTAAAATTAAGAAAAATTCCACAGAATAACATCACAGTATTAATTTCTTTATAAGTGATCATATAATTTTTGAATAATTTAAAAAATTAATTTACTCACTGTTAATATGGCAATGATTTATCCACAATGTAATCTTTTTTCCTATTTTTTCATTGACTTTATTTCGATATTGGTTGTTTAATAATTAAATGCAATATTTTAGTATTTATATAAAATATAATTACTAAATTACAAGTCGACTCAGCGAATAGAGAAGTGTGAACAGCACTCGGCTCAGAAGAACCAGGCAACCAGGGAGAAAGCTCAACACCAAGGCGGCACTAAAGGCAAACGCAACCGTGTTCGACTCTGAATCTGGATGGATCAGGGCCCAATCTCCACCCCAGCGACAGCACCGAGCAAGTAATGTGCGCACTCCATTTAGAAGCCTCACAAGGCCAACACATTAATTGTATCTCAGCTTTTCACCTCGTTCATCGGACGGTGCTGCATTCCCTTGACGCTAAAAATCACTAGTGCCACAAGTTAGTCAGACGAGCGAGTGGCAAGCCCTTTATCGATAGCAATCGTTGCCCGGACTTTTCCTCCTCTTCCTCTTTGATCTTCTCTCTCTCTTACTCTTAAAAGTTCCACAATTCTTCAATTTTTTATCTATCAAGTAATTGTAAGAAATAAAATTTCACGTAGTTAAATATAATTATTTTTTAATAAAAAAAATATTTACTTAGAAAAAAAATTCAAAAAAAATTATATTTTTTATTTGTAAAATAATTTTTTTCTTCATTGCACTAATGTTAATTCTTTTCTAATAATATTTTTATTTCTAAAAATTTAGATCAACTTATGCATATAAACATTTTAAAAAAAACATGAAAAAATCATCAAAATTAATTAAATATAAATTTTGGTTTTTTTATTTTACACTAAATATTATGTACAATAAAAATTTGAGATTTAAATAAGAAGAAATTTAAGTCAAATATATATTAAAGATTAGGGAGTGGTTAGTTATACTTAAGTTTAGGCTAATTATCCCTCACCCTAGGCTACTGCTCACTCCCATGATGCATTACTTGTCATTCTTTACCTTTGTCCGCTAAGACTATATCACAAACATCTAGTAAACATAGGGATATCTTTGACCAATCACGTATCTCTATTCTGTCTAGTATAGAGAGTGAGGAATAATTAGCCGAAACCGAGAAAGCACTAGCCCCTTTCATGTTTTATTATGTTATGATATAAAATAATTCTTATTTTAGATATATAATTATTTTCAATCATAAGAGAAAAGAATTTCATTTGTATATTTTAATATAATTCTTTCAAGTCTTTGACATGCATTTAACATGCAACAAATTTCATAATTTTTTTAGAGCATAATTCAAAGTATCATTATCTCTGATAATATAATCATAATATTTAGTTATTATTTTTATTTTTTAGATATATTTTTTAAATGATTATGACAATCTTTGATAATGATCAAAAAATTTGATTATTATAATGATGTTTTTTTTCGAAGAGAGAGACTAATTACAGAAAAAATATTAAATGTATGGGCTTGTAAAACTTTGAATATAAAGTTATATGACATCAATTGTAGATTAAATTTTTTTATAATATTTTTTCAATTATTATATACATTTATAATTATGTGAATCTAATTTTTTTTGAAAAATTGACATAAAAATTTTAAATGATCCAATTCATTGTGAAAAAAACGAATATAAATTCGATATATTTTAAAAATATTTTTCATAAAAATAAAAATCCAATTATAACATTTAAAAATTTGCAATCAATAACTGTGTTGTTATTGCAAAGATTTTTTCGGAACAAATCTTGATTAGATGATAGTGTATGCATCTATTGTAATATTGCTCATAAGGAAATATTTTTTGCTGTGGTTTATTGTGTTTATTACAAAACGAGCTGCTAAATTTCTTCATTTGCATTTTCAGATTTTTTTAGTGACGTAAATGTTGATAGATTTATTGAAATGTATATGGGATGTGGATTCATATTTACATTTGCAACAAACTAGAGATCATTTAGCTCTATCTGAATTTTTCTTTTTTTTTCATCAACTAGAGTAAAAATCTACAATGTAGTTGATGAACCAATTGTTTCAAAAAATGATATGTTCATTTGTAAAAAATTTCATCTCTTTTAAGCTTTTGTGCCAGCAAGGTTGCTTGTGGATCTTGGCGCAACCATGCACTAAGTTTTGTTCATTTACATTAGACATTTTTTTGAGCTTAACTTAACTCATGCATCGTCATCTTATATGTGCATGTATGAACGGATATTATTAGCATGCTATGATAAAGATCTTACATACTATAGCAAACCCTACCTTAATAGAATGTATGTACTAATTATTATAAGTACATACATTAGCTAAGGGAGTTGATATCTCTTGAAGTTGATAAGGTTAAGTCACATCTATATTTGATGGTGGTTATTGATACTACATATAATGTAGTTTCAGATTTGGCAATTATTCATATATCTTGATGTTTGATGGATGCAAGATGGAAATATATGTGTATTGAGATTGTGAGGTCATCAATTATATAACCTTATGTTTATACAAAGTTATGTGAACCTACTTCCACAGATGGAGAGAGTGTGGGAGATCCGATCATATTACGCAGTAGGATTATGAATATGTTGAGATTTATTAAAATCATGTATTAACCAACACGTTTTTGTTTTCATCAAAATTCCCAAGCGATTGAGATTGTTCAGAATTTGAGGTTAAATTTGGAAACGCGTTCAAACACTGTGGAACATTTTGATGTTGTGAAAAAGCGCGTGGATTTGTTTTAGTCTTATATGTATAGCGTTGATGCTATGAATGCAGAGCATTGTGGCAAGCATCTTGAGATCATCATGTACATTAAAAACACCTTGGACGCGTGGGAAAGGAATGTAGAGTTCCCTGCAGAAGACTTCCTTGACGCCAACGGCATTCTACGAGCCTTACACAACTGATGAATAACAAGATTGCGTGACTCAAACCAACAACTTTGACAACAACACAGCCAACTTGCTTGTTCTTGGAAAAATTGTCACAACTTTGGACTTGTTCAACAAAAATATGCAGGGTAGGCAGAAAGTGCTGAAGTTTTGTGCACACATGAACAGTGTCTGGAAGATTGCTTACAGAGTTCAAGAAGTCCATTTTGCAAGAAAAGTTGTAAATGATGATATAATAATCAATTGAAACTTAAAATCTGATTTATCTAGTTGTGCTGTACTGGCTAACGTTAGATCCGTAGGGCATGCATGACGTTAGACAAACTACAATACTTCATAGAATCTACTAGCCAACACGAAACATATGAAAGCAATCAACTTATGATAATAAACAACTTTGAATTGTCAATTTATGGTAGCTAGTGGCGCATATACTCACAACTTGTTAGCACTCCATTGTTCATATATCTTAGAGCCAATATGAGATACGCGTGATGCTATTGTGGTATTATCGTCATATTTGCTTCGAGCTTGGGCCCCCTTCCCATGCTACTGCGGTTTAGCATGGGTTACAGGTTCGATTTCCATCATAGAACCGGGTCATCCCATTCTATTACTTGGCCCCTCCCATTCATCAAGCATCTGGATGATATGTCATCTGAAGCTTACGTGTCTTGCTGTCAGCAGGATGAGGATCATTGGCTTGACGCGAAAGCTTACTCGCTGTCTGTAATGAGGTACAGTATGGGTTGATATTCCCGCTGTGAGTGTTCAACGAACTGCACTCGCTGGAGATTCACCACGTACAGTGCAGTACTAGGGAACGAGCAGATCAGCTCGGAGCGACGGGACGGAGGCAGCGCATTGTCCTGTTTGTCCCGTTGTGGATCGGAGCTGATTTCTCGAGGACTCGAGTCGTCGAGTCCATCAACGGGGCGATCAAGGTGCAAGTGCTGTTGTTGCTTTGTGGCCCACCCTCGTCCTATGGGATAAGATTCCATGGTGATGGTGCAATGCTGCCAATGTACGTACCACATGAAGATCTTGGAGGTGGCAAAAGAGGAAAGGCAGCTGTTTACCCTGACAACATATACGTAACACAACGAAGGCAGACGGTGGACTGAAATCTACGTTTCGAATTTGAGGGCGGCGGATTAACAATCCCGGCGTGTGCGCCACTGTCTACCATAACCGTCGGTACAGTCCGCTCTGCCGAAAGTTCCGAACAGTGAAGGTTCACGGCGGGACCATGATTCCATATAAAGGACTCGATCCGTCCCGACTCAGCAGGGAGAAACTACCCAGCGCGGTTCGTCGCGACTTTCCCGACGATAAGTACGCTGTGCACTTCCAAAACACGGTCCCTTCCGTATGGCCACACAGCGGCAGGAAGTTCCCCCGCGGGATATTAGAAGCACAGGTCAAACTCCTCCTGTTTCGGGTTGGTGGGAGAACGCTTCCACCGTTGGATGCATTTAACGGGTTTGTCTCCGATTAACAAAAGATTGTCGGGCTCACCCGTGTTTCTCCTTCCGGTATTGTTGTACGGAGATTCGTCCAGAGGCAAGCGTGTGGAGCCTGTAGAGTCCGATGCGTTCGACAGGCCACGGAGGCAAAACAGAGTGGAGACAAAACACATCGCGGCCCAGTTCACCGCAAAGCCTTCCGGAGGCCTCGAGGTATCCGGGTCACTCGTCCAATGCAAATCACAGTCCAAATACATTCAACCGAGTCCAACAGAGACTGCAGATGCCTTCAAAGCTGACAACCTCGTACGTTAGTCACTTTTTTTTTTCCTTTTCTTTTGAATATAATCACAGACCTCTGTACATGCAAATTTTGCTGACGTCGCCAGGTGTCAGACCGGGCAGGAGCGTTTCCCTATTTCTACCGCTAGGAAAAAGGGTTTGCGAAGTCAAACATGGGATCAAAGACTGACAGATACTACAGTTTCTCGTTTCGAATCTGAATGTGTATCGACCTGCTGTAGTTTGCCGGAAGATTTTTTTTACGAGCGCTTCTTCCACTCCTTTGCAAATGAGAAACTCAACGAGTCGAGGTGAAGAGAGGGCAGTCCTGACAAGGTAGATATAGCAAGCCATGCCAAAGGTAAAATGTCCCACTGAGTCTGATCTGGTCTCCTCTCAGTTGACCATAATATTAAATGGATATGTTACATGAAAATAGCAAGCTTCGGCCTACAGCTATGTTATGCGCACTGAACCACTGAGCACAAACCAAAGGCTACCATGTGAAGCCCATCAACGACTACCTTGCTACACCAATCCAAGCTGTACAGGAGATTCTCAAAGTTGGCAATCCACCTCAACCACCATATCAGCTGCCCAGTTCTGACTTCACTGCTGCTTAAGGCCTACCAAATCTGTCTGTCAAATATCTGGGGGGCTTCCAAACGTGAAAATCTTACAAAAGCGCAAAAGTCAGTACTGTAGGAACGCAATGTCTAGCGCGGTAACTTGACAAGCTTCCGCAACAAGAGCACCAAATTTAATGGGCAAGGTCGTCATGATGCACATTCCAAGGACTTTCGAACGCATAGGCGCACTTTCCTGCCAAGAGCCAAGGAGGGATTCAGCATCGAGTACGATTACATCCACCGACGAACACATGGAGTGGCAGAAACAGAAAGTGCGTACGACTCACCGTCAGATGCAATACGTTTAGCAAGTCCACCACAAACAGAACAACTAAACTGACTGAATCATTAGAGTAATCACCTTCTGGAGAGTGAAGGAAACTTGACACATACATACTAAACACCTATCTTACCTGTTGTAAGCAAGAATGTCATTCTGGTATAATGATGCGGCTTCCGGATTCGCCGGACTGGCGGGATTGGGGTCTGTCAAAAGGGACTGTACCAAAGAAGACAGAGTCTCAGAACTGGGTAGTAGAGGACATTTATGCGATGGCAAAACACGTACACATAACAGACAGCTTGCGAACGTACTCATGTCATGGTCAGAGGACGTCCACTTTCAACAGCAGAGATAAGCGTAAACGCCAGACTAACAACACAATGCCACTTAAACCAACGGAGTGACTGACCTGGATGGATGTAAGAATGGTACAGATGTTATGACATGGTGACCAAGCATCTTGTATAATATCCATGCAGAGGGTCCCATCGCTGTACACTGCAAGATTATGTCACACATTTATATATCAGCAGGCATTACGAAGCATGATTGCCATCCAGCCACTATAAAGCTAGAATGCCACGTTTAATATACTGTCGTTCTATAGACAAACCTCTTCATCCAACCAGGGATACCGTCAAAGTAAATTCACCACTAGGTCACCTCAACCCAACAGACGAACGCTAACTTGCAGATTGACTTCCAATCAGGAAAAAGCAAAAAAAGGCCACGGTTTCCACACAGCAGTACGCATAAACTTACCATTCGGGTGGAATACATCAGATGTGAACCGCACACGAGGTGGCTTCTCAGGGTAGTGCTCCCCGAATATCAATCTCAAAGAAAAGATTCCACCTGGGAAGAACAACATGTTACTCTCCGGTCATTTCCTGAAAGAGGAAATATCTATCGTGAAAAGAAACACACCATGAGACCACGCGACATTTCCGGCCACCACCTCCGACGTATGTATTACCTTCCCATGGAGTTTCATCCGGGCCAAAAATTGTCGCACCCCAAACGAACAAGTTTTCTTCACCGTATGGACTTGCACTGCATCCCTGCACATGTGGTACGGTACGTAACTACGTGTCTCCGCTCCTTAAGATTGCGATGGACGTTCACGATTTAGGTTCGCAGCAGTACATGCAATGTACGAAACATCTGATTCTACAAGCCCATGCACTATCGAAGAAACACGATCAAGTCAAAGTACAAACATCTGAACGGCTACACGAAAAAACGGCATCTTCCGCATTTAAACCGAATTTTAGTCTGGGAGTATGAAAACAAAGGAGTTCGCGACACAGGTGACTACACACCCAGAGGTTTAATGTTGGTGCAGGGCCGCATGGGCACTGCGACCTGAAAGTATAGTCTGAACGGGAGGCTACGCAGCTGATCTATGAGGATCGGATGCTTTCAAGGAGTTTTATTGTCACTGACTAACTACGACTCAGATTCAGTACATATCGGTTTTGTGTACTGAATCTGAGTCGTTAAAAACAACAAAATTAGGCCTCTCGGACCTCTTCCAAGAGCCTTCAACCTTTACTCCATAGCACATGTCTCAGACCTTAGACAGAGCACACATTGGAAGATGAATTCAGGACCCACATAGTAGTGTCCGACAGCACAACAATTGTGCCAACACAACTAAGAACTGGCAGACTCAGAATCTGCGTTTCACGTAGAGAACAAATTCTTTGTTAATTTGTACTCCAGGCTTGCACGGCCGTACAGCTACAGAGTCTGAATGTTCGCGACACATCGACTTCATCGATCCACTTGAAACTATGATCAGATACTACATGACCAATCTTCAGGCCGAATCGGTTTAGTGAAGTGAGAGACTACATGATTATATTTTACAGAAACCCGGGGTCACAGCAAATTCCTCTTTGAAAACCTTCGGCGTAGACAAAAAGGTTCCGCCCAAAACAAACTCAGAATATGTTCTGCGAATCAGCGAAGCAATCTTCTGAAGCTAAATCGTTCCAAGAAATGGCATGCTTACCTCTGGAGGCTCTTGTCGGATAGCCTTCAAATCTGACATCAGCCGTAACTGGGCGGATGACATCATCTTGCTCCCCCTCCTAGCTTCCAGTTCTTCCTTAACGACCTGAAATCCAGAATCCAAGACGCCGACAAACCTTCTCGTCAATCGCCACGAACAAACCGCCTATATGTGCGCCCCCACGATTTCAGTGGACCGAAACATCTCATGAACCATTGTTGACAAAATCTAGATGACAACGAGCTAGAAGGTCTAAAGAGCTTGTCCAGGGCTGATCAGTTGGACTATTGTTGGTTTGTTGACGATCTCAACGGCACCACTTGGTGCAGCAATGAAGGTGTGGAGGCATCTTGCACGTTCGCATCTCAATGTCTTTACTGACAGTCGGTTGTCTATCATAGGCGAAAAGAGTGTCATGTCCACAATGCGAAATTGGCTACAAGAAAAATCGAAATAAACTCGCGTACAGTAAAGATAAAAGATCCAATAGACCCATGGACCGATTCGCTGAATCAGTTCAAAGAGTCCACAACATCAACGGCATGCTACGGTCAACGTGCCATTGGCACAAGACTAGGCTCCCTCATCGTGAGCAGGTAATCTACATGAAGATTGCGCCAGAGTGTGAGTGATAGACAACTTTTGAATGAAACTATTGCTGACACATGAAGAGCTTCGCAACTTGGCCAAATACAAGCTCTGCGAAAATCGACGTGAAGTTACTAAGCGCAGCAGTAGATTGGCAAGAAAAGATCAAAGAGAACCGATTATGCGCATTAGCCGAACAATTGATTCTGAACCTGAAAGCCTGTACCTTTCCCCACAGGTGGAGCCCAGAAGAGATTGGAAACGTGACCAGACTAGATTCCGCAACGTCCAGAGGACAGAGAGGAAACGTGTGGACAGCTACTCTTGAGCTTGCTCGGCTACCTCTTTCAATTCATAGATCGCAGCACGTGGCAGCACAACTGAACAATACTGGTAAACTCGGACAGGGCAGGCTTCGAACAGCGATTACAGGTTCAAGGACAGGAAACAGCCTCGGAGATTCGACTCTGAACATGATGCTATCGTCTCCAATTACTCTAAAACTTATCAACGTGTCCTTATATACAAGAGAATATGACATCATGCATCTAAGGGGACGAAAAAAAACAGAGCACCGACCCAGGCATACGACGCAGCTAATCTCTAGATCTAAATCTCCAGCTCTCCATACATCGATTCAATGCACCGGTGCAAGAGTCTGTTCACACTGGGCGTACCTGGGATGATCAATCGATGGATATCCCCGCCTTTTCGCACCAAAATGCGCCTCCACAAGGTTGATCGGCCCCTCCTCTCGCTTCAGATCAGCTCTTCGACTCCCCCGCTCAGGCCTGCTTGCAGAAACAGCCTTTTGCCTTCCTAATTCCTCCCTCCGTCCTTCCGAATAAATCCAACCACTCCTCTACACCACAACGACGACACTCAAGTAATCACTTACACTTCGGCTTCCTCCTCCTCGGACAATCCAATTCTTATGAAACCAAAGTATCTCAACCAGCACGGGTCGATCTGAAGCACTTCCACCGCAGAACCCACAGCGCAACTGGACACAAATACCAACCGGGAAGAAGAAGGGAGCAGCAGCGCAAGCAGGCAGAAGGCCGGGAGGCAGCAGCAACAAAAGAAAGCGGGCAAGGAGGCAGCAGGAGATGAGCAAGAGGAAGAGGACGGTAGAAACAGTGGGCAGTAGAGTGAATGGAAGAAGAGATTGGAAGGAAACTGGTGAGATGGTGGGGTGCGGACTTGAAGGCCGCTCCACAAAAAGGCGAAAGAAAGACGGATGCGTCCTCGGATGACAAGCGAGCTCTTCTTGCGGGAGAGCCCCTCGCTGCCTGTCTGCCTGTCTGCCCTCTGCGCTGCCCTGCGCTGCCCTGCCCTGCCCCGAGCTGCCCCTCCCTTCGGTGAGTGGCACGGCCACGCACCGCAAATTCCGCAACTCGCTCGATGACCTCACCTCACTTCACACCGCCTCACTCTCTCCCGGGCCCTCCTCTGGCCACCTTCATCCGCCGCGCATGCTCGGCCCGCAAAGAGCCCCTGCATTCGCGAAAACGGGGCCCGAAAGCTGCGCGCCACACAGCGAAGTTACCACCCCTCGGTTCCTCGTTCGAAACCCATGCCTCACTGAGCCGAACGGACGCCGGCCATTCTGATAATTATTACCGGGATTCTCCCCTGACATCTTCGCTTACTCTGGATCTTCTTCCGAAGGGATCCGCCACTTTGGTAGCCTTCCCTTCCGCCATGAACGCCTCGGACCTTTCGATGAATTGCGTATATGGGCTGAACGACCACATGTCGTCGATGCAGAATCTTCGTGACATCTTTCGCGCCCTGCAGGATTTTGGCAGTCCGTCAAGCCATCTCGCGCACCCTCGAGCTATAAGAACTCTCTGACTCTGTACTCTGCGGGATGCCTTTGAGGGATGTCTGCGTAGGAAAACGACAGTATTGGACTGGTAAATGTTAGGAGGCGACATGCACGATCATTAAGGATGGGTCCGGGTGGGGAATAACTTAACTTGCCAGCGCTATTCTTCTCGGACAGACAGATTTGGATAAGGAGTAACTCTATATCTGAAGTTCACTTTGCGCTGCCGTAGGTTAATTAGGAAAGAGAGCGAGTTCGTTACTTTATAGTTCTACCTTTGGGTATTTTCTCGAAAAGTGGTTACTGCATCGAGTCATCACTTCAGATCCAAGGACCCCCACCTTGGATTATCATGTAACAGTTTCCCTCAAGTGTACACATGAATCCAACAGATTTGCAATGTTATCATGAGGACATGACGAGTGCATGTCGCCAGGGCATTTCCAAGGTCGATGACGAATTTTAACGAACAGCTCCAAGGTTTCGTGCACAATTGTTTGCTTTAATGGTCGTTTCTGTAAGGCTGATTTCTTCAAGACGCCTTGACTCCGAAGTACAAGTCTAAGAACAACCTCCGATTAAGTACGCCCTCCAGGCTGTTGCTCAACGAAAACGATGGAAAGATATACAGGTTGTTTACCTCGTAGATATTTCACAGCTGTACTAGGGCCTTTCAGACTTTTCAGAATAAAAATACCGAAATTTTATTGAGTTTAGTCAAAAGCAGTGAAACCGCACGAGTTGAGGTGACTTGACCTGAACTGTTGGATATCTTAGGTGCACTGTATCATGATTTGTATAGTTTTCTTCCTAGCTCCATGTTTCTTTCACTTGGTTTCTTCCTCGATGGGGTCTTCCTACTCGTTCGGTTAACTTACTGTGTCTGATCTGTTACTTGACTTGCGTTAACCATTAACTCTGCTTGCAGTATATATAGACTACTACCACAATTTCATGAAGAATTGAATTATGATTGATACGCGACTTGCTGTATTGCACGCAGAAAGTACAGCCATGAAACTGCAGTCAGATTCGAAAGATTACTTTAATACTTTGAACCTCGGAGAGAGTGACCAGAAAGATCTCATTATAACCGTATGTATAGTGACCATAGCTCAGTATAAAGTGTGCTATAAAATCACATGATCATACGAAGTTATATGGCTCCATAAAATTCTACCTGCATATGCCTACGTAAAACTCTATATTGTAGAAATACCATGTGTAAGATTACACAAAAAGATACATCCACCTTCACGTATTGGCTGGTTGTTGTCGTTGTTAGCAAGATTACACAAAAAGGACTTCTTCTCCGAAACTCCTGATTTGCCTTCATCTCCATCTGATATACAATAGGTTCTGCGAAGCAATGAGCAGCAAGGAAAAGGCGGCCAAGTCGATAGCGATGAGAAGGTGATGCGAAGAAGCCTTGGAGTACAGTACAGTGCGAAGAAATGTCTACATGAAGTGGACGAAATACTTTTGTGTTGCTTGCGGATAAGTCCAGTCCGCAACAGAGTCCGACGTGAGAACAACTCGGCATGTGAGTCGAGAACTCCTCCTTCTCCTGTCGACGAACGCGGGAGAGAACTCCGAAGGACGATCGCATCCGATGGTCGATGATGTGCAACGGTCAGAGCGGCCACGAGGAAGTCAAATCACGGAGTCCCAGGGCACACACTAAACACAGCACTGACAGCACTGACCTCCGAGCGCTGTAGACCAGGCCGCAGACTGCATCGTCTTACAGTGACTGAAATCCTACCAAACCTAGAGATGCGAGCTACAATAGGCGAGCAAAGCGTGAACCGATGAACTAGCTAGCGCACAGGAGCAGCCTGCTGAGGATAGTGGACCCCCAAGTTTAGCCCAGGCATCGAGAGGCCAGGCCGGCTGAGATCCTCGAGGAAACTTTCCCGAGCGCGGGCACAATGGCGGGCAGCGCGAGGGTGGGCAGGGCGTCCTTGCCGTATCCTCAGAAAGAACTCCGCTCTGGAACGGGACTGGCCCCACATGCCACTGTCCCTTCGCGTCTTACTGACGGGGTCGGGAACATTTACTGGGCCCCACGTACACCTCACCTTCACGAGCTACCGCCGCGGTGCCACGCAGTTATGTACCATTGACAAAAGACTCCCGATTTTTCATTGCCAGAGGACTCAAACCAACCTTGTACAGACGGAATCCGACGGACCTTGCGGAGAGCGAGCTCCCGCTTGTGAAGGGCGCAGTTAAATTGTCGGACCTATCCTCGGCCCAGCCAGCCTCTCCGGGTAGGCCGACAGGGACGGTTTCCATTTCAATCCTCGTACGTCTTTTGTCGCTTCGAGGGTTGCGATCCCACAGCTAGCCCGCCTGTACGTTTAAGATCGGTCGCTACACCGAAGACCCGACCCCGGCTCCCTCTCCGTCCTTGGAACGTCTCCGGAGTCCAGATCGGACCCTCCTCGTCAAACGAAGGAAGACCTTTGAAACGAACCCGTGCACTCCGCAGTCGTTATCATCATTGTGTCTCCCTCTTCTCCGTCTCGTGCCGGATACGTATCTCCCGTGCGCACTTTGGGGAAGCACGGGAGCTGCCGGTTGTTTGCTGTTCCCAACGTCCAGGTTGCATTGACACTGCAAGACCCTCTGCCCTAACTAAAATTAGCTGACTCCCGGCATTACTCCGCTTGTTCTCGTATTCACTTGAGTCGGAAGTTCGTGATGTGTTACTTATTCTTTCCGGCAAGTCGTTCCTTGAACTTCCTTCCTCCTTATTGGACGTGAGATTCGTGCTTCAGAAATTGAATATTGACCTGCACGGCACTGCATCTCGTCACCAGTACAGCTGGAACATAGAGATTCACTACTACTGCACTTCTACTGCTGTCTAAAATGAGCTCCAGAGACAGCTTCGTCTCTCCTTCGCCGAGTTGAGATCTGGTTGATTTTATTAAAAATCAGTTTTGTATATATATTTCAGACCAAAGTTTCGATTTTTACGATCATTCGATTTAGTCAAAGATCCAAATTGGACTACAATATCGATAACCGTACAGGCCTTCCGAAAACGTACCTCTTCCCAATGTCGATCGTTGTATCTTTGATCGGATTTTCTTTCAGGAAAACCAAGTAATATAGCAAAAGTGCGATAAATACTTACATACTTTTTCAATAACATGACAAAAGTCATATCCATAATTTAAAATAAATACAAGGAAAAACAGAAAGTAAATGAAACTATTTGCTAGCATCCAACCTTTTTTTTATCAAGGGCTCTTTTTCCTCACCTAGTTATTCATTTCCAAATAATGAATAATCATTTGATCTGAGTATTTTCAGATATATAAGATTGATTTAAAAGTTTAGCCTATATCAAGATAATCCGCCTTACATTAAAGTACGTGAAAATTAGCATTGAAATGTTTTTTATCTGCCATAAAATTTTATAAAAATTGAAATTTTATCTCAAATTTTATTATTCAAATGTATGTGAATCATCTATAAAATAATTGTCATAGGTGAATCAAAACATGTAGGTGTTGACTACTTAGATCTACAAGTAGGCTTGTTAATTTGATCATTCTTAATAAAATCCTTGTTTTTTTAACATTGCCTACAAGTGGATTACATTAACTTTTGTGTTCATTCTTGTAAATTATCTCCTCGAATGCGTGTTATCTTAAGTTTTGTATCTTACTGCAACAATTAGTATCAAAGTGTAGAGAAGCAAACATCACAGGTTGATCTTATTGTTGAGTTCGGAAAATATTGCAACAAGAATTGACAAAAAGTGGAACTATAATTAAAGCACATGAATACTAGCATGAAGTATATTCCATGTTTGCCACAAGTTATCCACAAAGATCTTTACCTCATTTTTATTTGGATGTTATCATGGCATGTGAAAGGTTGCTCATAAGACTACTACTTAATTTTGTTGTTCAACAAGTGCTTGGTATTCTCAAGTCCAATTATGATCTTGGGTAGTTTTTTCTTTTCGTTTCAATCGATTGAAGAGATCAAATGCTATTATGATCTCTTATTATGCGTGTGGTGGCAAAGCTATTTGATAGACTTATCAAATTGGTCCTTATTAGCTTAAGTAATGTCACGTTGAAATGTGTGTAATATGTAAGCTGATTAGAAGAAGTATCAAACTCTTGCTGTGATGATTTGGTTAATATCATGAAAAATGTCACAAACATTTATATTCTAGCAAAAGCTTACAATGTAGTGATTCTACGACAAAAGTGTGTTTTCGTTACCTTTGTTTTTACCTCATATGGATGATTTGTTTGATCATATTCAAGAAGCAAAGTACTTCATCAAGCTAGATCTAAGAAACTTTTACAATCAAATTCGAATTACAGAATATGATGTCCACAAAATAACTTTTGGTACTAGGTATGACCACTTTGAGTATCTAATTATGTCTTCCAGTCTCACTAATGCACAAGCAACATTCATGAGATAAATGAACAATATCTTTTGCTCTTATCTAGATAAATTTATCGTTATTTTTCTAGATGATATATTGATGTATAGCAAAACTTTAAGTGATCATTGACGTCATTTACAAAAACTACTTCAAGTTTTGAAAGACAATCAATTGTATATCAAAGCTTCAAAGTGTGAATTTGATAAATCAAAAGTAGAATACTTGAATCATAAAGTTACAGCCGCAAGAATCCAAATGATGAATGAGAAAATATATGAAATTTAGAAATGTACAAAGTATGAGTATCAAACTCAATTGAAGAGCTTTCTAGGGCTCATTGGATTATATCTTAGATTTGTGAAAGGTTTGCTCGCCTAGCTAACGCCTTGATTTTCATGTAAGGAAAAGGTCAAAAATAGAGATAAGTAACCGCTCAAGAATGTAAATGCTTTTCAAGCATTGAAAAATATTTGTTACACGCACTTATCATCAAGTGATATGATCTTAACCGTCATATCAAGTTGGCTACTTACTCATCAGGTACAATGGTAGGTGTCATACTTCAACAAGAATGGAAAGATATGTGACATCCAGTTGATTTCTATTTTCCAAAGTTGGTGGCGGCGGAACAAAATTATCACACTATAGACCGAAAGGAGTTAACCAATTGTGTTGGCAACCAAACACATGAAACATTATTTGGATGATAAGAAGTTTGATTGAGACTGACCATACATCCTTGGTTTATTTGGAAATTCAAAAGTATCTGTTTAAATAACAAATTTGATGGATAGAATGGCGTCAACACTTCAACATGAAGATTATGTACGTGGAGTGCAAGAAGCAATTTGCAGATGCTCTCACATGCATGTCTTGTTTCAATCATGTTGCTGAAGTAAAGAGTCAAGCAGATTGTTAGAGCAAGATAACACATGCCACAAAAGAGTATGAAGAGATCATGATGGCATTACAAGCTAGAAGGGTAGAGGAAGTCTAAAGGTTTGACGTTCTTCAAACAACATATATGGATACTGCAAGATCAAGAATTATGCACAATGATTTTATCAAAAAATCATGATATATTTATTGTGGATCATGTAATAGTGGAGAATACCTTGAAAAGCATCCGACGGATTTACTTTTGACTCAAACTACGAAAGGATGTGGAAATTTACGTTTAAAAGTTGTGTTGTTTTTCAACAGAACAAGGCAAGTAATAAAAAACTAGCTCGTTTATTGAAGCCTATCTCTACTCCCGAACAGCAATAATATAATATCATCATGTATCTTGCATATGAGTTATCAAAAACTTTGTTAGTAAATTATTCAATTATGGTTTTTGTGGACAAATTGAGCAAGATGATTCACATCAGACCAACCATAAAAATAGTGACAGCTCCACAACTTGCTCGACGAGTTGGTGAAACATATTCACCGATGGCTATACCAAGCAAAGGAAAAGTTGTTGATTACTCAAAATCGAAAAAAACATCATACTAATGCTTATTGTTGGGAGTTGGTTTTTTAGTTTGGAGATTAGGTTTGTCTATCTACAACAAATTTGTCTCTTGTAGTAAAACCAAATTTTAATTCTAGATTCATTAATCCTTTTGTGATATTGAAAAGTGTTGATGAAGTGTCATTCAAGTTGGAGCTTCCGTCACATATGAATATACATCCTGTATTTCATGTGTCACTATTGCAAAAACATGTACCACGACCAAAACAACAACCAATGTTACCTCCTTTACCAACCTTGATAGCTGATTAAGAGGAATTTGAGATAGAAAAGATCATCAATAAACAAATTTGAGGCCATAAGTATCCAAAGGTTGAGTAATGAAAAGAATATCCATCATACAAATCAACTTGGTTACCAACTAAAAATCTAGCTAATGCACCATTGATATTTCAAGAATTTGAACAGATGAAGAAAAGTAGGGAGGTTTGCAAACATCTTTAGTTAGTTAGAACTTAAGTAGAAGTTACTCAAAATGCTTATATAATTAGTTTAATGTGCAATACTCATAGCGGTCACGTCAACGATCCGCATGTTTGGTAGGTAGAGAGTAGATGTGTTAGTTGACAACGTCACGTCAACAATTCGTGTGCTTGTTAGGTAAGGATTGAGTGTGTTAGTTGGGAGCGTCACGACATCAATCCGTGTGCTTGTTAGGTAAGAATTGAGTGTGTTAGTTAGTGAGTTAGTTGAGCGCGCCACAGTAGCAATCTGTGTGTTTATTAGGGTTATCCGCCACATCATTTATCCATTAGGAATGGATGGATGGTGTGGTTAAGAGTTTTCTCCTTGTACTTGTTGGGAAGAAATATGTAATGGAAAGAATAACTATTTTTGGTATCTCTCATCTTCAGAGTTAAAGTTTCCATCTTCAATTGAACTTCTCTTTAAACTCTAATGTTAAATTATCAAGGTTGGAAGAGTAAGTGATGTTGGTTGATTGATCGATTGTTTTGACATGAATAATGTTTTTGCAATCGTAACACATGAAATATCAGATGTATTTTCAAATATGACGAAAGTTTCAACTTGTATGACACTTCACAAACATGTTTCAGAACAAAAAATGGATCAATTAATTTAGTATTCAACTTTGATATTTCTACAAGAGACAAACTTGTTGTAGAATAATAAAAAATGATTACTTCCTCAAAATCAACTCTCCACGATGAGCATATGCATGTTGCTTTTGCCAATTTTGAACTATCAGCAACTATTTCTTGATTTGATGTAATAATCTGTGAATATGCTCCACAAACTTGTTTGATGTGCAATTTTGATCAAAAACTACTTTTCTTTGAAAAGTCACATCAAACTTGAAGAAGTTATAGTATGATCATCATACGTGAGATCAAATGCAGACATTTTTGTGTATACATCAACAAAAAAATATATGCAAATTCCACAAGAGTAAAAATGGTGTATCAATCTTCTTGCGCTTCTGATGTGAATGCTTGCAGCATATTCTTTACAACATTATTTGATCTTTCCGTTTGTACAATTAGTTTGAAAATGATAGGTTGTTAAAATTCCTAGTTTTGTTTTGAAAAAACTAAACAAAGTTTTCCAAAATAAACTAATGAAGTGAATAACTCTATATGTAATTAACACTTTGTTTAAGACATGATTCATAAGAAATGCATTTAGATGCAATTGAGCTAGTTATGGAACTGTTGTTGTTTTTGTGGTTGAATTGATATATATCATCTTGCTCAATTTATCCACCAAAACCACCACTAAATCATTTTTAAACAAAGTTTTTAGTAATTCACATACAAGATCAATGGTGATATGTTCCATCGCTATTTAAAAATAGAAAGATGTTATAATAAACCAGCTGGTTTTGGATTAATTTTTTTGTTTTGTTGACAAACAACATAACTTCGAATGTAAGTCTTCATATACTCTTATATTTTGGAACTAATAGTACACTTGTTGTATGCTCTTAACGGGTTTCACCACTTTCACATGACCTGCAATCATTGCGTCATAACTTTTGGCCAAAATCATTATGCGCAATTTTTGATTTTGTGAAATCCATACGCCCTATTTATAAAATTTCAAACCTCAAGATTTTTCCGCCTTCCCAGTTTATAGGACTCAAGTAATCTTTTAATTTTACTTTGTGGCTTGTGTCATCTTGCTCCATCAATCAATTTGAATTTTCACTTCTGTAACATGATTCAGACAAATCATGTGTGTGAGAGCATTTGCAAATTACTTTTTTTTGTTTCATCTTTAAACGAGCTTCTATCTAAATCCTAGTGTTATAATCAGATGATAAAGTCGACTATAACTTCAACTTTATTGATTTTTGATAAAGTTGATTTTTGCACTTTTGAAAAGATTGTTGTGGTTTCAATGATTGTGTTTGTTAGAGTAGACAAAACATAGAGTAGCCAAAAATATCACTTTTGAAGTTGTCAAGGCAGCAATCTCTTGAATGAAGTCAGGAAAAATACAAATGATTGAAAAAAAATTCACTCATATGCACAAGGTACAACTTCAAGTGTTCAATCTTCACTATGATAGTCAAAGTGCATTACACTTTGATGAAAATCAAGTGATTGACATTAAAACACATGTACATACTTATGTATGAATACACATAGACATACGTATGGACATTATTTATTAAATTTATCATACATGTAGTTTTTGACAAAAAGATTAAGCTAATCAATATTGACATTAATTTCAATCCAGTTATTACTTTAATAAGTTCTAAACAACTTTAAATTACTATGCAGAATTTTGCATGATGAGCACAAATGAAGTAAACTTACAATATTAGTTATCTTTATATATTTTTTACTCTATCTTACTTTTGTTTTGGCTTAGTTCTAATTAGCTCTAGTTTAAAGATGTACCTTTAGTAAGTTTCCTCACAGGAGTTGTTGTGGAATAATTATATGGCTGAATGAGTTTATTGTCCACTTGACATGTGCTTATAAGGAAATTTTAGTTAATTTTTCATGATCAATGTGTTAGCGGACTGTTAGGATTTAATAAACTCTCAAGGTTTAGTCGGTTGATTGGCTTGTAGTCGATGGTGACTACTTAGCTTGGCAGGCTTGACATCTTGAACATTATTAGTAAAATCTTGATGTTACTGTGAACAGAGCCTACATATGAATCACACATTCTTTTGTGTTTTATCTTGTGATATTCTTTTGTGTTTTATCTTGTGATACTCTTTTGTTGAATGAGTGTTATCTCAGTTCTTGTATTTTCAGGCATCACAACTTTCATGTCTGAAAAAATAGTTTTAATAAAATCTTTTAAATATATTTTTCTATAGTTTACAATCATTAATTTGATCAATCTTCTAAAATAAACATACATATGATTTAAAATTTCCAAAATTATTACTTATTTTTTGAAATTTTTTGACAATTTTTTGAATTTAATTTCAATTTATCATGGATTTTTTATTTAAATAATTCAATAATGAAAAAATAATTTTCAATATGAAATAATTTTCAATTTATCTCATTTTCTATATGTTAAATTTTATTTGGGAATTTAAAGAATCAGTTTTAATCAAAAAATACAACATTTGAATGATGATTATAGAACATAGGATTTTATGTCAGTTATCAACAAATTTTCATATGATAAAATTTGATTTTTATGATGATTTTAAATTTAATCACTATAATAATCAGGTTTGTTGTTTCTTATGATTTGATGACTTAAAATATGCTGCTTAAATTATATCATTAACATAAAACTTTTGCTGTTATAAATGACAAATTTGACATAAGTGATATTATTTGCCAATTGATTTTCTTATCAATCGAAGTTATTGGAAAATTATTTTACTTATGTCAAGTTACTTACATAATAAGTTCACATTGTGATTTTATATTTGAAATTTTTCTTATCTTCAGAACAATATAATCTTCAAATATTGTGAATCTTGCAATTATTGTTTACTCTTGCTTATACCAAAAAAAAATTTCACTGTCATTCATCTTGGTCTTCTTTGTTTGAATTTTTAATTTTTTTAATTTATTTAAAATTATAATCCTTTTCAAAGAATCACCTTATCCAAAATATGACTCTTGTTGTTATCAATTTAGAGTGATAATGTCACAACACAACACATTGTCATGATAATATCATTTTGAAGTTATAATATACAGAAGTTTGCTAAAGATTATTAAAATCTAAGATACCTGACTAAAACCTAGATTCTGCAGAAATATTATGATATACTATAAAAATCAAAATATATGTGATTTCATATAATCACAAATTTTACTTCATCAAATTTAATTTAAATATCTGCAAGCTTATATTATTATGAGGGATGAATTGTATTACATTTATCACATTACAAAGCATTACATTATTTATCTTTATAGGTTTTCATATATAATTTTACCTATTAGAAGCTTTACATTAAAAGATTTTCATTTGATGAAGATCGCAATCTGTATGGTCGAAAATGCAATCAACATCAATAATTTGTTTATTGCTAGATGTATGTGGTGGATCATATTTTAAATACAATCCCATACACGTTTGCCCCTTAGACTGCCATCTGCAGCAGCTGAACAGTTGCTTGCGAAAGAGAGAAGAGCAGGCCAATCTCGTGCTCACGATAGTTCGTCAGCAGACATGGAACCCACTTTAATAACTTGAACAAGAAAATTATCGGATATGTTGCTAAATAAAGGAAGCAAAGTCTCTAGGTGAAATTTACTGAATATGAAATGAATAGGAGTGTAAATTGGAATGACCTGTATTCTCTTCCGGAGGAGGGTCTTAGTTTATTTATTTCTTGGGCTCTTGCGATATCATGTTCCATTCTCTGAGTTTATTTCACTTCTTTGACTCTAACTTTCTCTTATAGCACCATGTTGTTCCAAAATCTCTAATACCTAGGTCACATCAGGACATGTGCCAAGGAAGATTCTACTTCCTGTATTATTGGATTCGTTCCAACTGTAGGAATCTGGCGTGTAGTTGAATAATTTCCCCGATGTCCGATTTCCCGCGTCAAAGAGAGAGGAGAATTCTCCGATGCGGCGAATCGCCGCATTGGAGAATTCTTCCTAAACGGAAATTCCTCAAGTGCCAGTTATTGTGCGTCAAAACTTGTGGCCCGTTAGTAGACTGCAGGCTAGATCAACCCCGACCGTATGCCTGTGGGCTGACGGCATACGGTTACCGTCGTGACGGTCTCTCCTTTGTCACCGTCGCGTGAAGAACTCACCCGTCGAGCTCGCACCCTCTAGAAGACGTTCGATGCATTTGCTCAACACGACCTTCGATTCACTGAATGCTCCACTGAAGGATCGTTCGGGTTTCATTAGAATTATTTGAAATACTTGGTCTAGCTGGCATAGTTTGGGCCGCAGGTGAGATGCTTATCCAAGAGTATAAGCCCCGCACGAAGTCTCTTGGCGCGCACACCGTATGGGTTTAGCCTGATCGCAAAGAGCTTTCCAAGAAATGCGAGACGAAAATTTCCTGCGGCCTCGTCTCGAAAACCCCAGTGACGGTGAAACCCCTGGATGAAGGTGACACACGATCGGTGTACGTATACCGTCAACCCGCGAGGTATACGGTCGGGGTCGATCTAGCCAAAAGTCTTAGTAAGAAGTGTAAACGTAGTGACAAGAAAGGAGCACCGACGGACTGTTGGTTCGATCGGTTTTCATGATGCATATTATTTCTTGGACAAAATTACTCGCCTGCAAGAATACCCGATGCGTGCTGGGAGATTCTCTGTTACGGAGAGGAAGTGGAACCTCCAAATGTACAGGCAGGTATAATAGTCCCGGATACTGTCCGCTCGGGCAACGTCCGTGAGTCTTTCTTCCGTGAGGGTTCCTTTTGGTGTGAGTGTCATGGCACGCAGTCGAGTAACTCCGGCGAGCTCAGACTCTCGGCACAAGATGTCCCTGACAGTTTCACCACACCTGTCCCAGGACACAACAATGACCCGGATGGATGTCGCCTCTCTCACAGAAGCAGAGAGCGAGAGGGACTTCTTTTTCATGACAGTACTCGATCGAAACAGTCCGGGATCACATTGTTAGAACATGCAGAACTTAAATTCAAGGTCTTACAATCGTCAGTGTCCTGCCTGCAGACCGCACCTTTGCGTTCAGGACACTGGCATTAAAAGCAAAGGTCCACTTTGCGTTTATTGGTGACCATGGCACCTTGAGCAGGGTGCGCTTAAGATGTTAAACACTGTGATGTAATTATTAAAGTTATTCAAATTATCCAATGATTTGATCGCAACCGGTTGTATACCGAGTTTCGAGAGACTAGATCATAAGTGCTAAATTTCACTGTAATTTATTTCAGGTCCTGCCTTTATGAGGTTAAGCTTACCCGAAGTATGAATCAGACATGTGACGTCGGGGCTAGTGCTCGAACCAATGTCGGTTCGAATATTCAACGACTTAAGTCTGCAATTTGCTATTGATACACTCCTCCTCGCCCTAACCCCTAATGCAGGTTCTGGCGGTCTGCGGACACACCGTGCAGTCGGAAATTTCAGCCAGCCGAAGGTTTCTGGGTGCTTCAGTGCTGACAATATCTTTGCCACATCCTCAAAGGCCCCAGTTTGCGGTCAAAAGTCATGTCCTGACATTCCCTCATTCCCCTTGCATTCAATACCAACACCGTGCAGAAACTGTAGTTTACTGACTCTCGGGAGTGCCGAAAAGTTCTTAAAATTATGTAATCCATGAATTTGAAAAGAAAGGGCTCCCGTACATTAACAATTAATTTGATTATTTTACGCCCTGCCAAAACGTCGTAAGTCGACATATTTAGTAGGTACAAACCTGAACTTTAATTGAACGAAAAGCGATCGCATACGTCCGTACCAAAGAGAGGCAAGTCAGTTATTCTCCTCAGGAGAAATCATTGCAACAGGACTTTCCATCCAAAGACTGGGATGACTTTCGCTCAAGACTCCGAAGCATGCTGCGCTTCCGAGATCCGCACCAAACGAGCTTGGAATCACTGGACTTGGCCACATCGAGACTCCGATCACAGGAGAAAGAGATCCCCTCTTACGGACACTCGCCAAAAAGCGCAATGGAAATTGAATCTGTCGTACTGATTGTCCGGTGCCTACGTGATGATTTGCCGGGCCGATGTGGACAGATGTGGGCATCTGCATGGTGATGCGCACATCGGTCCAATTCGGGACCCCACAAACGACGTTCGTGACCTCAACGCCAGACCATCGACGCCTTGACCTTTCCCAGCTTTTAGAGTACAGATCCAACATATGGACAACATCACAAGAACAGGGGCTGGAATTACCTCATCTCATTGCATGGTTGGGGAGAGACCCCGGTTCACTCTCGCAGTAAGTACAAAGTGGAATAACAAAAAGGAAGGCCAGACCCCATCAAGCCCTCCATGGATGACACGGAGCGCCAACATGGGCTCGACACCAGCAGCGTCCACAGTGGTGAATATGTCCTAGTGCACCTAACATCAAGGTCCCAAATCCAGTCCCGATGACATCTCATTACTCCCGAAAGATCAGTCTGTTTCTTTCATAATTGGTGCTGGACGAAGCAGAGCGCGCTCGTGAGCCCGATGATCTTTCATAACTGCCCGAGCCGAGTGACTAGACGAGGTCTCGGAAGCAGGAGAGTCACGTGTGGAGAGTTCAGGGTTCGATTGGGGTCGTAAAGATCTCCGTCCCCAGGTTTTCTTTTGATTTTGAATCGACCTCGACACTTGACTGCACAGTTGAAGGTGGAGCCTCCCTCTTAGGGCTCAGCTTCCCACAGGAGGATATAAAAGACAGTTAAAAAATCCATAGTGATAGAACGTCAGGCGGGACAGATCATAGTACTTGAGTCTCAGGGTGAACTTGCAGCGTGATGATCCTTGAGCTCAGAATATGATTAGCTGCCCAACAGTGTTTTGATTCTACAATGCTTGGAGATATAGAAAAGACCTTCTCGAACAACGTGAACTACAGAGCCTAGTGTGCGGATTTGCATCATGACTCCCATCAGATCATCTGGCCACTTCCACTCACTGCACATTTGTTCTCATAAAATTCTTGTAGATCTAGAGTATGTTCTTCAGGAAACTTCGGCGCATTCGCTCTCCAACTACATCATGTGCACCACTTATCCCACTTGCGATTCAGTAAGTAGCAGGTAGCCGTGGATGAGCTCCTGGATTATGAGAACCACATATTATGCAATACTGTTCTGTTACTTCCGTATGTTGGATTGCATATGTTGTAAAGTATGATGTTTTCGTATTTTTTCCAGTCCTTTTTTTGTCTACAGAAATTCGAAATTTTTTTCCTCTGCTATGCGATGCGAAAACTGCATCAAGGTGTTTACAACTTCTTGGTGTTGTTGGCAATTCTTCTCATAGGGAAAGTCAAGTGATAGAGGTTGAAAGGCTAAAGCTTGCATTTTTTATATAACTATAAGAAGCCTCGTGAAGCTTAAAGTCAAGTAGTCATGTCTCTATTTGACAAACTTTGCAGCCCACAATCAAACAAGAGGTTCGGTTCCTCGTCATATTTTCCTTGTAATACAACTGTAGTTACTCGTAGTCTGAGCGTGACTACAATTTATATACGTTCTGATCTTGACGAGGTGTATAGATCAGTGTTCTGTGCACAAGCGTTTCTAAGGGGATCGGCAGAGACATGGTGTTTTCTACTATTAAAATATAATTACCTAGTTGTTTATGCCAAGTATAAGAAGTAGGGAATGTTCTACAGTCTTGACAGGTATCTGAATTTCTCTGCCAAATTGTCTTGTCCAGCGTAAAAAGCTTCAAGTCGCGAAAGATTCTACTGGAAACAAACAAACTGGGATTGGATTGTTTTGTGATGACAAATTTAGAACTTTAAAACATATTCCGGTGCTATCGCATGAGATAACAACAAGTAACAACCTAGCTTCTGCTGGAAGTTGTTTCATCTACAGACTAAAGTTATTAAAAAGTTTCAAATATTGAAAGTGCTTGCTACCTGCAAGTATAAATAGAATGGAGATGCAAGATAGGTGATGTAATAACTAGTCCACCTGTATATAATTACATAGGGTATAATTTTGTAAGTATAACCAGGCCTGCTTCATGTAGGCGGTCTTATGTCGCGTTGTCTAAACTAGACTACGCGGGGCGTCTACTTATGCTTCTCTTCAGTCATGCTTGGTAATTATGTGGTTGGCTATCGAGAGTAGTGGGAGATGTTCTATCTTTTCTAGCAGTGCAAATGACTTCCCTTTGAGTATAAAGCATGCTGATGAAATTTAGATGTTAATCTGAAAAATAGCAGTTGTGTCCTTGATTGTAACTAAGCTTACACATTAAGAAACTATTGTTACTCTAGGATTTTTGCGAAGATTCAAGTACATGTCCTAGGTGCACCCTAACCTGGCGGATTTAGGCAAATAAGGGTGCTGGATTATATAGAGATAACTTGAAGATTACGTTGAAGACAACTTGAAGGTCTCAGTCGTAGATTACGTTTCTTCTGACGGCAAATTAGACTTCCTTTGTAGTGGTGGATTGCTAATAATCAGAGAAATCACATTGGGCTACTTTACATTTTGGAGAACTGCATTATAATATTGAACAGGAGGGAAATGCAGTGAAGAAGTTCAAAACAAGTGATGATGTATGATAGTTTTTGTAGAGTAATGTTTGATATGATTCAACCTTCAACTATAAATCCAACAACATTATGATGAATAATTTTCATCTTAACTTTTTTTTTATTACAATTTGTATCAATGATTAAAAAATAATTTAAAAATTTTCAATTTCATTATGATTGATTTTACTTTCATTGCATATGTATCCAATATTGAATTAGTTTCACACAAATTTTAGCCAAATTTTTTTTTCTGATTTTAAAGGATTATATATAAAAAATTGTGAAATTATCATCACATTTCAAATTTATAAATTAGAAATTAAGATATGAATGATTTTTTATTTATTTGAAATAATGATTTTTATTAGAATATGAATGTAAATAAATAAAAATCATTCATATGAATCATTGTTAGTAGTTCTCATGTCTTCATTTCACTTAGCTTAACCACAATTAGTTCGGTTGATTAACCTATTATTATATAAAAAGCTCACAACACTTTAATAGATGTTGTTTATAATTATTTCAATAGAATTTGAAGTTTTATGTGAATGTAATTCGCAACTATCAACCAAATATCTTTAAGTTTGATTGTGCTTGTGTAATCTTGTATCGATCATATGTGAGTGAGTTTTGATTAATCCCATGGCAATTAATATCATAATGTGATTTTTTTTCCTGCATTACATGCCACTATCAAATAAAAGAGCGACCTCAAAATTAAATAATGAATGAAAATTAGTACTTTTTTGCCTTTTTGCTTGTAATATTGCTTTTGGTTACATAGAAGTATATATAGCTTGCTCCGAACATTATTTTCAAGTTTTCTAGTAAATCTTGATGTTTTTTGGAAGTAGTTAGAGGTTACTTATGTACTTATTGAAGTTAAATCTGCATGCACTTTATGTTCCTTTGTATTTTTTGATAGATTTTTCATTTTGAATTCCTGAATATTGTATTAATTATTGTGAACGGTTGACGTTTCTATACAAATGCAACAATTTTTTTAATGTATGCCTTGAAAAAACTATACAACATAAATGAATTTTCAAGTTTTATTGTACTTATGTAATCATACTAATCAATGTCCATGATCGACAAAGCTTCACCAAATATATCACTATCATATATCATTCCCCAATTAATCATTTTGTTCATTGTACACAAAAATTGTCTCTATAATGTTGCACAAACTTTCAAATAAAAGATTCAGATATCATATTTTGAACCTCTAAAAAATGATTGAAGCATTTCATAAATCAAATGACATCACTATATAATTAATTTTTTTTCATGGTGTGAATGAAAAAACATTCGTTTTCATTCTTCAAACAATCTAATAATATCATGAGACATTTTACGTTATTTAATGATGTGGTGTAAAGAAATACTCTAAAATTGATGAAAAAAAATTCTGAATGAAGGAAGAAATTGTAATTGATGAGTCTTAAACCAAAATACTAAACAATGAATTCTTCAATCAATTTCTACTAAAAAATCATCAAATCAAAATGGTATAATTATTATAAGATCTGCCTTGATTCATGTAATCTTCAAGATCATGATATTAAAACTCAATATGATTATGAAAATTGATTCATCTTGGAAAAATTAGATTATTTTTTGTATAAAAAAATTCAACACTATGTCAATAAGCTTGATATAAATTAAGTTTTAAAATTAAATGCGATCGTTCAATGATAACATGATGTGTATCTAGTTGAGCTTTTAAGCAATCAAATTTGGTTGATAACAAGTTTATGTACAATTTAAAATATTGTGACCATGTAAGATAGTTCACAAAAACTTGTGATGTCATTTTTTATAGGTTACTAATAAAACTTCAAATCTAACGTTGTAGATATAGTCAAAAGTAACGAAACACATGTATTTGATTTTGATTGTGACTTGAAATTTTTTTTACGAGATATTTGCTTGATGGTACCCCATCCAAAGGTAAATTGATTTTGATTGTGACTTGACATTTTTTTTATGAGATATTTGCTTGATGGTACCCCATCCAAAGGTAAATTGCTTGATGGGACCCATCAAGTTTCAATTTATCCGATGGGACCCCACCGACGTTCCACGTCACACTGTTCTAATATGAAGACAAGAGGGTGCGTGAATCACACTTCGTGTTACCTTCAGCACGTGATATTTTGTTTCGCCCTTCGCATCGCTGTGTAGAGTCTGACCTTGTTGAACTGCTTTCTTGGGAGTAATGGAACGGTAAGATGGGAAAGATGAAAAAAATAGCTCGGTCCGCTGCTGGCCTCAGGAGAAAGAAGTTTCAGTTTGTATGCTTGCTAGATCAAGCGCTGCCTTCTGAACAGTTTAGCTTTGGGCATCCAATTTTATTCGACTTAAGATCTCAGAGTGTGGATGTTGCGGGAATATATTAGAATAATCGATCAGCTTTCTGAAGCTGTGCTATATATTCTTACAAGAACATACCCGTACTAGAACACATACTGGAACTCAACGACGTCGCACCGTCCATGGTGTCCCATCGGGTAAATTAAAACTTGATGGGTTCCATCAAGCAAATTACCTTTAAATGGGTTCCATCAAGCAAATATCTCATTTTCTTATTGATTGTGTATACAAATTATTTTTGACTTCTCATGGAACAATTATATCAAAAAAATTCTAAATGATTCAAGACTAAAAAATATATAAAAATATGAAAAAAATTTGTAATCAGAATTGTTAAAATGTTGATATGAAAAATCAGTTCAAATTTCAAATAAATAAATAAATAATTATAATTTAAATATAAATGAAAAAATTTTTTATTTTAATTTTTTTGCAATGGATCCTTTTTTTCATCTTATCATTCTATACTTTGATAAGATAATTATTATTTGCATACATAATGCTTATTTTTCCAAAAATGTGTTTAATGTACAAATGTAAAATTTATTCATTGATTTTTATTGCAATAAATAATATAATTAACTATAAATTATGCTGCAAAGAAAAAACTCTTAACAATATATTTATTTACCATATAATATAAGGATAATAAAATTCAATTCCTTTCCATGACTTGATATATTGGCAGTTGTACATGAAAAAAATCTTTATGAATAACCATGTGATTGATTTACTTGTTAATCTCAATAAAATTTGAAGGTTTATTTGATATGGAATAGGAATAAATATTTATTACTATTTTTTTAACAAGAATCCAAGTTTATAATGTATTGAGGATGATGAATAGATTTCAATAATAAAAACATTTCACTTGTGGATTATAATCAAACCAACACCGTGGCTCAAAATTCAAGTGCAATTTTGAGTTACTACATTACAATTTCACTTGAAAAACCTGGAGGTAAAAATGTCTAGCAAAAAGTATACATTTACCTCATCGATTTTATCTCATATTTCTTACTTCCAAAATCTTTGAAGTTGTCAAGGTAGGTAGGAAACCAAAGTACTAACTTGGGATTGATCTTGATGACATCACAATTGGACATATGTCATAGTGCAACTAAAACATTTGAATCATCTACATGATAGTCTTTCGCGTATGGATTGCAACACTTTTGTTATTCGTAGACTATTGGTACAAGCTGATTTAAGAATTGTTTACAAAAACTTGAAGAGAATGATACACATGTAGCATAGTCTTCTAGCTCCCACAACATCAATTCCATATCTTAATAAACTCCCAAAGCTAGGGTAAGAAACGATTTTTTGAAGTAGAAATTCAGCTATTTTAAGGTAATGCTTGTAGCAGCATAAACAAAACGTAGCAGCATAAACAAAACGATGAGTTACCGTCAATTCCACCCGTAATATTTGTATTAACCCAAGTGAATTGCAAAACTTGAATCCATGTAAAGTATCCACCTTGGATGCCATAAAAATTGCTAGACTCAATGTGCAACTTGAGAATTGTCATTTTGGAAAAGAAAATGCGCGTCTTCGAAAATGAAAGATTTCCGTTCGTGTCTTCGACCTTGGAGTGGTTGCGATCGAATCAGTAACCGGGCAGCTTATTACAGGGTTCATCAGATTTCGAGGTCTCGATAGGCCAGAGCTTTGGCACCAAGAGATTGTGCTCAACTGATTCAAAATGAACATGAGCCAAGCTGTGCTCACCTCGATTGACGAAGGTAAGCATAATACGCCAAAAAAATGGTCCCGGACACATTTGAATTCTTTCCAGGCAAATACAGAACAATTCTTCGTACAGTCCAAGTTTCATCTCTTAGAGAAGCCGCTTTTCACGAGGAAACGAGACCTGAGGACTAGCTGAATGTCTGAATAGGAAGATTGAGGACGGCGCAATATATTCTAATCACCAGGCCTCGCTATTGTCAACTGTTTCGGTTTTGACTCCTCGAAGATTTTGGAGTTCAAAAGAAGGAGATGCAGACTGCCGTTCATACATTGATTTCCAAATAGTTTAGGGTTGTAGATTTGGGGTTTAAGGGAAGGTTCAGGGTTTAGAGCGATGGCGGATTGTGAAGATGGGGGTTTCAAAGGTAAGAGGCGTTCTGAACAGCAAACTCTGGCGCAAGGTGGTAATCAAAAAGGACTGCCGAGAAAGCGATTTTATCGAGCTCGGGCGCACAGTAATCCCTTGAGTGACTCCTATTTCCCGGTGTAAGTGATTATCTTCATTTTTACTCGAATTAGATTTCAGAAAATGTTTGTCGAGACTTTTGTGTCCATTTCTTGATTGGCCTGAACAACAAAAGCTTGTTGTTGATTTATATTCTACTCTGAGATCTGTTATATGTTCAGGTATTGAGTTTTTCTTAAAAGCTCTATAGCTTTGTGGGTGTTTTCTGTAATGACAGAGATTGCCGAAAATATTAAATGGCTTGGAATTGCAGGCCTAACAATCCCTCCGACTGCGACTGGAAAGAGCACTTTCCAGCATTCTTCAAAGATAACGCATCAGAAGTAGAGAGTGGTAAGCCTGCTAATGATGAGGCCAAATCAGAGGTCAGATCATCTGAAAGTGGAGCTGTGGTGCCTTCCTTTCCAGCCGGTAAGTGTCGAGAAAAGACGAAAGTAAATGAATGTTCATATCCTGCTTGCTCAGGCACATCAACTAAATCGTACATTTCGCATTGTGTGTTCGGGCAAAGATTTATGATTCCGGTTTCCTCAATTTCAGAGAAGTCAGTGCCGAAGGTGCGCTTCGCAGATATTGGCTGCGGTTTTGGTGGCCTTCTCGGTGAGTTTCTCGGTGCTTTGAACGATCAGAATTGAATTTAATAATTTTGCTTTCAGTATCTATCGAGGCATATTGGTTTTACTGGCTTTACTGCGACTCCAGTGCACGTGTATGTCATTTTCCATTTCATATTTTGCGTACGCAGTGAAGCTATCGGTGCTATATCCCGACAAACTCATGGTTGGCATGGAGCTTAGGGACAAGGTAATTTTCTTTTGATTCTGAAACAGCCGTAATCAGATATTCCTGGAGGTCACTGCCACTGCTTGTCTCAAAGTGCTCTTCATTTCTGTCGAAGACTTCCACATCCTTCGGTATATTTTTATGTCTATGATAGATAATAATACCACTACACAAACACCTGTCTCAAGGTTCTGGCTACCTTTCATTTCAGAGCAGAAGTGCTATTGATAAGTACTTTCTTACGAGCAATTTTTTGAATTCTCTTAGACATCTGGACTGGGAAGCTAATCACGTGAACGAGAACTGGATAAATATTCCTTCTGACTAGAGGGAATTTGGCAGGTCAGCGAATACGTGAAAGAAAGGATACTTGCTCTTCGTCTCAAATACTCGGGGCAGGTATACGTGATTGAGAGCTTTTTATAGTGTCAGTATGTTGTGCTTATGTAATGCCATTACTTTTAATTTGGAGGCATATTATGAAGACCTCAGTTCTAGAAAAAATGGAAGATAATGATACCAAGTTCTTCAAAGTGGATATCATGTGCTTAATAATAGTCTCGTCTTTGCGGGTCTGATGGACAGTATGAAAACATCTCATGCTTGAGAACCAATGCAATGAAGTATCTACCCAACTACTTCGAAAAAGGACAGGTGTGCTGACTCTGTATTTTATTTGGTGCTTCATTCGCGAAGCTATTGTAATACTATGTGCTTCGTTGCAATCTATGAAATGGTAAACTTGTCACCGGAAGCAAGAAATTCATATCTATGTGTGGTTTACGCACTTGCTAAGATGCTCTTGCAGTCGGAGCATGCTTATGTGTTCCCTTGTTTGAATTGACAGCTGGAAAAGATGTTTTTCTTATTTCCGGACCCACATTTCAAGGAGAAAAATCATCGCCGTCGAATAATCAGGTAGGTCTCTTGTCTATCATGTTTAAATTTTGTTAGTGGATTTGAGCTATCTTCGTAGCTATTTTGTTCATCCTAGTTTTCAGTCTTACGACATCTACATTTCCTGACCGAAGCTAAATGGAGGGTGAGTACTTGCCTTCAACATCTACCTCAAACTTCAAGAGCTTTCCTTCTCTAGAACGATCTCGTTGTGTCTGCTTTTGGTCTCATACTTTTTGTAGGAACGGAGCTGTCTGGCTGACTTGGATTCCATGAGTGGTTCTGCAGTCAAGCGTTGCTAGCCGAGTACGCGTACATCATGGCAATAGGAGGTATGTGAAGTTTTGTGTTCGCAGATTTATTTGTAAAGGGTTGATTCGAGTATCATAATCAGGACTTGAAGTTGATGGAATGTGATTTTTGATCATTTTTGATTGACGTCTTAGTCTTCTTTGATTTACTCCAGGGATAATATACACCATCACGGATGTGGAGGAGCTCGGTGAATGGATGAAGTCAAATTTGGATGCTCATCCATTATTTGAACCTCTCTCGGAGGCAGAACTGGTATAACGAAATAACCTGAGCCTCACAACTCTCATCCAGTTTAATATACTTTAAGAAATCATGTACATGTATTAACTTGGTTTCATTTTGATACGCAGGCTAAGGATCCAGTTGTAGATTTGCTAACGTCTGCAACTGAGGAGGGTCAAAAGGTGAAGCAGACCTTACCTGATCCTATATGTTTAGTCTGAGATCCTTTTTGTTCTTGTGGGAGTTAAAGGTTTTGCCAAATTTATCTTGTAATTTACGTGTTGAAGTTTTGCTCTCCACAGGTTGCACGAAACTCTGGTGAAACGTACCGTGCCATTTATAGACGGATAGCGAGTGCAGTGTAGGGCAAACCTTCTTTCTTTAGAGGCATAATTAGATGGAGGTGACAGAACGTGTGGCAGACATATGAGAATGTTCATAAAGTTTGTTTAGACAGTAGGGCTTACTTTATAACCTTCCAAGTTCATTCTGCCACCAAGAACTGTACAGGTTACAAAGCTTACTCGACTTTGAGATAGTCACAGTTGACTTTTTGTTGGCATTGAAAGGGATAGGGATAGCTCTTGCCATCTTATCAATTTTTTCAAGATATGAATTCAAATCAAGTGAATAAACTTAGGTGTATCGAGTGACGGGTGTGCAAGTTTGGCCAGTGTAATTTATTGATCTGGACACATATCGAGTGATATTTTCGCAATTTCTACTGTTTCAATCTAACCTCGCAAATTCGATTTCGTGGATTTAGACCTCGACTGAAGGATCTGTACTTTAGTCATGTCACTGTAAATTCGTGATTTTAATATTCAAAATCTTGTGTCACATGGGTCATTATCAAAATCTCAAAGGTGTATGCACAATCCATCTCACGTAGTAAAAACTAATCAAATGTACATTCCATTTTGCTGTTTTTGAACCCTTTAATATATAAGGATATAAGTCGTAAAGTTAGTTTACGATGAAAGTCATAGTACCTCTGAACGTCTAGTGTGTTCAATTTGAGAGGTTTATGAGTATGCTATATACATTCTACAGCAGTTTTGATAGTTTCCACTTATCAAATCGATAATTTGAGATCTACACTAAGAAACATAGTATCGCTATTCCTTTAACTATTGATCCATCTCACAATCATTTTCTTGATAATTGCATGGAAGTTGGGAGTAACCAGAAGAGTTGGAAAAGTAACAAATTATAACAAATAACAAATCATGCAAAACTTCGACCATATTCATTTCTTAGCGATCACGACGTTTTCCGGAGCTGTTATTAGAGCTGAATTGAGATAACACATAACATACTGACGTCTTTCACCCTATTTTTAGGGTCCTTGGACCAATCGAGTAATATTTAATCACTTGGAAAAGTTCGTGTGATTCTCTGAATCGTAAGCCCATAAACGGATTCTACTGCAATGGCATTAGTAGTCATTTTCTTCTCAACTATTCGTCTTGCCATCAACATATAGCATTCGATCTTGCAATCCCTCCATTCCTTCTAAGATGACTCAAAATTCTGCACCTTGGATTGCGAGACTGCTTGCATTGAGTTCTGGAAGGGAGGAAACGAGTTTGGCAAGAAATGTGAATTTTGGGTGCTTTGATGCATTTCTCCAACAAAACACATTTTCGCTTGTTGGACTCTAGTGTGAACAGCAAACGCGGTAGGCTTCAGTTCGTCAAATTCGTAAGATTCAAGTACAGCGTTTGCGGTTTCAGAAGGCTTGAGCTGGAAGAGCAATGCACCTTGGGGGTGTGAGCTAGGCTTTGATGAATGGAAAACCCTCTCTGTGTTTGTGCATCCTTGTGATATGCGATGGAAAGACTAGTGAGATGCTGCGTCCTCACGAAGAATATTGAACTTTGGCTCGGAAAAAATTGTGACTCGAACTCGCCTTGAACTTCTGTCCGTTCAAACTTGAAGAAAAACCGTCATTGGAAGGAAAAAAACCGTCAGCAATGTTCGCCTTTAACTCAAACATGCTACAGACACTGTCACAAAACGCATACAAGAGTGAGTTTACGATGTGAAAAACAACAGTGGAACAATGTATATATTTTTTCTTGGAATACATATACCCAACACCGAAGATTAACCTAGTGATAAATAGTTAGATAGTGAGACTAATCTTTAACCTAAACTCAACAACACGCAATTGTTAATATATTGTTTTCAGCTAATATATATAATTATAATACAAAAATATTCAAAATTTTTGAATATAAAAACTTTAATTAACATGCTTAAATATAATATAACGGAATAAATTATTGATATATATATTTTCAAATAAAATATTCATATAAAAATACAAATATTATTTAGGTATAATTTTTGATTAAAAAATTCAATTATAGTATATCAACACAATAATTATTCATGATTCATTTTCGATTTAAATATCCACTGTTAATATAACAAACACACCAATTTTTAGTTATCATTTTTAATAAAACATTCAATCACGATATGACATATACAACAATTGTTGATGTGGCATTTTCAACTTAAATATTCAATGTTAAAATAACAAACATAAGAATTGTTCAAATTTTACTCTTGATAAAAATATTCAATCAAATATGACAAACACAAGCATCGTTGACATGTAATTTTAAGCTAAAACACTTAATGATAATATACTGTGATAATAATTATATTTTTTCTGTGTAATTCTCGACTAAGAGAATATCGTATTTCTGCTAGAAATAATTTACGACTTTGTTCTATTTGCAAGGATCTCTGCTCAACAAGCAAAGCAGATGCTTCCCATATTGTCAAATGTAAAATATTAACATAATACTTGGCCAACTCCTCGTACCTGAACCATCTGAACTTTCTCCATGGAACTTAAATTGGCCACCATGGGAGACAACACTTTAGCCGTCAAGGCCCTTTACGATCAGAATGAAACTCTAACTCTGTAGTCGAGATAGACTTGTTAAAATGAGAGGTGTCCCACAAGCTTTCTGGGAGCTCTCAAATGCGGACAATTCAAAAGATTGTACATTCTCTTGGACAGCTACATTTCAAAAGCTCATATCCTCGTAGTCCATCAAGCATGCATTCCCTGGTTGAGGTTTTAGCGCTGATTAGGAGTCACAAGAGTTTCCGGGTATGAAAACCAACGTTTAACATGATAACAAAACAAACCCTCGACTATTCGAATCTTACCTGCCAGATCAGAGCTTATAGCACTTGATGTTGTCTTTTGCAAAACCCAGTTTTGATGGACACTGATTCGTCGTCCATTTTTTCCCCTGCATGTTTATAACTTTGCTCTAACTGCGCATTTCAAACCAAACCAATTTTGCCACTCCACTTCACAAAAGAGATATTCCATCATTCTCTTACTGCCCAGGAGTTCAAACGAAAAAACCAGTGTGGTGGAATCTATCTTATATAACCAGAAAACCGACAGAACAAAAGCTAGAACTTGAGACAGTAGTGTAAGCCAGAGCTTCTAAGAACTTCCGATAAAGCTCCCAACGTTGTTCATTTAAACATTCTCTTTAAAACTTTACTTCCGTCATGCATACTGCTGTTGAAGAATTCACTTTTAAAAATGTTTGAATGTTTTTGTAAGATCGGCAAACAAGTCAGTGATATTCTCAATTTTGAAGATCGACCGTTTGATCTTTCTCACAAAGAAAGAAATTTGAAGTTCAGGCTACATGAAATGAAATTGAATAGACTTTTAAAAAATGAAAAGATGTAGCTGGCAACGGACAAAATGATCATCAGTCCTGAGTTGCTAGATGCTTCGTAAGTTCAGTAGATTGAACAACTTCACTCTTTTGCTTACCATGCACATCAGACCCTTTTGCTTACAACACATTCTATCATTCCTCTTGGCTCCTGCATTCGGCAATACTGCGAAGCTGACAAATCTGTTGAGAAAAGCAAAATCCCGAACAAGCACGCAGTTTGGTGTGAATCAGAGGCCTGGAGATCCATAGGTATAACAGTTAACTGGAGAATTTCCTGAGCGCGAGTGTGGGAAATTGCAGCACAAATATGGGAGGACGTGAACCTGTTTCTCTGCTGGTCGGAGACCCGATGAAACGGGCTGCAAATATCAACGCCTCTTCTCATCTCCAGACGATCAATGGCTCCTTAATCGATCTCCAGAGTGACCCGCTTTTTGACACTCTCTTCTTATTTGCACTATGGTTCTTCCTGCTTACCCTCACTATTATTTTTCTGACAGTCGACATTTGTTTTCGGTTTGAAAGAAGAGTTTCAAGGAAACCCTCTGACGGCTCAGAAATTGAAGCAGAAATTTCCAATCGCACTCGCAATCATCGGTCCGGCCACATGCAAGCAATGGAGAGTCACCACGAAGTCGTCAAGGAGACACGGGATAGAGCGGGTGCGAGCCATGTACATCCGGAGGAGACTTCATCGTCTTCGAGCTCATTGAGATCCTCGTCAGCTGCTGACACGAAATGGAATCTCCAGACTGGGAATCGCTATTCCTCATTCATGATCCCATCACCATCATCAGGAGATCATGAATGTGACAGAGCTTTTAGTAACTTGCTCCAAGTGAAAGCCTTTCTGACTTCTCGGTGTAGTAGGGTCTTCGGATTTGGACGATTGATATCTAAGAAAGTTGATCTAATCGAAGACAAGTTACCAAAAAAAGATGTCAAAAAATAAACAATCGGTACTACAGCTGTTTAACAAGAACTTGAAGATAATATACATTCGTTATTGGATATATTGAAGGCAGTGCATACAAAGTTCAAAGGACTGAAACCTGCACAATATATCCTGCTTTAGTTGAGTTTGTCAGACCATACCATAATCTGTATTCATGTACAACATTCAGACTACAAAAATTGATTGAATATTTGATTTCTCTTACTCTTCATGTGATGAATCACATGCAATTCCGCATGAACCGCTACAGGCGGCAGAGCCTTGATACTTTTTGGGTCTATAATTCTACCACTTGGTTCAAAACTATTAGTATCATTGGCTGACTGAATCATAGTCGCAAGAAAAAAACTCCTTTTTCTTCAGCTTTAAATATAGTTAGGTCCATATGCCTTTCCAAGATTCTACAGGAAAAGTTTTACGAACGCATGTGGAATTCTATGGTTTCTATGCACATTATACGTTTATCATTATGTTTTTCAAATCAAGTAAAATACTTCACTCGAACGGTATATGTATAAATGCAGTTTGCGTCTGAAGAGCCCTAAATATGACTTCCATCAGTAAAAGCAGAGCGAAACAATGTCTTTTCGATATTAGAGTTGTACAACATCAACCATGATCTCTTAAGCCCATTTCAAACCAGCAGCAAGGTTTGAACCTCAGTTTAGATTGCAGTCAGTTTAAGTACAGTCAATCTTAATTCTCTTCAATAAGCTTTCATTTCCATGTCGCTGAGCTGTATTTAGACAGTAATAGACGGTGCAACTTGGGAGTTCTAGCGCCTGTGAACAATGCCCCATCAAAAGGTTTCATTTGCAGGAGCGACAATTTTGCATTAAGTTAACGTCTGATCAAACATCGATTAATGCTTGAGTCCAGCGAAAAGTCATAGCTTATCAAAGAACAAAAAAGAGTAAAAAAGAAGAAGAAATGATTGCTTTTTGAACAACAGAAAGATTGATACATCCAAACATGTCTACTAGGGATTCCAACAAAAGTTCAACATCATGAGATTGTGGCTTCAAGATTAAAACAAATGTCTTGCTTGGAAATATGCAATAGTAAGCTCACATATGGCAGCAAATGATATACCAGTCCAGAAGTTCTAAGAGAGTGTAACTATCTTGAACTTTGATGCTCGACGTGTTTGAGGACAAACGTATCGAGCATCGTAGGCGCATCTTCTGGCTGCAACGTAGGCGTACACAAAGTTGTGAACTGATGATGATCAAAAGATGTACATCGACTATTCCTGAAAGGTACTGACCTCCTACTAGTTACGTATCAAACTGTGATATCTAACTGACTGAAACTTGAATAATTGATCCAATGGATACAATATAGAATGAGAAGTGACAATGAGTTCTACCGCATCCTGCAATCTACAGTTTGGTCAGATGGACCAAAAGAAAAGAGCAGGAGCCTAAAGGAACTGTAATCAGAGTATCACACGAGCACGAGCTCTTCAAAGTGATTCGAAGAACTCATGAATTTCCTCCGCAAGCATGTTCAACTCAACGTCATAGACAAATAAAACTGTAATGGCACAAGTAGACTTTTCTCTCTCAGCTTTACGTCTTGCCATCATTATACAGCATTAATTTTGTATTTGGAGTGTAGAAAGTCCCTCAATCACTACTGAGATGGCTCAGAATTTTTCACCTGGGATCTAGACTGGTTCCAGTTCGGGTATTGGAGCTAGAACTACTCCCAACTTTAGAGATTTTAGAGTGGAATGAAACTGTGCTGAACCCTTTGGTGCATTGCTGGCACCAGCTCTTTCCCCGTGAACGTGACTGCTTGATGAGAAAGTCTCCGACGACTGGAAATCTGGGCTTCAAGATCTACGTCTCCCCGTAGTCTGAGCCTCGTTTTTTGCCAAAAGAAGAATAGTATACAATTAAAAATAATCCCGTGACGGTGAATGTGAACACCCATATTATCACCATTAATAAAATAAACTGCACAAATGGAGTGCTCGGGACATCCAACGAGAAGCCAGGGGTGCTGATATTCGCACCCAGTTTCACAGGGTCTCGGAGTGACATCTTGAAAGATAAAGTGTTCCGCCTTACTCCGATCGTAAGAGATTTCTCAACTTCACAATATGGCTGAATGCAGGCTTCCAGTGGAATGAGCAAAACCTGTCTTGTGAGCAAAAGCTTGTGAGCAAAAGAGTGTGAATGAGGGCTGTTTTGTGAGCTGTCTTGTGAGCAAAAGCTGGAAGGTACTGAGAGTTGATGTGCGTGGGAAGTAAAAGAGTCAAACTGTTGAATCTACTGGAATTTATAGCACACTGTCAGCTCCGGACTGATGTATTTTAATCCGTTGGCAGCTCCATTTGTTGATTTGAAAGGTCTCTTCAACTCAGAAATTCGCTAAGTTTTTCGCACTTAAAAAAAAACGTTGGACATCTTCAGAGTCACAACAAGAACAATCCAGCCCGTAAGACCGTTCATTCGACAACCGTAAATCATGATGAAAGAGACCTGGAGCTCAAGTAAGACAGCAGTATTCTTGACTAGAACTATGAGCATGGTAGCTGACCAGAAACCATGAGTTTACTACACCACTGAGCTAAGAAACGCTAACTTACAAACATGCTCGTCCAAAACCAGAGTTGGCAACTCTCTTTTGTCGTAGTTACAACGATGCCTTGAAGCTCCAACATCCAGCTCGAATTTTGCACCAGTTTGAATGAGAACGATCGGTAAGGTAACGGATCGAAGGCTCGTAAACTTCCTTTATACTTATATCATCTAGAGCAGGTTGTTAAGAACCTGCTTTTTGGTGCCTTGTCAGTTCTATGTACATGTTTGTTCGTCTTCCCTCTTCGAGCAGAAAGATATGTGTCTCGGGTGACCTGGCTTCATTTCGTAGATTCTGTTCTTCATGTGATAAATGGGAACGTTTCGTTATCTCTGATTCAATATTCTGGATGGTCCTGATTATTAGGCAGAGTAGGCTGTAGCGACTTCAAATGTAGGTACTTAGGTTGGCGATAAAGGTGGAAGTGTTAGTCTCATACTGCGCAGATGCAGATTGTTGTACATGAAATGAAGATCACTATTTATGTTTTGAAGCAATTGTTGCAGACAAGTGAGAGTGTTGTCTTGGCATTTTCTTGTTCGAAGTGTTTTCGAATGAATGTCTGAGTGTAGTAATATTTAACGAGGATATGTCGTCTGATGCGTTGACGGGGGTAGAGATTCTTAGGTGTGGATTGGTGACATGTGTTCTATTTACATCAAGATATCGTATGTAGCTATGATGTGAAGGTTAGACTATCAAATGTGTTTGACTATACGCAAGTTTAAATGGGGTCGTGACGATGGGATTTTATACCAAATAGTGTATACTGACATTTGGTACTAGTCGTTGTACGAGGTCTGTCGAGCACATTCTCTTCATATCGAAAAGAATGTAAATTGGTTTATACATTTATAGCCCCAGGAGAATGTTGTAATTTAGAAATTGAATATTTCTTTGTAAAGGGATAGGGATAGGCTATTCAATATATAACGCAAATGTCCAGAAGGAAGACTGGCGAGTATTAGGGAACGTAGATAGAAAATTTTCGTATGCTACGATTCTACTGATGTATTATCTTGCCAAGATCTATCATATACAGAGATCTATTTGGTGATGATTTTAGATATACCAATCACCAATGAGCTTCCAAGCTTGATCTAATTAGAAATCTTAAGAGCTTGATTTGTAAATTCACATTCATTTCTAAGCAAATGTTGGTCACATGGAGTCTAATTTATAGAAAAAAATTTTCTAAAATTAATTATCAACTCAATAACATGGACAAGCTAACATAAAATTTGTTTAAATTTTTTTCATAATGATGCATATGTGATATGAAAATAAACTTCTTTTGACATCAATGATAATAGTTATGAACATTTTTCACATAATATTAAGTGACTCTGCACTAGATTCGTATTTGAAGCACAAAGAACAAAATATATTAGCCACACGGAAATTTTGAAATGACTTGATTAATAAAATATTTTCCTTATGCATTTATTTGAAATGTAAATCTGAATGATTTCATTTTAAAAATTATATTAATGGCTTGGTAAATTTTGCTATGAAATTTGAAGACTGCAAATATATATTATTTATTCAAACTTATATATTTTCACAATCTTCATTTAATTTTATCAAATTTTAGATGTTAGATTCCATTTTCATTCAAAATTTTTTACATTTTTTAAAATTTTATTATATATTATCCATAAAGTCAATAATTTTGAAATAAAGCGTTTCTTTATAGAGATAAAAGTTTTTGCTTCAAAATATACAAATTTAATCTTATTTTTCATTTATATTTTCAAAATAAAATCTATTTGGATTGATGTATCTAGTTAGAAAATATCTGTATGCATTTATAGAAGTAAAAATTAATTCCAGATATGATAAATAATCAATTGTGGTGTTTTGAAATTTGAAGCTATTTGCATGTTTCTTGACTAGACATTTATAATAAGACTCTTATATGAAATAAAATTATTGAGTAATAGATTTATGTTGGATTGTATGTTAGTATGAAATATTCGATATGTATCATATTGTGTGATGATATATGTATGTGCATGACATTTTATATTGATGAAAAAATATTTCAAAATCATGTAGATATACTTTTATAAACATCATGATTTTTATATTACTACCTTTCAAAGAATAAACTATATACTATGTCGAAATTAAATTAAATTATTCTTCTGCATGTAACAATAAATCTGTATTCTACCAATTTTTTAATGGTTTGTTAAAATTAATTTAAATTGAACTAAGACATATGTATTGCCTAAGTATATAATCCAATACTGCTTTTGAAAAGTTGCAAGATCCATATTTATATGTCTATCATTGACATAGTATTATTATTTTCAGTATCTTATATATCTAATATCACACACAATGAAGGACACATATACGAATCATATAATGTTAGTAAAGTTTTCTTTGCACATCACTTTTACTTATGTTCATAAGATCAATTAATTTTCAACCAGCGGCCAAAGGGACATTTGTAGAAAATGATTATTTTCGAAACCGTAACCTGATGAATGAGTTCTTTGAGTTTGAGTAAAATTCAAGGTAATTGATAGAATAATCGTCATAGAACTGCCCGCAATGGTTGGCCAGGTTTCTTAGCAACTAGATGTCTCATCGACAACAAAATACGGGCTTTAAAAACGCGCACGATTATACCCTTACCAAGGTGTCACATAACTCTTCAGGCACTATATCAATGTTAACATCAGACAATTTCTGTGTGCAGTACAGATCAATCACGTCACTAGAGACGACATTTCTCTCTCCCTAACCAGTAATATGAATTTCCACTCAAATTTTCTTACCTACAATCGACCATCGTATTCTAAACGACGTCCGATTGGGTATAAAACACTATCTCCTCGGCTAATCATATGTGCATTTACCTACCCGTCCTGCGTCATGGACTTGGCGACCTTCATGAAAATCAGACGTGTCGCGATATGAGTCCATGATAAATGGGATGATATAGCCATCTGCTTTTGTCAGTCCAACCTGGTCAACTTGAAGCTATTGTCTGTAGACTGCTAAAGCCGTATGATTTTCATCTTTTAGAAGTGTAGATCTTAACCCAAATTTGGAAGCCACCTTATCCAACATCTGCCTTTCTTCCTCGGTCAACCAAGGAGAGAGTCTCAGACACATCACTTCTTCCTCTTCTCCAGGTAGCTGTACGTTGGTCAAGCATATATCTCCTTTCCATATTTCCACCTTTTCCATTAAACAAGATTCGTTGTCCTTTCCTATACCTTCTAATTTGCCTTCAGCAAAGTCTTGGAGGATGTTTTCAACTGCTGAGCTCCACACAGGGTCCGCGAGTTTCAAAAATTCATGCAATGCGCCGGCAGGAAGAGCGATGGCTCCTAAATCAGTTTCTTCGGGATCTCCTCTCGCGTGAAAATCAGACCCTCCAATTTTTGCAAGATTGCACGCTTCTGCCACTGAACCAAAAACTGCGAAATTCACATCCAGATCATTACTTAATGTTTTTCCAAGTCACAACCAAGAGCTTACGATTTGAAAAACAACTACTCCCAGATTCTTACAGATCATTAGCAATCTGATAAAAACATCACGAATCCTTTGACTTGGAGTGAAGAGAGTCAACATGATATAAACTAGAAATGCTTCGACAAGGGATGTTCGACAAGCAAAGTCCAAGGAGAACAACCTGGGTGTCTACCGTCACTGCGGTAGACTTCCACCCCATGAAGACCGACATTCGCCAGTTGCTCAATTAAGGGGATTGGATCTTTTAATGCCCAGGGATGGGCAAGAACTGATACTCCACCGGTTTGTTGGATAAGGTTGACCACTTCTTCTGCAGGAAGCTCGGCGCCTCTGAAAGAAATTCAACAGGATATCATTTATCAATGTCAGAGTTTGGAAAAGTATACACTGCTAAAGCGCCTTCTGCGGTGTAGCCTCACTCTTTAATTTTGAGACTTGTGTTCGTATAATCTGTTCCATAGATTGATTGCAGAATGAATCTTGAACAGGAGGAATGCCTGTTCTGTTAAACAAAATTTCGGAACCAAAGCATCAAGGGACACTGGTAGAGGAGAGATGCATGGGTGTGTTCTTGTTCAAGAAGATATTGTTAATTACGTGGAATGAAATCTGAAATATCGTAACATTTAAGAATACTGAAACTTTGAGTTTACAACCTTCTCCAGTTGACAATAGCCATAATCTCTGACAGTGTCTACTGCCAGATATGATTTTGACACTCAATTCCTGTTAGTAACACTACTTTCCAAACGTCAATATATGTACTAAACGCGAAATGAACACTCTCAAATCGTGCTACTAGCAATATATTTTTATCACAATGTAAATTATGACTGAAATGGAAAGGTGTGCCTTTAGTGACCTGCAAACTGTAAGTATGATGAGCAGTATTCCACGGAAGAGTGTAACCTACTTGGGTGACATGTGACGCAAGACAATCCATGTAGTCTAATCTGACGCAAATTGAATTAACAAATAAAAACAGCAGAATAAAACAAGAAATGCAAGGGACAGTGAACCCACAAACATAAACATAGCGTAGTAGACCCTATTTGATGCTGAATAACAATCAAGAGATTATCATCAACGTAGAGAAAGGAAGCATAAATCGACCTTCCCGCTATACCAATATCCAACCAATCCTTAAAATGATCGCTGCATTAAGATATGAATTCTTGCCTGCAGTCTAAATGGGAGGTTATCAGACCGGTAAGGAGGTCAGTTTCAGATGACGAGCTGTACATTCAGCAAGAGTTAGTACAAGTAATCAATAATACAAACCAAACTAAACTCCTCTCGGTCGCTTGCTACCTCGGGTATCTGGTAATTGTAAGCTTCTCGAGTCTCACCTACTTCGACGTGGACTTTGGCGTGTGTGATGCGTTTGGGATCCGTTGATTCCAAGCGACAATTTAGGGCTATGGAATAGCTGTAAGAGCTCTGATCTCTCAAATTTCTTTTGAAACATGGTTTGATGGCTATCAAACCATGATGAACTAAACCGAATTAGAAATTAGAAATTCTTTCAGGTGTCAGGAATCCTTTCAGAAACATACTATGGGACCTCCAAAAAACTGTCATGTTTTTAAATGTACTTTGTCTAAGAACTCTTCGCAGTCTCAAATAGTCCTATCTTCTGCCTTCTTTTTCAACCTAAGTTGGATTGTATTCCTCAGTCTCCTCTAACCGCACAATCATAGGACCATATCTACGGTCCGATCAAAATACCTGGTCCTTGACATCATCACAAAACTCGTCCAAAAACTATAGAGAGGAGAAAGGTAACGTCTGATATGGATGTAATCCAAGTGGCCCCATCACACCATACTGTTTATTGATTCGGGAAGAAAGATAAAACGGAAGAAATATCTAATACTAACGAGCCCATCACAACGGACTATTCATTGATTCGAGAAGGTAAACTTTCTGCCATGGAAAAAATTAAAGTAGTACATATCCTCGGTACAAAAGACTATCTATTTATCCTACCTTAGTCTTATAATAAGCGTAAGTCCAAAACTGAGTTCTCCAAGAACCAAACAAAAATAAACGCTCGAAATCCGAAATAAGAGCAGATAGAATTTAATATCCATTCTTCCTAGTCGGCCCTGTCGACTAGGAAGAAGGGATAGAAAATTATAAACTGTCAGATATATCGGATTCCGGACTTGATTGACGGGATCTCTTCTGTCCTACTCCATTCCACGAAAATACAACATCTCGTCATAATCACCTAATTCTAGTGATATCCTCAGTTAAATTAACTTATATGTGGGAAACAATTCATTTTGATGTGACCTACATCATTGTGATCACTTTCACCATCATATAACAACACAGATTTGAGAACTAAAATAAAGGAATGTGATCGATTGAGGGAATTATAAGAATATCCGTCATTCAACCAGGTATACGCATTCTTAGAAGAACTCGAAACGTTTAATTTACAGGATCGTTAAGAAAATTATCTGTCATTATTGAAAATGAAGCGGTTTGGAAGTGGTTGAAGTGATTATAAGTTTTAAGAGAAAATGCTTTTACAATTTTCAAAAATCATCATCCCTCCTACATTTTTTCATTTTTACAAGGTAGTTATAAAATGTATGCTCACGAATTCTCCTATTCACAATTTTTCCTTGTGACCAATGGCGTGATTAGATCGACGTTTCGGATGATTCGTACGAGAAATTGATACCACAATCACTGAACTAAACTAATAGTCAAGAAGGAACTCACAAAACGTATGTCTGCAGCATGAGAACTATGAAGCAGTAGGTACAGACTTGTAACGTTGTCCCTGATGCACTGGTATGTTCCAACAGACAATTTTTTTTGAGAAAAGTACATGGCGATGGAGCTTCTGCAGACAATTCTACTGGGCAGATTCCAGGCTTAGAAAAATTCAAAAACTCAGCATGTAGAAAATTACCTTGCATAAGCAGGACCGTCATTGTAAAGGTATTTGGTGAAGGCTTGTCCAACACTGTCGACATGCCCTGCTTCAAATAAAGCGCGGGCAACGTGAGGTCGTCCTGGTGCCACACCTTCTCCTGCTATTCGTAACACATTCTCCCATTTGATGGGCTTCTGTAACACCTTTAGTTTGCGCACCATCTCTTTTGCGCGGATGAACCTCCCTTCTCTCACTTCAGCAAGTTTCTTTTCAAGTTGCCCACAGTTTGAAGGACCACAACATCCATAATATGCCAAGATATGAACTGGCTCTTCAGTAGTAGCAGATATAGCTCCTCCCCTACCTGATTTCCTGCAGAGCTAGCATTAGCTTCCTCCCAGAAAATTTAAGAAGAAAGAATACACTGGACTCTATAAGAATTCGGAGCTCAAGTGCGCACCTATGAACAGTTTTGGCACTTATTTCTATGCCTGGTATCACCCGCATTCCATACTTTCGAGCAGCCTGCATTGCAGCTGGTACTCCAGCCATTGTATCATGATCTGTTAAGGCCAACACCTTCACCTGTTTCCAATCAGCAGAAGCATACAATATGAATCCCGCATAAAATTTCATGAAGATATCCAAGAGAACTTTAACTTCACTTCAAAATTCAATCATAGACTGTTCAGATAAATATTTTTTGATTGTAAATTTCAGACAATGTTGAACTGTCATACTGCTCGCATGAATAGCGGTATGCCAGTTCAATAGCCCTTGAAGTTCACGCATCCCTCCTGAAAATTCGGGAGTAATGAAGACACCAGTGGTAGTGACGAGGTGGGATTAGACATAATTGCACACATATTTCACTCATTTATGCAAAACGGCAGAAGAAAACCCTAGAGATTGATACATGAGCGTCTATACGAGGACAATGTCCGAAGGGTTTGACTCTAGTCAGACAGTTGGATCTCCGAATTGCCGCTGATCTACATAAGAAGCGTTATTCAGAAGAAGACTATCTAACATACATCAAATGTGCGTCCACTATCAAAACTTGTTGCCAAATAATCCAAATGCATTCAATACATAAGATCAAAGAACCAAAGTTTCTGCAAAAGTCCAGCTGATTTCCACGACAACCCAACAGAGAGACGAAATAACAGAGCATGAAATAATAGATAAGAAAGAAAATTAGTCTAACATGAATTAGACGGCTTCACCCACCCCATTGCGAAAAGCTCTGGCGACCACGAACTCTGGAGAAAGATGGCCATCACTGCAAGTACTGTGACAATGAAGATCAAACAATTTTGAAGAAAGCCTGTCAACTCCTGCGAATTTCAGCACCACCTCCTCTGCGAATTTCTGCTTACTTTTCGCATGACCATCTTTCTTCCTGGAGAGTTTCGATGGGGCCCCACCTCCTCCGCCCTTCTTATTCTTCCCCGCCATCTCTTCAATCCAATACCCAAATTCGGACAATAACGCTTGCGCTGTTTTAAAGGAAGCCTCGTTGACCGTCCTCCATCGTTCTTCTGAAACGCTAGACTGCCATCTATCACTCAGGTAGATATCTGTGAATCTCGCTGTATTAGCACGAGGTTTTGATGCTCTTACGCATCCTACTAAAGGTTCTGGAATCAGTCATAACTTTTGTAATATCTATGGCACGGATAAAGGTTATATGCTCATCTCTCATGCATACTGGTGTCATATTCACATAATTTTTACTAAAAGATATAAAATATAAAAGAGCATATAGTCCCTATCGAATTACACAGTATAGCCATCGCATTAATTCCTAATCAACGATGTTAATACGGCTCACTAAGATGGGTACATAATAATATTGTGTGTACGTTCGAGACTAGCAAATCTGTTGTTACTTTTTAATTCATATACAATACACAATCTAACTGTCAAGATCATCATCCAAACCCAAAATGTAAAATAAACCGTCAAGGTTTAGAATTATAAGGTTATGAAGAATTTGATATTTTATCCATACTCGAATTCTGAATCTATGGATTTCGAATTCAACATCTAGACAATATCATACTATTATAAAATTACCATTCAACACTCACTCCCACATGACAGCTTGAAATCCATGTATGTGAAAGGTTGTAACAATCCACAAATCTTTGTTGGGATATTTAATACATGTACTCGTTACATTTTGGCAATTTATTGTCATAGATTGAACTTTGAATAGCACCACTTTGAACTTTTCCGTTACACAATGCTCACACATAGTTCTAGTTTGCATTGTATTTTCCGAGCAATTAATTCTTTTGATGTAGGAAGAAAAGAGATAACTCTTTTCAAGGATACAAAAGTAAATGCTTCTTGTACTCTTTCTAATATGGATGGAAGTATAAATAACATATACTACATTTGAACTCACATCCATTTCACCTGAGATTCAATGTGAAATTTTTTATTGTGGTTTGACTTGCCATGTTAGTACTTCGAATTAGTTTTAGTTTTAGATCAAGATCTACAATTGGATCTACTTATATTTGTATTTTGAATTTGTAAATGCTTCTCGAACTAATTATGAGAGTTCTTCACAAACAAAAATTGTTGAAGATTATGCATGAAATAAAACCATGACGAGAAGACGAAATATTTTGTCTCATATTATCAATGCACTAAACTTTCATGTTGTGTTTCATTGTTTATTTGTCACAATGAACTAACCCATGAAAATAACTGATATGACTGGGGTAAAAAATTTTAAGCTGAATTCCTTTATAATTATCAATTAACTCTTTCAAAATAACCAAATGAAGAAAAAGACTTATCAAATGCATCATCATGTGCATTTTTAGCATGATTCAATTCAAAGGTGATATATTTATTTTTTACTTCTATCAAATGATGTACATTATGTTTGGATTTTAAAATTGAAGAAAGTTTGATGATAAATCATGACAACTTCTTCACACGAACACAATGCTACCTTATTGATAATCCCTAAAGGTGATGCTAAAATATACAATAAGTTATCTTATAATCACATGCTAATTGAATTTACCAGGTTCCTTGACTGTATCAAGAGATTTCAAAAGCTTCACCGTGACATTTGATCCAGACACTTGCATTTGTAAACTTTTACCTGTGCATATTTCTAATTAAACATTCCTTCTCAACACCGTAGACCTAAAAGACCACAACAATATGTGATTGTTCAGATCTCATATGTTTTCACAATCGTTCACTTCCGTGATGCTCTGATTTTAACTTCATCACGTCTCATCTTTTCTCTTGGATAGCATCAAACTATCTGTCTATACCTTAAGACTTTCATCCTCCTCACAAAAAATTCTAGACACATTTCTCCCTTGTTTGTTCATTAGAACATTAGACTTCTTGCAGTACTACTCGTTGAGTTTTTACAATTCCTTCACGGAGACTTTGTCTTCAAACTGTAACAGTACGCTACAAACGTACACTTTTCTTTTATGAACAATAGTTTCCAATACTTCTAGTTATCCCATCTTCTCAGAACAATGCACACAATAAAATTTTCTCAATATTTTCAAGGAATTTCTTTTAAATTACACACTACTTTATCTCCTCGTTCACATTTATGATCATTTATTTCAACAAACTCTTCAACAATTTTCATTCTATCGTACGAATCTGTTGTTGCGACAACTTCTCTGCATGTATTCACATTAATGACTTTGGCAACATTCACAATGCTCGCGGTCGCAGCCTTTGCAACTTATTCAATGGCAACGTCATCTTCATATGAAGTTGCAAGTCACTTTGTTGTCGCCAGTTTCACAAATATAGTTGTTGCGTCTACATCGGCTTTAGTCTATTACTGCAAATGCAACCCTTACTTCTTGATACATACTCTTTGCGGTTGTTCTTATTATAATCCTCACATCCATCTTGCAAATCATGACACACGATTTTAGTCCATCATACTCTTTCTCTGATTTCTAAGATGTCATTATCTCCTTTGAACCTTCTTGTTTACCTAATTCTGCGCCCTTTTTTAGCCTCCAAAGTACTTTCAAGATTAATGTTAACTCTACCCATCAACAAACTTCGACGGAGTAGTTTTTCACCTCAAAAACCATCAATTGATAGTGTTTCAACACCTTCATGAATCTTACTCTGCCGCCTTCTCGATCAAGAATATCACTTCCCTGCTTTGAAAGCTCTTTTCTATCATTCTTGTTTTTATGAAACGAGTGTGTACAAATTATTTTCCGCTGATTAAATTTTTTGCTTTAAGTGTACTTTGTCTTTGATCAATCTCTTGCATTCACATAAGTATGTTTAGCTTCATCAGAAGCTTCAACATAGTTCTATCAACTTTCTTCTCCGCTACTAATTTTTAATTTTTCCGTTTGATTTTTACGTTACCTCCACGTTGACTATTCCTATAAGCTTCAACTGACTATTATTCCGTACCAACCTTCTCAATTTTAACTCTCTCAAAGCCCCCATTTTACTTCATATGTGATAAATCCATATGCAATTTTGCTCTTTTTTGTACTTAATACTTGATCTATCAATGTTAGAAAGTTGTTTTTATAAATGTTTCAGTTTTCACATTAATTTCATCAACAATGTGGATTCTCATTGTTAGTTCATCTTAAATTACACATTACAAAGCTTTGACACGACAGCTAGAAGATATGTTACATAAACTCTCAAGATCTATCATTTATGAGGAGCTTTTGCGGGAGATAGTTACTATGAAAATTCCATTATGACTCCTATATGATTCAACTCTGTGATTGATAAAATTTGGTACTAAAAAAATTGAGATTATTGCAAATGCATTTACATTGAGCAAAATAAAGAAGCTAGAATAGTATGGTAGCAGAATCACAAACACAGATTGAATGTCCGCTATTGATAAGCAATTTTGAATATACTAATTCAAAAAAATTATCATCTTCTCAAATCATATTCGCAAAGCAATCAATTCTTTGGAAGTTGAGGTAGTTGATTGTGATTGGATGTCTTGTTTTCTGCTTGTATCGCAATACTTATTTCTCCCAAATTGACACCAAGTAATGAAGCGGACAAGGTTCGAAAGCATAACGATTAGTCCTTATCCCTCACATCAACTTCCACATCTTGTGCACTTCATGCTTGCTCCTATTCCAAATAGCCCCTACCACACCTCATTTTACTCCACCACTTTTACTTGGTGATTTTTGAATTATATTTGACTCCTCAAATATAATTCAAAACAATTTGAACCACAAATGTCAAACTCCTTGTAACATACTTAAATGATTGTTGGATCAAATAAAAAAAGAGACATAAAATATTTTTTTACTCTAAAATCAAATTCTACCCTTGTATTGCTTCTTCTACACTAAAAAATTTTCCTAATTCAAGGAATTATCTTCCAGCTAGACTAAGAATAATTCATGTTATTAGATCTAAATTTTGTAGCTTTTAATCATTTTTTGTTCTTCAAAATACTAAGCCAACGGCTAATTCAAATATTTTTTCATTTGTAAGATTAATTTCAAATGTGGTCACATAATTGAACTCACGTAAACATAAACATACTTTATCAAATTTTTATTGTATACTTAAGAACTAAATTTTTTTTAACAGCTTAATTGAGATATTGTTTGTACTAACTATCTCATTAAGCTACCCAAAGTGATTTCTTGCGTTTAGTAAATTAAAATATATTTAAAAAATTATTTATAACTAAAATTATTTTTTATTAATATTTTATAAATTTTAAATGATTTAGTAAAAATTATGATAATGTAATTTTCTATAATATTTTTAATAACAATTTTTGAAAATTTTATTAATGTTATTATTTATGAAAACATGAAGTATTGTTATCTGATAAAATTAAGGATATGAAATCAGTACAATTAATTAAGGGAGCCGCTAACCAGCACTCACCTTTGTCTAACCATCATTCACCCTGTCTATATAGAACCCCTAGGCTCGTTTTCGAGGCCTGTGATTGGCTGGAACCATTCAATATTATCACGAAAAAATAATTTACCGCCGCCAGAAAACCATTTTTGTATTAAATATTATTTGAGCTATTGTCTATCTATATTCTTCAATATCAGAGAGATGCGGGAGGTTGCTGGCAACGTCGAGCATTGTGACCAGACTGACGGCACCTTCCACATCTTCTTTGGGGTCTCACAGGGTGAGTGGTGGTTAGCCAAAGGTGAGTTCTGGTTAGTGGCTCCCTTAATTAAACCTATAACGTAGTATACAAAATTGAGTATAATATACAATTTTTAGTTTTTTGCAATGATATGGTTATCAAATAATTTCTCTTTGCAATTTTTTTTACATCGAAACCTAAATTCAAAATAGGAAAATAAACTTCAGAAATATAAATATTCGAAGTTTAGATTGTTTTATAAAAATCAAATCAATGAATCATTCATATAGATATATATGCTATACATACAATCTTTGATTTGTCAAGAGCAAATAATCTGTTAACACTCAGAATATATTGTGATTGTTTCCTTATTCAATCATGCGAATTGCATATATGATATGCATTTTGAAAAGAATTTAATTGCATATGAAACGTTAAGTATAGATTATTATATTATATATATTTATATCAACTTGAAGTAGGGAGATCAAACACTATATAGTGAAATGTTTCTTGAATCCAGTAAAAGGCAATCTAAGATGGTCTTGTTTATAATAGTTTGATTTTTATATTAAACACACAAGTGAATGTGTGTTAAAACTGGAATACAATACTTTATAATGTACAAACCAAACTATTTATATGAAAATGATTTTCATTTAAGAAACATAGAAAGTAGATACAGTCAGTTTATATTAATGTGAAATAATTTAAGTAGCTATATATACTTTTATCTTGAATAATATTGTATTTTGTTAATTCGATTATGAAAAATATATATTCAATATGAACATTTTGGAAAAAGAACTATCAATTTTCCATATATATATATATACTTCTTATGTATATATAAAAATATAAATATTTAACTTCTTATGTATATGTTAACATGTACCAACTGTTATTGAACGGCATTCATTTGGAATCTTCCCATTTAAATAAGAACTCTTAAATTAGTACAGTAAATGAAGAGATATGTTTCAGTAACTGAAATCGTAAGTTTTGAGTGATAATCGTGTTCGTGGTGGAATTCGATAAAATTCATACGCATAACTTCCTTGAAGAATGTTAGTGAAATCAGATGATTTGATTTGTATTTATTATGGCAACAAAATGTATATACACAAATAATGGTGATGCAAGAACTGGCTAGGTAACTAAGGAGCCCCCTTCAGAGAGAGTACATAGCCCCTTCTGCACCCTTCCTACATCCAACCTGTCGCGGGTGGACTTACCAATGGTTTTCAATGGTTTTCAAACATATACAGGCTTCACATGCCACGAGAAGCACAATCTGGAGACTGCCTCTACATGGAAAAAATTTTCGCACTACGTCACACCAGCTCCAGGCATTGTCACGAAGGCAAAACTCCATTTTTGACCAGCTCCCAGGTGAGATTTCTTCATTGTGTAAAATCTGGCTTGGAGGGAACCCAAGTTTTTCCGATAGTAGCATTCAGAGCTGATCGTTTTTTAGCTCATCATATGCTTATCTGGTCCAACTTGAAGGTTCTTAAGAATTTTAGTGAGCGCGCAGGCGTTGAAAGGGCTCCGTTGCGGTTGGCTGCGTCAGTGCTCTTGAATTGCCTTCTTGCCTTTCTCGTCGATCTCACGAGCAAAGTCAATCCATCCACCCCTATACCAGTTTCCTAACAGGCCATCTGTATCAACAGTCCTTTCCCACAAGCTTTTCACCTCGTTGAATGTTAAATTTTTCGTTTCAGGTACAGCAATGGCAACGAACATGATTGCTAAGACGGTAATGAAGGCGATTAGCAAGAATGTTAAAGGCTGACCCATATACTGGACCAGACTGAGGAATGTCTGGGCTACAATAAAGTTCGATATCCAGTTGGCCGTTGCAGCAACACCTCCGCAGAAACCTCTGAATTCCAATGGGTAGATTTCTGAATTGACAGTCCAAGGTACTGGTCCCATTCCTGGTGAGAAAGCCATGATATAAAGAACAAGACCAGCCAGTGCAAGCCATCCATAATTACTGGGGCAACCGTTTTGATACCAAGATCTGGAGGTAACGCTGCAAATATCAGAGGAATTGCTGCTGAAGAGGAGACATGTTCCAGGACGCATCTGTCAACATCCGGTTTCCAATATTATTAGATAATGCCCATGAATTGGTCATATAAAGAGGCCCACTACACAATCTGTAGATCATTAAATGAGATACTCCATTCTGTAAAGAACCCGGGTACATGTAGAAGATCCCAATATGAGTATATACAATGTGGGGTATCTTTCATGAATAGTGGGTATGAGATGAATACATAATGCTCCTTTTATGAAGCGTTGTTATATTTGAGCCAAAAGTGTAGGAGCACTAGTTTTCCGACATATCTAGAATCTCCTCTAACACAAAGCATAAACAAGGCAAGGGATTTGTTTAAGACTGTTGTTAAAAAATGTTTTCCTGATTACCTCATCACCGCAAAAGCCACATCCAGCTTGTAAGCAGTCGAAGCAGGATGAAATGTGAGGATTTTCTGCGACTGGAAAGTCTGGGCACATGAAGGTCGACTCCGTTATCGTTTCGGGCCAGGTGACGCCGGGGGAATTCACGGAAGCAAGATGAAATGCCATAGCCAGGAGGCACAAGGCAGCAACACATCCAAAAAGACTTGTAAGAGCAAGTCTTCTTCTTCCCGACCGGTCAATCAACAGTATGCCCGCAACTGTACCGAGGGCATTCATGCCTGCTACCCCTGATGACAACAACAGGGCTGTCTGATGAGATGCAAACCCAGCCTGCTCCACTATCGATGTGCTGTAATACATCACAGTGTTGATCCCCACCAATTGTTGAAAAACCTGCACATCCGGGTGCAGGCAACGTTGATAATATGCATCTACTGCTTTAGATACAGGTGAGACACAAGTCACCTCTCCAAACCCTGCTCAAGAGACCATATGAAACGCCGGACGTTAAATAGGCCTCAAAGTCAAGCTGTAAATCGTAAGCCCAGGAAGATACACCAGTCATCAGATGGCTAGAAAACTATATACCTCCCTTTTATTTCTTGCTTCGTTGCTCAAGTTACACTATCATACTCACTGAGATTGCGCAAAATAATACTTGATGACAAAACCTAGCACCAAGAGTTTTTCTTTCATAATTATTTTCCTATGTGTGTCGAGTCACGTGAGAGACCATAAACATCAAGGCAGAAAGCTGTGAATTCATTTCATCTGACACTCCGTAAGTAATTCACAGGTGTAATGCTATCTGAAGACAAGGGAGTAGCCAATTCATAGCTCAGTGGCTTGAAGTACCAAAAGGTTCGAGTAGAACACGTTCATGGTAGAGCATGCTTGTACCCAAACCAACATTCTCGCTCGAAAGGAAACATGGGGCAGGTCAAGTTAAACTACCTGCATTCCGATTCCCGCAATGAGGGCAAGACGCATCTCTCTACTTTTCATGACTTCACGCAGCTTCAGCGGTGGTGGATTGTGTTGGTGATGCACTACCATGGCCGCCAGCACTTCTTCTATTTCGGCCTTAGCTACTTCCGGTGGATGGATGGTTCTAAGCAAAGTAATAGCCTCATCAAATTTTTTCTGAATTCCAAACAAACACATAGACCAGGTACACTCAGTTTAAGTACGTGTTTAGAACAATTGGAAGACGCTAATGAAAAAGTTGAGAATCGGCTTTCATGTCTCCACAGTTTCTTGTCCTGCACTTCAGCCAAGATGTTGCTTAACCCAAATGTGGCCAAAATCAAGAGCCTTCGGAATTGGCCACATTAGAGTTGTCATAACCACGGTGTAAAACTTTGCTATAAACGCTAAACTGTCATCTGAGGCATGTGATAAGTACTCAATTGTCTAGCATACAAAGCACATTTTTAAACAAAACTTACGGGGTAGCCCCGGGGAAGCAGTACCTGGCCGGCCAGCCAACGAGGTGACTCTGGGAGATAGATGAACAGTGCCGCTTGTAAAATTGCAGGTAATGCGGCAACTCCTAGCATCCACCTCCAGGTACCTGGAACCTGCATCGATTATTGTAAACAATGATTATTGTATATTCACCTGCTGCTCACATAAGGGATGCTTAACTTTTACAAGTTTTGGTCTCATGGAAAAATGCGCACACACCTTTGTGAAAGCATAGTTCACTATGTAGGATAAAAACTGGCCGGTGGTGATCATGAGCACATTCACGGTGACAAGGGCTCCCCTTTTGTCCGGAGGTGAAACTTCAGCTATGTAGAGGGGAGCAGTCATAGATGCTATACCGATGCCGAAACCAACAACCAGTCGACCAAAAATAAGAGAAGTCGGATCGGCTGCCAAAGCCATGAGCATAGCTCCGAAAACAAAAACAGCGTCTGATATCAATATAGTACTTCTTCTTCCTAACATGTCATTCAATCGTCCTCCACAGGCTGCTCCCACTGCAGCCCCTAAAATCGCTGTGCTGACAATGGTTTCCTACAAATGAAAGGCAAAAATAAAGTCAGTGACAGCCCTCAAGTTCTCGGCTTTTCTGGGTTCAAGATGACATTTGAACTCCACTTGAAATCAAACCTGTATTATGATCTCCAATTCTATCAGAATTCTCAGAGCTGTATGATCTGATAATGCCTTCCATATTTTCAATGACAAGGAAAAATGTAAGGATGTTGTCTATACACTGCGCGGATAAAAAATATACTTGCTCTGTTTCTTCACCTAGTTGCGGACACCTCTTACTCATCCTAGGTAAAATGAGAGGACTTCGGGTGGGTTGCATCTAAAGAGCTGTCTACATCCGCAGCTGCTGGTCAGGCCATGCTGAAGAATAAGGTTCGAATCAGCATCAGGAACATACTGAAGATAGTACTTCCACGAAACGGGAGTCTCAAAAAAGATTCTGGCATGGAAGTCAGATTCTATCACAGTCACAAGTTCTGCTAAACTGCCTTGAAGTTTTAGGATTTACAAAGGTTATGCTCTTAGACAATTCCGGCTTCCAATATGTTCCTCATCTATGGAACACGCAGTGAATCTACTTGCACATTAACTCGATTCCACATCATGCATACCTGCAAAAATGTGCTGCGATTAACCGACTCGAAATCGTCTTTGATGTAGAGCAAAGCACCCGATATTACGCCTGCAATCCAGATATCAATATCCACGTCAATAAATGCAAAAAAAGCCTAAACACACTCAACTGATATTGAAATCATCCTCTCTTTTGGTAGCACTGGGCGCTTTCAAGAACCTCTGGAGAGTTTACCACAATAACTTCGTAGATGCAAGAATTTTATAACAATGTGTCCTAATTTAGGATCTAGAGCCTTTTCAGCTCCAAAAAGCAGAGGAAATTCCGACAGAGAAACATTTCTCCTGGTGAGCAATGGCTCATACAACATTGACAAGCACATTGAAAAGATGCAAGCAGACAATTCTTACTTATTCCCAAATCCAAGTGCGGGAAAACATAAGAATTACTAGACCACATGTGTGATGATTGATGCGACAATGTATGACATCGTTAGCATTTCTAGATGCCATGCAAACTCGTTGTCCACGCGCTACGTAAGAGGTCGACTGACAGGGCCAACAGCTATATGTATCAGATCAAAGTGCGCGTAAGTCGTAACCTCTGTCCAGTTCGTAATTGCACATCTCATCCCCGAAAATGTCTGCAGGCGTTCATGCTCAGGAGCTTACAGAAAGAGCGATGCAACAGAGGCTGAAGGGAAAAATTATGGTCAATTGGGAGCGGGGAACGAGTCACATGCCTGTGTCATATCCGAAAAGGAAACCACCAAGTCCAGCAGACAATGATAGCAAAAGAGTGAATAGGCCAGAGGATGGAAGAGACGGCATGCTCGGCATCTGCGTGTATTCCTTTTCCTCATAATCGTCGTCGTCGTCGTCCTGCATCCTATCCTGCGTTTTGTTCTTTCTTTGAGCTATCTCTGAAATCGACATCACTCTTTGCATGTCGTCTGCTCTGTCCTTGGTCGAACTGTCTAGACTCCTAAACTCCACACTCCCGGCCCCTTTCTCTCCTCGACCTGCAATTCCTACATGCAGGTCCAATGAATGTCTCCAATTACTCGTACGTTTGCTCCTGCGCTTTTTCTTCTTGTACACTACAAGCTGTAGAAGTCTTAAATCGATCATGGCAAAGCCTGAAATTCAATCTTCCCATCTAACACATCCAATCCTGTCGAACATTCGGACTGCGCCTCAACTGCTCACTAAATCGTACAGCTGTCAATGTTTTCTACTTCAAGCGGTCAGGTGTTAGTATTATAAACGCTCTCACGGTAGAAGCAGGTCCACAATGTAGACGTATCGCATCCCGTCCTCTCCTCTCCGGAGCTTCGCGGTCCTCGCATCAACCACAAAAGCAACTGCGTTCCGTCCTACTCTCTGCTATTCACCCTCTGCTCCGACACCGGAGAATTCACGACCCGACTACGACGAACTGACAAGATCCATCTTCAGCTTATTTCCAGACTCGCATGCGCCGGAGCACGGAAGGACCCAACAGGAACCGACCCCAGCAGGTCTGCCCGCCCGACACAATCCGCAGCAGGAGCCTCGACAGATCCAAGAACTGGAGCTTGGCCTGAGGCCGAAGTCGAATCGTCCGAGCGTCTATCTTCTGCGTTTACCTACATCCTCCTCGACGACATCACAAGCGCCTCCGACACCCCCAAGTTGTTGTAGTAGTAGAGATGGAGGAGTGGGTGGCGATACGATGTAATGTGATGCGACGATGAGAGTTCATGTTTTTGTGACAGGAGCGAGCGACATCAGCGAGTCACCAATTGGGATGTGGCTTGAGTGATCGCTGTGGTTTTCTCTCCCCGCCGAATTGAGAGTCCCTTGGTTTCCTGCGCCGCCCCGCCCCTGCCTGCCTTTCCTTCCTTTCCCGTGCCTAGTTCTGTGTCAATCTTTATGGAACCAGTTTCAACCCCTCGAAGAAGCTTGGTCGGAACTCGACGCCATCAGCTCGCTTCCTCGTGTCTCATAAGCAAGTCCCCGGGTCCGCCTCGCAGCTCGGCCTGTCGACGGTTAATTGTTCTGTAATCCGGTCACAGTACCGGACTCTATATTTTACTTTTGTCCCGTCGTCGATCTGACGCAGCCCAGGGCCACGTGCGCCTCATCTGCCTTCTGCCAGTTACATTACAGTATTTCCTTTTTGACTCTTTCGGAACTGAACTCCATGGACGCTCTCCGGTCGACTCCGGTGCCCGCCCGGTCACCCTCCGCGTTATTACCGGCCTTCTGCTTCCGCTTTGGGGGCTACCACCGGGCCAGCGCGTATTACTGCGCTGTCCTCGAGGTGACAAGTCCTCCTTGACAAAGCGAGAAGTCTAGAATATGATAATATTAACAGCCTATCAAGTCTTACGTGGATGAAACCCCCTTGATTTCATCCACGTCAAAGAGTCTATGCCCAACAGCATCCCGAGAATCATACCTAGAGTTATTGCTCCAAATATTGCTATCTCAATAAACATTGATACTCAATGTCTGAAACATGTTAGAGAATATGATAGAAGATGATACCCGTATTGTGTACAGAGAGTCTCTCAAAAAAATTCATTGCATCCATCGCTATGCAACCTGAAGAATAGACAGAGCTTCCCACAAAAACCATATCTTAGACTTTAACTTTCAGCTCTGCAATATGAATCTCAGCACTTTTGTATGCATAAGATGCATTTGTCTTAGTACAACATAAACACCATACTGAAAGTAAGAGAAACAAATTCTAAAAATTTATCCATCATTTACCAACTGATCAAGCAATAAAAATAAAAATAAAAACTGCTTAGTGTCGTCATGAAGCTCTGAAGTACAAATTGGGATAAGTATGTACATACAAATTTGGTCCCAAAAACTCTCATAGCGATACATAAATATGGAATGCTAATTACAGTTATCAGATTTAATTCGTAATTTATCCATGATGAGTGCAAGATTTCAGCTGGCTTGTGTTATTGACAGAGAAAAATCTTGATGCGTTCATTTTATTGACATGTGACGTTCATTATACTCGAGTAATTCTATATGAATTCTCATTCTTTGAGAGGAAAAAAAGATGATGAGACATGGTTATGATGTATCATGCAACTCTCTATGTGGCCACATGAATCCGTAGCTATCACAAGTAGAAAGTTAACGACTCAAGAATATCCATCATTATATCCTTCCCGTTGCAGAGTCACACCCTTGTGACATTCCATCTTAAAAGAGTAAGATTTAGCAGTGAAACTCTCATCTTAAAACGTACATTATTTGTATTGTGATTTCAAATTTTTCCAACTATGTTCCAATATATTCATGGCAATTAACATCACTCGTTCAAATAAGATCACCCAAACACATCTGTGCACTAAAATCACTATGACCCCTACAAATAACGACTTCATTGACATTTCTATATTCAATTTTCTTCAGTTCTCAGTTTGATAATCAAGCAAATAAAAACCAAGCGATTCAAGCTCAACTTTTGGCAAAGATGAATGGAAAACACTAACGTCAGGTAACGTCACTATTACTCCCCAACCCCTTAACTTGCTGCTTCTTTTGCTTCTGATCTGAACAAAGATAAGATACTCTTGAAAAGGAAGACAAAATCGAAGCCTTTTTATCGGAGCTGACTCAGTCACCTTTAGATTCCCATATTAAGGCCCAATAGGTCATGAGGCCCCCTGGAATAAATTTCGATGGCGTTTTTGTATGAGTCGGTTGACCGTAGAGGGACACTCGTTCTCCCTTACTATAGGAAGCTGGAAACGTACAAATACTTTCTTCGCAACGTCGCCTGCGCTAGCTTGGATCCAGAATGTGGGCGAAAGTCACCGGAATTTTACACTTTAAAAAACAACGCGATGAAAACAAGAAATGGCCAAGAAGAATCACATAATATATGTCATCGTGTATATAGTCGTCAAGGTAAGGTACCACCTTGGTGTGGAAATTATAGGTTAAATAATATATTGAGTAAAAAAATGAAGAATTAAGAAAAAATGCCCATATGAATGACTGTGTCTCGTCAGGTCATGTTCCCATCAACATATGATAACTTTGGATGTTTTGAAAGTGTACGTGGATGAGCACAATGAGTCGAGAAGGTTTCGTGAGTAGCATAAAAATCGAACCGCCTTGACCGCATGAGATGACTGCAGAATGCTCCTTCTGAGCAGCGTTATTTAATAATATTTGAGCAAGTCTTTCGAAATATCTAGAATCTCCTCTAGCACTAAGCAAAGACAAGGCAAGGGGGTCGTTGTCAGTCTATGGAGGCAGGAGGTCGCCCTTCAATCGTAGGGGGCACACTCGTTAGAAGAGATTCGGAGTTCGGATTTTTCGATACTGCTTATGTTCCTGAAAGTCTGCCATCTTTCTCTTTGCCGTACACGTCGCCGTCTATTGTGTAGGACTTCTCCATTGGCTCCGGATTTTCGAGTTCAAGTGACGTGTCACACAAACCAGTGCTCATGGGTTCCGAAGGGGCCACATTCCCTAAGGACACGTAAGATAATGATGTACAGAAGACATAGATTCGCGGGACGCTTTGATCTCATGGAGTCTCTTAAATGGGAGTGTTGTTGTGATATGATGAAGTAGGCAGGGAACCGAGACTCCAATCTAATGTTGAATCACTCCTTTGGATCTGAGTTTAGTACTGACGATCATCTCACACCCAAGATCATATTACGAAAGCTTATACTGTGGACACAAGTTCAGATATCTCGATCAACCACACGTTTATAAATTTGATTTTTTTGGGCTCAGATTTAAATAGCTGATGCCGAATTCTTATATTCTTGCTAGTGTTAGCAGGGTCCTCGGGATCTTTCGACGGCAATAATCTGCCATGGAGCAAAGAGAGTATATAGTGGCTGAGTACGAATCCAATGTAAGGAACAATATGATGAGCAAGAGACCAAAAGTATCTAATAGGGTTATGGATGTAAATTTACATGTAAATAAAACCATATAAAAAAATATATTAAGTTCAGTTAGAACTATTATTATTTTTGTTATATTTTTTCATGATAGTATCTACTGTTTGAACTATAACAATGTCTCATATAATTCATTGGAGAAAATATGCATGGTGATGTTTGTTATCATGTTAAAAAAATATATAAAATTTTTGATCTTGATAATTCAGATTCCGTAGATGTTCTTGTGTATAATTCTAGCAACATCAAATTCCTTTGCTTTACTTGTGTAGATTTTCAAGTTTTTTATTTTTATTTTTATTGGAATGCGCATGTACTTACTCCAATGTTCTCAATCCCACTGTCTTTAAGAGAGCAAACATCTGAGCGACTCCTTGAGCTCTCAGTGTGTAGCTTGGAAGCCTCTTGTTATCAATCTTGATATCACTAGTGAAGATTGAGTTAATGAGCTTCCTTTGGGTCTATTTATGTATCTTATACACCCAAAACTTAGTTCAAAATGAGATACTTTCGCTTCAATCAAGAGTAGTGGTGTGAAAATTGGAAGACTGGTTATACCGAAAGAGCAGTGTCTTCCCTACTCTTCTACGCTATGATGAAGTATCTTCACAAGACTGAACATCGAGTTCCGTTGTCTGTCAACCTGGGTGTCATCCGCCACTTCGATCACTATAGCGCAATACACGAGACCCGAAGTGTATATTTGCCGGACGACCGTAGTGGAGGAACATGGTATCTTAAGGATACTCGTATTGACTGTAGTGATGTGCTAAAAACCCGTTGGAGAGCATGTACTCCATGGATGGAAGATCAAAACTGGGATGCCAATGTCAGTAAGATCTGGGAAGTTGCCTACTGAGGACTCCCTTCAATGCAGCTCGGGATTAAAGCTTATATCCTGGCATGGTTATAATATTTATCGTCTAAATTAAATAAATGTATCTAATTTAGTTTACTCAACAATTTAGTTTAGCTAAATTTAGTCTCTTTAAAAAAATTAATTGAGGTTAATTTGATCTCTAAAAATTTAATTTAGTCTAAATTATTTTAATAAATCTTTTCAAAAAAATTTTATTTTTAAATAATTAACATTGATTTTTTAAAATAAGAAATTAAATAAAAAAATCCATCAATTTTGCATAGGTGTTAATTCCCCATTGGTTGCGACATGTAGACGCCAAATCGCGAGACAGTTTAGGTATATATGGTCGCCTCATACAACCATGCCTGTTCATATCCATCCGCCATATGCCAACTTTGTGGCTTCTCTAGGTTCTTCTTGTAAGAGAGACAAATTGTCTCCCCTTTCACATCGCTCTCTCATCAACAAAAGATGCCTTGAAGATTGACCTGAAAGGTGTACTCTACTGTCAAACATTGAAACCATCAAGGGCATTATCAACAGCTCTGAATGGAAAAATAGATGTGGAAAATTCAAGAAAAAGTGACATGCAAAGGAAGCCCAAGATGCGATTTGAACAAGTATGAAGTGGCGAATATCCCACGAAAACAAAACTGTGAATTTTCCTTCGTCGAATGCTTGAAGTAGGTTACATCACTTTGGACATGTCTCCATCTACACTTCAGGGCAGTTCTCGCCCATAGATTCGCTCTTCTCTGTTGTTATTACTCATTCTTCACGCAACTCCTTCCTTCACAATCTCAGTTCATATAACGTTTTGTAATTCATATATTAAAAGTTGCAATCATTTGAGCTACGACATCTCAGAGAATCCACTGCAAGAAGAGCAAGTTCTTCATCACATTTAGATTGGTTCAGGCGTAACACCTAGTCAAGAATGTTCAGGACCGGTTCCTATAGACAGCAAGTCTGTTCTGTGTGTAGTCTATCAGTCATAGTAACTCTTGATACCATGGAGAGCGAGCCAAGATAACGCTTGACCTATCATAAGAAATCAAGAATATATCCTCTTCTGGACAACATCTCCTCTTTGGACAAGATGTACATGAACGACGAGCTCCCACACTGTCTGGAATGTTAAGGCCTCGTCAGCCTGGATTGGACTCGGTATATTCTTTATGACAGGTCTCGACATGGAATCGTACTCTCTTCTTCCAGCAACAGAAAAGTTTCGAGTTTGAGTTCAGACCGACTTGGCATGAAGTTGAGAGTTCACGTACCGTTCGAGATTTTTGGTGTCTTCAATGCATGCAGGTCCTCCAAACTCTTTTCTGTTGCTCAGGAGGATGAGTAGCCGCATTTACTGGACTCGTCGTCCAGAATATATCGAAGGTGGTTGTCGTGGCCAAAACGGTACATAATTTGTGCCCCACTCCGGATAATTGTGGGCAACAGTGTGGCTTGTGAGCAACTTAGTATTTCGATACGAGAACACTCTTTCACGCGCCGATGCTAGGAAGCTCTTTCAGACTGGAAAATTATAACATTTTTATTCTGGAAGGCATGGCAAGCCCTTGAAACTCGTCGATCGTGGCCATGGACCTCTTGGAGAAGGGATAGTCGGAGTGCTGAATCCATTCTGCGAGAACCGAGAAAGTATCATAGTGCCCTGGGTGAGTTGGCCTATCATGAGCATGCTGAAGCCGTTGGATTCTCAAGGAAGACACATTAGATGCACGCAGTGTCACAGCGGCCCCACCTTCGAGCTCTGTTCCAGAAAAGCGCTACGGACTGCTGCAGTGAAGAGCAATTCTCGATATTGAAATCTGCATGCTCGGGTCGTTAGATAGGCCACCATGGACCCACCACCTCGTTCTCGGAGGAATGCAACTTCTAGAGTGCTGCACCTGATTAGCAGCAGGAGCAACAGCAGCAGTTCGCCGAGCTATGTGTCCTGTTCTACTATGGGCCAAGTTCCACCCTTAGATCTCTCGGGCTGCAAAAAATTCGAAAATCTAACTTAAAGTTTGCCTGACACTTTGCGCTGGATATGCACTCTATACCTCTGAACATCCACCCTCCATGACAAGCTGGACGTAGAGTCCTGACACACATCAAGTATTCACATCCTCTCAGCACCACCCGCAGATCTGCTGTCACCACTCGCTAATTCTAAAGGGGAAACAAACGCTTGAGCGATCCAGCAAAAATCCTGGGTACTTTCATGAGTAGAGTCATCCCTAAAGCCAATAGGAGTTTGATTCATCTCATGGATTGGTTGCTTAAAGTTGTCATTCTGTTCCATGAAGGAGAAGCATATCTCATTGTACTGTATGTACTACTTTGCCATCACCACAATTGATTTGAGCATGTTCAGCAGAAACCAGACTTCTTGTCGTAGAATGCTAGTGGAGCGGAATGGACACGGATTGCAAGCTCGGCGTACAAAATTTAGCTTCTTGCCTCACAGTATTCCCGGCAGATGGGGCCATTCTTCATTTAGCCGAACTGCTTGATGGAACTGATGAGTCAATTACCCTCCACATGAAGGAGACAAGATAGGAGGCAGGTTACCGGCAGTGCATAGAGGGTGTAGAGGCAAAGACAAATGGTGGCTTTGCCACGCCCGGGCTTATCTTTATCTGAAGCGACGAGACGTGGGAAGTAATTCTCATGCAAGTCATATCTGTTAAAGAAAACATCATGATAGTCGTGGCTGTGGTAACACATTTGCCGGTAGGTTGGTGACCCAGTCCTGTTCTGGTTTAGGCATTAGCACCTATGCTCCTACTTCTGTGCACTGGAAAACGTTATCGCACAAGACTCCACATCCAAGTACGTAGCGAGACGTCATTGACTAGAATGTTGAGAGAGAGAGAGAGAGAGAGAGAGAGAATTCAAGTCTAGTTTTGCGACAAGCAAGCCCATATGCTCTGTACCTCCATTTCCTTACTCATGTCTTCACCTGACCTTGATGAATGAATCTTTGGAATTGCTGATAGTGGGGCATACTTGCTAATCTAATTGGTTTGATGGCCAAGATGCTTGATCAATTTAGAATCGTGTTATTCTATGTTTATAGTGGTGGATGCAAAGTGCCCAAAGGGTTCAGATGTCAACCAGCCGATGTGTCTCATGGCAGATGTCCTCATGGCATCTTATCCGATCAGAAGAGTACAACTTTGATGGACTGATGGTCAAAGCATGGCCAAAGTCGAGAAGGGAGGTAATGCGTTTGCTGGTTTCATGTTTGGAGAACGACGATGGAAGAAAATAGGCACCAAATTCGACCACGTTTCACATATTGCGCTGTCAGAGCTTAGTGGAATTTTCAAGGAACGCATTGAGTGAAAGACCACTCGGCAAGCAAAATCTCTGTGCCTTCTAATCAAAGTTGCTGTTACACAGGCTTGCTGCGCTTGCTGGCCCACTTTCCACTCCAATAATACCTCATGTCCAAGAATCAAGGGTAAAACCGTGGCCCACAAGAGCAGGTTTCCTGTTTACATGCAAATTGCTCGGCAATGTATTCTGTCGCCGCTTGACAACCAGCACCCAGTTGTAATATTCCTGGCTAGATTGCCAATCCCGTCATTTCCAGAGACGAGGATCAATGGTAGACTTGAAGGCACTGTTGGATCCATGTTATGACTGGTGTTATCAGATTCGAACTAATCATAAAGATGAAAAACTTGAATTCCAAAGAAGTGACGTATGCTTGGCACAGAAATATAAATGATGGATATTACGTTATTAGTTTCTGTATATTAACCTGAGGTGGGTACGGTTGTTGTCAGTACTTATTTAGGAAAATTTCCACACAATAAGCAGAATGAGATGCTATCCACATATCCAAGCGTTTTATCTTTCACTGAAAACTGTAATGAAACAATCCAGGTTCAGAAAATATTGAGGATTCCCGCCTACAATCTGGAACATTGCCTTCCTCAAACATCTTTGTCCGCTTTAGATCAAACTAGAGTTTTTTTGTAGAGTTTGTTCAATGCCTCATCTTTGTTTTCTGACATTCATTTTTCACCTGACGAAGAATATGTTGAATGCTGTCTGCAGACTCTTGCTAATGCAGTGGTTCAGTCTGTCTTCGGAAGCTACCGTAACAGCTTCTCAGGAACTGAAATCTCGCAACCTACAGATATTCCATAATTATCCGCCCCTTATCGTCGTCAAACTCTCTAATAAATTTTCTTTTCCTGTCAATTTTCCTGTTGCCACAAAGTGTGTAAAAATGGCTGACAGCTGTTATTGAAATGTGTTCTTCCTTGCCAAAGACTACTTAGGATAGTACATGACCAAACCTGCAGTAGATTGTTTTTAAAATGTCAAGGTAAAGAAACGTTTCTGGGAACGAGTTGGCGTTTTCTCTCAGGTAGAACCATGAACTACCTACCTCTCAACTTCATGTCCTCTTTACAGATTTTAGGCTAGCAGCTATAAGCAATAGGGTGTAACGGAGGTGAGCTTGCTCTGAGATATCCCAGGCCATCCTCCTCGTGTCTCGCTTTTTGGAAACCTGAAAACTGCGAAGTACATCAATGAGCCTTGCCGTCATCCTGCTTACAACATTCTTCCGACAATGTTCTCTATTTACTTGAGCCAATGAGGAGTAGATTCGTCGGTTACCAATTGAGAATTCTGCTGCCATTTCTTAGCTAGAAGCTTCCAACTTCTGCACTTGTATGTTCAATTTGATACCCTTGACTTTGAATAGAGAGCATAGGGAGTCGAATTCATTCAAGCCTTTCGGTCCTGAACCTGGACCACGTCCATCCGCCAGCTCTCGCTTCCCTGGTTAGTCAGAGGTACCTGCACCGGGTACACCCTGCGATCTGATCCGACTGTCCTGAAGACATGGTCGGTTCACTTGACAATTCCCCGGCCCCAGAGACAGCACAGACACGTCAGCACAACGTCAATTTCGTTTCCACGTGTGTCGAGTTTTGGTATCGCTGTTCGGACACGTCAGCACAAACCCAGATCCTGGTTCCGCGTCTATCAAATTCTGGATATGTTTGTTGGTCCTGGTTCCGTAGACAAGTTTTTAAGGTTCGTATTCTTCGAACGAAGCTGAGAGTGGCCTCAAGTGAACGGCCCCGAGTAACACTCAGGATCAGTTCATACTACTTGCAAAATTCCGAAACACGCCAATGACAAATTACAAATCGATGAAATTTGTGGGGAAGTTCGGCGAATTTGATGCTGTTGATTTGTCTTCTATTATCTCTTTTCTCCTTCCGCATTCGAAATCTCGAACGTTTATCGGGGATGTCGAGTCGTTCTGGACGCTTTCGAGCGCTGATACATACGAAAATTTCTTTTCTTCATTGTAGTAATTACTTCGAGGTTTCCAACAACTAGGGTTTCTTCAGACCATCGTTTACACACTAACAGACATCCTGTGACAGTCTCCCATACAAGGAAATTGTGGCTTGATCTTCTAGTCGGAGGCGCAGAGCGTAAGAAGGCATCAAGTGAGAAAGTTGTCAATCATAAGGAACTTTCTTCTTGCCTCAACAGGCAAAAGTATGCCGCGCGTTGCCTGCTTTGATGATGTACACAAACTCTCTGCTGGAGAGATGTGTCCTGCATTCGGGAGCTCAAAACTCACACCCTGGTTCAATGGTTCACGATCAGGTCATGACAAGAGGAGGAACACCCTGCTTCAACTGCTGTACAAGCTGCATACAGCACCCACCCACCATACCTCGAGAATCATTCCACGAGCTAGCACTAACCAACGCTATGCAGAAGAGGGGACAACACTCAGTCACACACGTGTCCAATGTCCCCTGAAAGCTCGCCGATATTGCTCAACGATTCTAACAAACGTGATGCAACCCAGACTCTGAAAGATAGACGTGCAGTACATATGTTCGATGTAATATGCTTTCATGCGTTTATTCGAGGGTGCTTCATCTAATCGTATTTGATCGTTCATCAAGCTCCTAGAAGTACGACTTCTGCTCAGTACAAAGATTACTGAGTTTTTCTCTGGCCCTAACATAGATAGAAGCTAGGACGCGGAACAATGTTATTAACTCTACGGCCTAAAGGGTCTATTGTTGCTATGGTATCCGATGGCGAAGGTGGGCAGTGTACTACCAGTCGATCGATAAGAATCAAGTAAACAATTGTTCCAGTACGAGAAACCCAGCAATGCGATAACCAGCGACCGAGACGATCACTGATGGCGTGCGGTTGGAGCCATACGTGTCGACTGCAAGAGTCGTTCAGTTGTTGTCCAAGGAAAGTCGAGGTCGTGAAGGTGTGAGCCAGCAGAGTCGATCGAATGTTGCTATCCTGCACACGATGTCCGGAATTGTTGACTACATAATCTCGACTGAGACTGGCAATCAGTCTAGGAGGTTAAAAAGAGACTGGGCCGGCGGATATGATTGAGCATTGAGAACAAGGCCACTACCGTCTCTGTGAAGGACCAACAACCGAGCAGCTCGAGGGTGACGCTGTACCGTAGTTGTACTGAAAGGCATCAAATTAGAACAAGTTGGGAACGGCGGCCGAGTAGATGATCATACTATGTACATGTTCATTAGCTCGGCCAGTTCTTGCAAAGTTGCGTACGAAGAACCGTTCACTGCAATAGCTGCTGTTGCTTTTCGCTTGAGCTGTTGAGCCCTGGCTCTTTTATCCTGTCCCTGTTGTTCCACCATCAGGAGGTTTATTGCTCTCTCGATGTCACTTTGCTCCACAAACACGTCGAGTTCCTGACCGGTCACCTCTTCGGCAATGGAAGCGAAAAGTACATCACCTCTTTTGTCCGTCATTTCGATGGCTATTCTCAGCACACTCACCACGTATCTGCAGCAACATCAGAAGTGCAACCCCAGCATATCAGGCCCAGCAGGAAAATCTACTCCCGGCCTCGCTAATCAAAGTAAATCATATCAAACAAGAATACTTGCTACCATGAGTTCACAGCAGAAGTCTTTACAGTAGACTATGATGGACATTGCATTCGTCTTGGAAATGGTAGGAGCCTGTCTGGAGGAGTCTTTCTTATGATAGATAAAGTACGCACCTGCAGGTGAGATTCTGGTCGGCCGATAGAGGCCAAGCTAAAATCGGCACACCGGCACTGATACTCTCGAGGGTGGAGCTCCAACCACAATGAGACAAGAATCCGAAGATGGCTTTGTGAGCGAGGAGTTGAGCCTGAGGAACCCATCCAGTCACGATCATAGCTCGTCCACTCAGCCTCTCTTCGTAATCGGCAGGAAGGTAGTCTTGCAGAGTGTTCCGCTCGGACAGCGGTACGACCCATAAAAAGCTCTGCTGACTATTTTCCAGAGCGAGAGCTAGTTCTTGTGCCTGCTTGGCATCCAGCCGGAAAACTGTCCCGAAGCAGATGTAGAGAACGGAAGCAGGGCTCCGATTGTCCAGCCAGTTCAGGCAGTGCTTGCCTGTATCATTCGGCGCGTCCACGATCGAGAAATCCTCGCAGCTCGTTGCAGTAGACAGTGGTCCCACACAGAACACTTTCGGGACCTGTCGTCAGTAGAATGTCAGCAAAAAACTTGTGAAAGAAAGACTGACAGATTCTAAGTGAGCTCTCACACCACCACCGTGGCTGTTGAAAATACATTAATGTTCATTGAGAGTGTAGCTCGAGTCACTTGTGAGTATAAGGTATTTGTGTGAAAGTATTTTGTGTACCTTCACTTCAGGATCTCCCAGCCATGCATTTTGGAACGAGCGGATGACAGAGTCTTCGAGTTCACTGAAGGTATTCAAAATCACACCCTCTGCTCCTAACAAAGATTCGCCAACTGCTAAGTATTCCTCTGGATGGGCCCACATGAACCATGGAAGGTCTTTTACTCGCATGAATTCAAACCCTGGAACCTTCACAAGCTCCTCCAGGCCTTGCGCTTTGCCGTCCACTATGCGCAGCTTCCCTTTAGCCTGTAGCTCATGCCCTGCTTGCCTCAGTCTCGCTTCTAGGGCGCAGTTGCTGAAGAAGACATATCTTGGAATTTCCAGTTCCTCTGCAATGTCCTGACAAATGATCCGGGCAAACTCAATCATAAATGGGAAATTCGAAGGCATCGCTCGTCAGAATGCAACTCGCACAAGCCCAAATCCCTGGATGTCACCTGACAAATGGTCAGGACAATTACAACCTAAAAAGTCACAACCAAGCACGTGCCTCTTCATCTGCAGCTTACATTATTCCTGATCCTCGTATACATCCTGAAGTTTTGTCAGGCTTATCACAATCATGAACGGGACAATCTAGACACATATCTTCATATGGAACTCCACACATTTATGGAAGTTATAGTTCGTGAGGTTTAAGTGTATAAGTCGTTCATCTCAAAAAAATATTTAATCCCTTCCGTGATTCTATGCCACCACTTCATGAATCGAAAGCCGAATTTCTCACGTAGTATAGACTGCAAACTGGCTGATACAGTCCGCCAAACACGTTTCTATTCAATTACTCTGAATGTGCTGACCCTTATCCTGATTCTTAGATCTCTTGAGACCAGGATACTTGAATTCTCCAACCACGGTCTACGAATGTATAAGCAGCTAGAATTCTCATCTAATGTCCTGTCATGATCTGCACTTCGCGTTTGTTATACCGATTGTACCTTCCCCTGGTTAGTAGATCTCCGAACTATTTCAATGCACTTCCGCTAGTCTAAGATTGCTCTGTCCTAGTATGAGACGTTCATAATCTGATGCATAGTTTATCTCAATACTAAGAGAACGAAAGATCCCAAGAGAGGCCAATTACTGTTCCACATCTGAATAATCGGAGAGAATTGAGAGAAGGAAATTGACTTGCATTGAATCTCCGCGCTATGAGAATTTCAGGCTGATTTCACCATCCTTCAACCATCTTCCATGTGACCTAGAAACCGTAAATCTTGGAAGGCTAATACATGGGTGAAATGCCGATGTGCATTGCAAGAAATTGTGTATTCGGACGAAATCAGGTAAAGTGGGAAGTTGATTGAGACATAGAGGATCAGAACCTTCAAAAGATCGAAACGTTTCATATACCTCCAAGAAATGCTTCACATTCTACGTTATTGCGACGAGCTTCCTGTAGATCTTTGCGAGAGATTGCCAAAATTGGAAGTGTTTTATGGAGATCAGCCAGAGCACAAAGACATGGTTGGTGTATGAAGAGATTCCAGGCTTCAAACCTTTGTCCACAGAAGAAATCTGTCCGCCATTATGCACGTGGGGCCCGGCAGTCCCTTCCTCTGGTTATTCAGCAGCTCTTGAAAATACGGTTGAAAGGCGAGCTTCATACGCTTCACCTTCTCAAATAAATTCGAACTGTCTTCATGATCAGCAACTCCCACCAGATTGAGGCATTTCTTCTTCTGCAGCTTCTCGACCGACTGGATAGATTTTATCGACAAGATGTACTCCTGCCGAGTCGCAAAGGTCACAGTGACACCTCTCTCGGCAAGGGCTTTTGCTAATCTGAAGCTGGTAGCAATGTGAGCTTGTCCTGCAAACGAAATGACGAGCACATGGCCCCGTTTGCGTTTACTAGCGCTAAAATCTACTTTATACTCCATAGCTTTTTCGATCAAATGCAGTAACTCTCTCTGAAACACTGCAGCTGCTTGCTAGAAACTTTTGCTTCTGATTGCAGGTAGGACGTACCATTCACAGTAAGAATCAGCAGGTCCTTAAACAAAGAGATCTAAAAACTCTGCAAACGAAGGACAGAGCTATATATCGACATTTATGACATAAACAAAGACATCTTCAGGCGAAGCAAGTTGCTTTATACCATCACAAGCCCAACCCACGATCTCCTTCATGTCAACATGATGACAACTGGTATGGGGCCTATGTGAGCTTGCTGATGTTTAGTGTATGAATCGCTGTAGCCATGTGCGTACAAAGAAAAGGGCTGCATGTTCACAGCTCTTGAATAGTGCATCGTTCCCTTTTCCTTATTATCTTGGACTACATTTTCTTGTATATAAATCCTGGAAATTGGAACTCGGTTGAGAGTGAGTGAGTGAGAGACAGACAGACAGAGGCAGACAGACAAACAGGTAAGTTAACGAGCAAGAAGCCCCGAAACAGAATCACACAGCAGCGAGTTGTTTCTCAATAAACGAATGAATGGTTCACGTAAACAATTTTCTTCTGCTCATGTCCAATGATGTATTGACGATCGTGGCTTTTGCTGCGTCAAAATCTGCCTGCATCCTCCATGGCAGAAAACTGAAGACTGAAGAACAAACAAACAAACAATAAATTGGCCATTGAACTCGTCACTAAGTACCATGAACCCAGCATTATGTGGCTGGCTTTGCCATAAATCAAAAACTGCGCACATTGGTATATAGGCTCTAATTCGTAAGTCTACCGATCTCACACATGGACTTTTTGAATGTTATATATCAGATATATAAAACTTGAATTCGTCCCGATCTCTCGACGCGCAATTTTATAATGAACGAGTACATTTAGCAAAACATAATAGCTTCCTAAACCTTCAGCATCAGATGTGACGCTCATGCATGGGTACTAGTTCAACGCTCAGAACTTCCAGGATATCAAAGCTTCTTTACCTACGGTGTGCTTATTCCAATTTCTAGTTAATATTAAAAGATAGTACCGAGTCTCTTCACTGCAGTGAAACTAGACAAATTGCCATACAAGTGGATCTCGAAAGTAGGATCGCAACAATGAGTCTGGTAATTGCTGGCGTAAGGATTTTGAATATGATGGTGTCCTAGAAACATCACTATATCAGCGAGTAATCGTTGATCCTGAGTAATGACATCGAGGATGTGGAAGTGAAGACTGGCTTCCTTGTTCCTGCCTTCGTTGACCGATTGATGTTGTCTTGACACGAAGCCCTCTTGTGAATCAGCAACTCCTGCTCGTTCTGTTGCTAGTCATACCTCTAAGAACGAAATCAGTGACCCCCCTTTACCTTGTGAGGAGACTGAAGCTGGCTGATCACTCGACTAGAAACTCCGAAAGATTTCTCAAGAACCTTGCTCGGAATGTTCGAACCGAACAGGTTTATTGGCAGTTGAATAGAACCAGGGTTCGAGCTGCTGAAGGAGAAAATGACCTTTGTCTCCTTGTCACTGTCCAGATTGGCCATGTAATGCACCAAGGCCTTGGGAACCACGAACAAGTCACCTTCCTGAAGAGTTTGGTTGTAGAGCTTGTTGTTGTTATCGGTGAATCCTACCGTCAGCGATCCCTGGATCATGTAAATGAGCTTGGATCCACGAGGATGAAGATGGGGTGGGAGAACAGCGCCTGGCTGGAAGTACATCAAGAAGAAAGAAATGCCGAGCCCATCGAGAGCAGGAAACTCCACGACTGTTGCTCTTTTGGAGCCCGTCTCCCCCGGTGCTGTAGAGACGCCGCCTCTGAAGCCAGTGTACGTGAAGAAGTTGCCATCTAGCTTAGACGCATCGACACCGTCCGGAACAGCGAAGTCCGTGGTGAGCTCAGGATCACTGCACCTTGCACCGGCGATGGCCAGAAGCACCAGCGAGGCCAAAAGCGGCAGCTGAAATTTGCCCATAATTCTTTCGAGAGCAGGTGCCAACGTTCGAGTGAGCTATCGGTTCAGAGCAGCTTTGGGTGGGAAAACCTGGTCTCTAACCTGCACTCGAGGTATCTTTTCGAGGAGATGGTGCAATGTACGAATATACTCAGTAAGTACAGATCTGAGTCTGAATCCTGATAGATGTTGTCGTACGATGAATTAAGGACATGCTGTGGGGCTTATATAGGATTTGGAGCAGCTCGGAGAGTAAAGTACAGGGTCAACAGCTGACTAGGCTTATTGACACTGGAACTGAAGTAGAAACTCCTTGACTTGCGTCGACTCGAGAATGAATTCCAATCAGATAAAGAGCCTTGACCATGTCCCGGTATTGAATCCCAATCAGATGAAGTATCTTGACCGTGTCCCCTACGCGCGATTCGCATCGTAGGTTGACTTGATACCATCATCGGGTGTGAATCATTCGTTTCTCTGTCTGGACTTGGGGTACGGTACAAACCTCCTCAGATAAAGGGTACTCGGATCTTTGGCATCTGGCAGCCATTTCCACTTGGCTCGTCCGATCGTCGCCACGTCCCTTTCGTGAAACAAGTCACGTTTCTTGTAAGCAATCTTACCGCTCAGTGGGCCTCAGGCGGGCTGCTGCTTCCATCGATATGAGATCCGTGGCGACCTTGCTAGAGTTCGTTACCAGGAACCTCTCCTCCTGACAGGTCCTGTAGAGGATTTTCCATTCTCCATTGCATTACGAACTATTACATCTTGTTTAGCTATTTTCTGAATATTTGCCTCATAGTGAGTGAAGGGAAGTGAGGCCACGCCAGTGACCATTCCACTACATCTTGACATGGTTGACTTTTCCAGTTTCTGCCTGGGATATTACTTACTGCATGAAAATTTGAATGAGTAAATTTGTGGTCCCGCAGTCAAACCCAAGTTCTTGACGACGCAATCTGCAGAGGACTTGGCCTCGGTTGTATGCAGCACTGTTAACTTGTAGAGGGAGGTTAGGTCCACGCTAAATGGCAGACGCGGACCCATTTTCCCGTCGTCATCTAGTTGGTTGGAGATCTTCAGGCGCTTCAATATCTTCGATAAAGCTGAAGTTCTCTGGTGTGAAAAAGTTTCTTGATGAATTATTGCAACAATTGCTATTTAAAGAAGATGATGCGTTGACTATATGAAACTGAATTGGCAGCGTAATGACTTAGGCTGCATACTCACGAAGCTTGGGCCGGCCTGTAGTAGCAAGTTGGGCGACAACCCAACGTGAATACAATTGTGAGACAGAACCGTAACGGTAGAAATACTGTACCTCGAAGACGCATGTTTCCCAGCACCATTGACAGTCAGCTATCTTGCCTGTTGGGTGGCAACATAGTTCAAAGCACAGGAGCTGCATTCAGACTTCAGACGTTGCTCGAAGCCATTCGTAGTTTCGACGCTGCTTTTGTTGTCACACTGTCTAGTGATTGCCAGTTGGGGCCGAAAAGTAGCCGGATGAAGTGATACTCGTAAGGTTTGGCATTGTAGATCCTAAATTCATGGGAACCTCGGTTCACTTTTGGAAACAGACTAATCGTTTCGATTTCTGTTGGCTCCCAACTGAGTCATATAATGGATACAAAATTATCGAACCATGGTTGATAGGTACTGGTCATTTTGCCTAAGATTGTAACTGTAGTCTCATGATATCGTACAAGAACACCACCGAACACCCCTTTCTTGAATTAGATGTGGTGGTGTATTCGATTGTATCTACTCGAATTTCCTACGTATCCGAGTGTCAACTTTAATCCGAGTGTCAACTTTCAAGTGTAACCCCTTTCCGTTGGTGTAGTCAACATCTGCCCACCCCTGCTCCTTCTGAGACAAATGCCCCTTCTGTCACGAAGCACAGCTTAGTCAATCATGCAAGAAATCTGCTAATTACAATTCAGGTTCGGCCACGGGTTACGTGTAAGTAAGTACACCTCAAATCATTCACGCGTTCAATGCCACTCGACTGCTAGATGCAGGCTGTCAGCTTGACAATTGCTTTGAGTTTCTTCTCACGAATGAGCAGTAAATTCCAGTCTCCTCCAATTTAATGCACGGGCTCCAAATCAGTGTAATTTTTATACTGTATACATGACTTAGCCTTGACGTATCAGGTAGACAAGTATATCACGGTATTCAGACTAACAACTAAAATCTTCTACTATTAGAGATTTCCTTCACTTGAAGTATTTGCAATTTAACCACATGCTGCCGATCAATGAGTAGCATAAACAAAGAGGAGCTGGTATAGGAGAAATGCAAATCTTCCACGTGAATTGGAAAAATTGAATCAAGTGTGCTCCGCCTTTACTTCTTTAATAATAAAATAATTCGTATAATTGTATGTATTTGTGTAAAGTTCATTGTTGTCATTGAAGTTTCGGATGGTGTAGGAAATTTTAATTTGGAGTCAGTTCAATAAACTTCAAAGTTGATTGAGATCCTTGTCTTGGCCGATGTGCACTCCATAAGGTTTATACGTCTACTATGATCGTCTCCGAAGACGCAGATATCACAAGGAATGGTGTAATCATACCTTCAGATCTAGGATCCGGTGTGGCATTCCAGAAATCGCAAGAACTCTTGATTCACGTGAGAAGGTGGTTTTGCAATCTTGTCGCGTGCTTGGCAAGCCTCCAGACATGAGCAGACTCAGTCCTGTTGCATCGCTCATGATCGAGTCATCGACATGTGTCATCAGGTTCTTTAGACAGAAGTCTGTGAAGTGAAAATCCGATCTTGTTCGTCCGGTAGGGGTTGTGTCAGTGGTTACTAGACGACAACCATGAGGCGAAACTTGTTGACTTAATTTTGTCGCTGGGAATGTGTGAAGTCAATGATATGGCAATGTGCTACCGGATGACTAGCGGCCATTGACTGCCTCGTACTGATGAGGTGTATTTACCCCTCGTGCCAGGACGTACGAACCTCGGTAACGGGTCACTTGGCACCGAGAAACTATTCGAAAGGAGAGTGCACTTCAGAACAGACTCTGCAAGTTCCTTTACCCGAATCAAGGAAATCCTGTGAAGACTGATGGCAACGGGCTGAACCGGTCTGAATCCATGCCATGTGTTGTAATGAAAGTAAGGCTTCAAAATCAGGTCTGATGAAGTAACAATATGTCGGCAGGGGTATTGGGAATCAGGAAGTAAAACTCTGCCATAGCTGCGAACTCAAAACTCCAAGAACACACTGAACCCGTACACCACACAGTAGTCCTTCAGCAGTGGGCCCTCGGTTTCTGCGACAGTCTCATGTAGGACTCCCCAACTATTATTACCTTCATTGAAAACAGATGTCAGTGCTGTTTTTTCTGACAGGCCATTTTCAGCGGTATTCATTGGTTGTGACACCATGGGGCGTAGCTTCGGTCATTTGTTTTACTCTTGAATGTGGTCTCTGCGAATCCCAGACGAGGAATGCACATGTGAAATTGTGTCCTCGAAACTAACTAGAAAACAAGTGGATAACGCTGCGTTATTAACGCATAAAGGAAATGGACCATATGGAAAGCAAAAACTGCGGAAGACCCGATCAAGCGGGAGTAACGAAAGATAACATCAATGCTTATATTATCACAATTTTAAGTTCTTGATTAAATATTTGAATTCACGTGTAATGGAAAGCAAGCGGGAGTGCAATATTATTTTATTTTGAGGAAAAACTTTCCATCAATATACGGAAATTTGTGTTTGTAACCTAGTACACAAAGTCAACTTGCAGAGAAGCGATACATAAAGGTGGGCATCAAGTTTAAGTCAAAGAACCATGGACTTTATATCTTGAATGTTTTGAAAAGCTGGTGATCGTTATACATTCAAGATAGATCATGTTGACAATGCACTTTAAATGTTTCATTCTCTATCCTTTAGATAATTCGAAATTTGTATGACATAGATCATCCATTATTATCTCTCATTCTACATTGGTATTTTCCACTTGTATAATATCATCTATTTTGACTTCTTTTTTAATCTTTGTCCTCAAAATATATTTTATATCAAATCATCTTTTTTTAATATTCTCAAATGAATTATTTTTTATGGTTAACACTACTTTGCATGGCATCAACTATATTGGAAAAATAATAAAAAAAAGAACTATATAATAATTTGAAAAAAGTAAAACCTATCGTGAATACTATTATTTAACCTTATGCATATGGTAAAAAAGGAATCAAACTCCAAGCCCATAGAATACTTTATTATGAATGAAATATCCATATAGTGAAAAGCTTTTGCAACTATTATCACATTTGACTCCTATCTTTTCACATGTAAGAGCTTCTATGTAATCTCTAACTTCAAATAGTTTTAAGTGAAAATGTGCGTTATATACATACTGAAGTGTCATAGAGAAACAAAAACTAAGTAATATTAATAGAATATAATTCTGACAGAAATCAGGGTTAGCCCAATAGTATCACATGAGCTGATAAATGAATGATAGAAGTTGATGCGGCTAGCCCAATAGTATCACATGAGCTGATAAATGAATGAGAGAAGCTGATGCGGCTAGCCCAATAGTATCACATGAGCTGATAAATGAATGATAGAAGTTGATGCGGCTAGCCCAATAGTATCACATGACCTGATAAATGAATGATAGAAGTGGTGGTTATGGTATGGTGGTTCGAATATGGAAGCTATCATAAAATAACTAGGTGCTTTTTATTATTTCAATGTGCACCGGGAGTGGGTAAAATGTATCGACGACTTTGCAATGAGGGCGTCCTTTGATCATCTGATGATTTATGCAAGCAGTTGTCACATAATTAAATGGTTCTCAAAGACGGAGGTGGTTTCCAGTAGTGCCTCCCCAGAACATTACAGTGCTCCCTACATCAGTGTTCAATGCCCCTGGTAGCGCTGCATTCCTCTGCTACCAGACACCCATCATCATCGCTAGCCGTTCACGAGGAACAAATTCTTCTGGCAACTCTGGTTGCCGGCGCACAGCTTGTATGGTCGGTCTGATGTCATTTTCATCCACTGCCTCCCATGCGCTTTATGAGTTGGAAGTTCTGTACATTGAACCTCAAGTTCCATTTCTTCAATCTTTCGCCAAGTGCGAAGACCTAAGACTTAGAAGATCGTGGCCCTAGTATTTCTACTAGGCAGAAGATTTTCAAATGTTGTGGAATTTCAATTTGTTGACAGTTCCGAAGCAGCTTTGCCACCTCAGTCCTTCCCAGTATCTCAGACTATCTCTTTGGGCGATCACTGGGCAAAGGCTGCTGTAGCCATTTGTTCTGACTGGGAATTATCTCTCACAGTTCCTCAGCAAGACACGACTCCAGTGATTTCTAGTGTTGAAACTGTTGTGAGCTTTGATTTCTTGGAATGCATGAAGCACCTTTCTACCATCACAGGTAGTGCATGAAAACTCGCCGCAACGTCGCGCTGAAGCTGCTACGGTTATACGTGAGCTTTTCGTTAACTCGCTACTAACTCACATTTCCGCCAGTCCCATTCGCATATTTTGCAATGACCCACTGACGCTTCAGACAAAAGAATTCTAGTTACCGTTCTAGTGTTCTTGGCATTACCTCTAAGGATTGCTCTTTGGGATCTTTGTCTGTGGTTTTTGGCTTGTATTGTGTTTTTCAACCTTTGGGTCCTCTGGGCTTGATCTATTACCATTTACCAATTTATTAGAAGCTAACGAAACTGATGAATGACCAAGGAGAAATCTACTAGTAGAATATTATGTTCACTAGTTCTCACTAAGAATGCAAAACAGACCACGAGCAGTGCAAGGTCTTCTTTCCCGGCAATGTCATATCAAGGAGAATATGAGGTTGTTCATACAAGACCACGTACCTAAAATTAAAAATGTTATGCTGCTGCATGACTCCATTCTAGCTATTCACTTACATATATGCTTCAACTGCTGACCGCATAAAGTATTCATTCGAACATATGATTACTTCAATGAAAATGGCTTTCAGTTTTCATAGTCATTCATTCCGTATATACAGATTGTATTCTGGTGATGATCCAATTTTCTTATAAGCTAGCCACCATGGGCATCTTCTTCAACCATTCGCAACCAATCAGCAGCCAACAGATGCTTGATCTGGTGGTATCCTCATGGACTTAATTGTACACGCAGTTCAAAACCTCAACCCACAAGAATTCTACAACGAGATACGATCACATGGACCTTGGTTGGGCTCTTCCTCTGGTCATACATGTTTTAAATGAGATTCTGAACCTGTGTTAGATTTCAAGTTTCGAATTGTTATTTTGCAGTTCTGCAAGCACCCAGGCATCCCTTTCTGGTCGCAGGAAAATGAAAATACAAAAGTTTCTCTTCAGTTTTCATTCCATAAGGCGAAGTTGGTGAAGGAGCCCATCACAGTAATGTCAATTGAGGCTTGAAGTTTCTCACAAACCCTGTTCTTGGTCCTTTTCATCGGGAATGGTATACGGAGTATCTCTGACATCATGTGAGTTGAATTAGATGGATCTGTCACTCAGGATTACAGATTGGAATGTGTAGATTCGCAAGAATATCAATAATCTATTATAAACCCTCAAGAATCTTGGCCCACTCGATTATTTTCAGCTCTTGATGGTCGGTCCCAAATTAACCCAGTCCACTTTTTCGACACCAATCTTTCTTCGTCTACTTAAGCTTTGCTACAATCTCGTGATTATCGTAGACTTTAGGTTCACATTTTAAAGTTTGCAATTGAGCTCTGCTCTCACAAAGAAAACTGTTTACTCTTCATTCCATGTTATTGAGAACGTAAATCACCCAGTATGCCTGAGCATCTAAGATCTGTAGTGGCTTAATCGGAATTCTAATCCAGGTAATTCTGGAATCGTGAATTTATTCTGCAGACATAATGTTAGATTTCCTAGAATCTGCATTACGTGGATGAAACTCAGAATCTTTGAGAAAGCTTGAGGAAATAGTTTTATCTACATTTTCAGATTTAATCTCAACTTGCTGACCTAATTCCAGCCGCAGTAAAGAAGGTGATATATATCTTGTCTATGAGGATTATGTACATGTACATGACCTTCTCTCACAAAAATTCAACCTTAGGTGAGTGAGTGATCTTCTTTGAGTGATCTGCTTCATTGAGTTCTTCATTGAGTTCTGGTATTCATTTGTCTTTCCTCATGCTCGCTCGGTCCAACAGTGAGACCTTTTGACTGGAGTTCCATCGAAGACAACCTGAATTTTACAAGATAATGAACTCTTCTAATTAAACGCAATACATGCTAAGACTGCAGGTCCATCGATAAAATGCATACGTTGCACAACAGAACCCAGATGGACATGTCAAGCTAGAAATATTTAGAACCTGAGTTGCATCCTCATGAAAATTGCATTTGGCACTGAAACTTTCAAATGGCAGCCTTGTGAAGGAGCAAATTGTACCCATCGAGCCAATGGACTAATTTAGAAAATGACAAAAAAATAGTTGACCATACTTTTTCGGATTAGACACGAACATGAGGCTTGCATGTTGTTTCTAGCGTGAAAAACAACTCATCACTGTATAGGTGAAAGGTTCAGGCTCATTCTCACGGCCCATTTCTTTAACATGCAAGCAGTCCACACTGATCCACGTTTGGAACCAAGAATCACATGGGCAGCTTCATCGATTTTAGTGCTGTAATCGGAAAAGATTGCATTAAGATTGCAGTCTGATTGAGATTCGTGTTGTGCTGGACAGGATTGCTCCTCTCCGCTTGGGTCATCAAGAAAAGTTATGCAGCGTGTTCTCGCCCTATTATTAGACGAACTTACTCGCACCTCAGCTCGGGAGTCGAGCTATATTCTATGAATTGTGCTGCTTTTTATACACGTTTCGCGATGCTGGTATTCGCTATAGTAGATCTGCCATAACTCTACATCCCGTTCGTTTTATTGAAACAATTTTCAATGCAAAACATTAACTATTATTCGAAAGAAACCTTATCTTATCTTCAAATTTTGGTTTCTCTCATTAAAATGTGTTTTGACTAGCTTCCCTTATTATACGTTTAAGTATGATCCATAATATGTGAATGTATCGATCCATGTATGGTTATGTATGGTTTGATATTATTATTAAATTTCACAAACATATTTAAAATCTCCAAATTTTGGTCATATAATTTTGAGTGAATGAATAATTTTCGGAAGAAACGGCTGTAATCATCACAGGTATAATGTGATGATCAATGTAATTTTGATTATCAATAATATATAAAAGTAACGCCTAGTTATACTTCACTTCAGTCTAATTATCAGTCACTTTAGTCTCTTGTTCATTACTTCTGAGCGTTACTTCTCTCCTTTTCCTTCTCTGCCCTCAAAGATTATATATATAGTCTGGTGGGTTCTTGGATGATATCTATCAATCACATATCTTCTTTCTACAAATTATAGTAGTCTGGTGGGTTTATTATAATTAACCTCAACAAAGTGATAACTAACCACTCCCTGTATAAAAACCTCACTATTTTTAGTTCTTGATGAGTATCTTTGTGGTAACTTACGAGGTTAGGGTACCTTGCAACCGCTGCCAGTAATTTTGCAAATGTAGTTTCAAACCGAGCTGTCCACGGTCAATTGAGGTGTCTCCTTAGGAAACTCGAGCCTTTGTATAAATTACGGGAGAAATCTGCTTATTAAGACGGGTAGTTGAACAAACTTGTCTTTCGAAAAAGAGGACTAGTACTGCACTAAGTTTGGTAGTCAAAAGCCATTATTTGGTAATGTGGTACGTCAGCTGTTTACTAAGAGCTGATATGGAGAACTCCCTTCCTGCACAGTTCGAAGCTGACTTGCTTCGCGACCTTACACCTCGTCAAATTTTCTGTTATGTTTCAAACCTCGTTCTGCATGTGCATTGGAATCAAAGCTTGAAATCCGTTTCTGTAGTATTAGAAGCTGACTTGCTTCGTGCCCCGCCATCCCGTCAACATTTTTATTATATATCAAACCTCGTTCCGCATGAGCATTGTAATCAAAGCTTGATGCGAGGTTCCAGCCTAGATTAGGTGTCGTGCATGGAAACTTCCTCACGATATTCGACGTTATCTTCGTAAAGGATGTGTAGATTCTGGAAAATGTACGTCATCTAAATGACGGCACAAATTATCGAGCAAGTCCACTATTTCCGACCAAGCTGCTATATATTGACGCTTCATGAGCTGCCCAAGAATGAGTTTGATCTTTGAACACATCTGGCCTACTTCTTCTGCGAGTTTCTATAGAACAAGATTAAGAAACAGAAGGAGAATGAAGATAAGTAAGGAAGTATCGTGCTTGCTGACGCTGCTTATCTTTGGCATTTTGTTCTTTCCTACTACTACCTCTGCATTAGAGGTAAGCTCTCGAACGTTTTCATGAAATCTCTTTATGACTCTTTTCTTGGTGCTATTATCCGTATCTTGGTGATTGATTGATGATTTTGAGCTACCATCGTCCTGAGGAATACAAATTTTGCATGTTTATATATTCCAAGGGACACATGCTTGTATCCTCGCCTGTATCCGGTGTTGGTATACACATACTGTATTCGAAGCAATTCACCAAGCTCATGCCCTCTAATCTAGCCAAGTACTCGAGATGTTCACAGCATCCCGTTCAGTAATGATTGAAAATTATTCTTGTGATTGGTAATAGCTGTAAAGTGCTCACGAAAAACAAAGATTGTTTTCAGATAGCTCTTTCGTTCGATATGATTTGTAATTTAATATGTCCATGCTCTTATGCACGCAGACCACGAAGTACGATGCCAAAGGAACCAAGCACATAGTCTTTGTTCATGGTTCCTTTCATGGGGGCTGGTGCTTTTACAAGGTTTCCAATTTACTGCAGAGTAGAGGGTTTACAGTCGGTGCAATCGATCTGACATCTCAGGGGAAAAATAAAGCCATCGCGGACAATGTCACCTCGATTGCACAATTTGTACATCCAGTGGTCGAGTATTTGAATAATGTGACGGGGAAGGTAATCAAGTTCTGACATGCTACACACTGACGTGTTGAATTTTCTGTCCTTTACGAGCCTCAACTTGTTCACCATTGATCCTCTTTCTCAAGATCATTTTTTATTCATGAACTCTGACTTCGGATTATAATGCAAGTTATCTCATTTCTGTGTATGTGTATCTACCTTAGGTGATTATCATGGGACATAGTCTGGGAGGAGTTTCCATTTCGTACTTGATGGAGAAGTTTGGCCCTGAAAAGATAACGAAGGCCATGTTCGTCGCTGCCGTAATGCCGAAAAACAATCAAAGCTTCTTTGAAGCTTCTATAGTGGTTTGTTCTAGATATTTGACTTTTTTAGCCATTCAATATTCGGCTATAATATTTTTATCTGCTCGTAGATGTCATCATCCATTGTTATTTGAGTCTTTTCTGCATACTATTAGCTGCTAAGACAAGAACGAATCTTACAGTGCGTTTTGGTCGTCTCTTGTCTTGATCATTCATTCTGACGAGTCACTTAACTTCTCACAGGGTACCTCAACAATTCCTCCAGGAGGACAACCATTTGTCTACGGAAACGGACCATCCAAGCCTCCAACTTCTGTGAATATCAACCTGGACTTAGCTCGACTCATGTTTTACGAGGAAAGTCCTGAGGAGGTAGGAATTCTGGAATTTCTCATGTATTTCACACAAGCCTTGTGAATCAAGAAAAGAGATAGATAATTCTTATCTCTGAAATATATAGAGCTAGAACTAGGTAGCCTACATGCTCCAGAAATTCACTACATTTCCTGAAAATTGGGTCAAATGGTGTTTTACAGGATATAATCTTGGCAAAAACATTGCTCGTTCCTCAGCCTTATGGCGTGCTTCTCGAGTATCTACATCTGACACCGCAGAGACACGGAATGATTCCGCGATACTACGTTAAGACAGGGAAAGATTTCATTTTACCATTATCCGCACAGGAACGAATTATTGCCATGAACCCCCCTGCAGGAGTATTTCTATTGAATAACAGTGATCACTCTCCATTTTTCTGTGAACCTCGGAAGCTCGCAAAAATAATCCAACTCGTAGATCTGCTTTGAGTGTAACAACTCAAAAAACGTACACCAAGAGCAAGTCTTTGTTGAAAAGAATCCAACTCTTGGAAGAGATGCAGTAAAGGTGAGCCAAATGACTCTATTCACAGCTTTGTGTCTAGTTGCTCACTGGAACAACTCTTAAACTTATCGGATACCAAGAGCAAGTTTCTGTTCAAAACTTTGAACTTGTGTAAGTTATACAGTAAAGATGAGCCAAATATTTCTGTTAACAGCTTTGTATCTAGTTCATAAGGACTAGTTGGGCTTGTATCTCAAGATTCAGCCTGTTGTGATATTTGTTTTCAGTTTGGTGCTCTTCACCTAAGTGATTGTCCAGAGTTTGTATTTTAAAATATCATGTGTGAAGTTGTTTTCAGATTGACATCGTCGTCAAAATAAATAAATAAAACTGAAAATGCTCATAATAGATTACATATATCTTCAGTGGATCCCAAAGTCGAGCTTTTACCGTCTATATTCTGTCTATCTCAAGGCAAGTATAATAGCGAAGTTTTCGAAGGTTAACGTTTAGGATTTTACTCAGTATTGACAATTAGCCTCGTCAGTTGACGCCTGTCAACTGACAAAGCAAGACATCTACAAACTGTATGAGAACACACATCAAACAGTTATCAAAATAGCCGGAGAAGGTATCAAAAGTCTATGTTACCTATAGACTAATGAGAGCGCTAGTCGGAACCTCATTGATAGCAGATTAAGATTTGATATTGATATTGCCAATTTGATATAATCTTTAACTCAAAGTCAAAGTCCTTGAATATGGTGAAAGTATATGCTGACACAATATATCAAATCACAATCGATTATAAATAGAACGAAGCATCTGTTGGACTGCAATGTTAACACAAACCTATCTTCGAAAAAATTCAGTGCACCGTCCTAAAATTCTTCAAATGATTTATTTAGAGAAAGGATGCTTTAGAAAGGCTTTTGAGTGGGTACTGGCTTTCGACAAGACGATATTCGTCTATGTACACAAGACAAATTTGAATAATGTTACCATTTTCGTCTTTCCCTTCAAAACCCCTGTCAGTGAACGTGAAATTTACAAATGAGTCAGGGATGATATTCCAGGGAAGGGACGGCGAAGGGGTGACGTACTCCCCGGCAAGAGCTCTTCGGCCTTCGGGCATTTCCTTTGTGTAAAATGCCTCGCGAAGAATGTAACCACTACAAGTCTAAAATTGGCAGATGCGGATTCAGGATTGATTTTGACTTCTCATGTTTTAGTACTGAAATAGGTAATTAAGACAAAATCCTAAGTTCTTGGAAGCACGAAGACCACTATTCCTTCACTCAGAACCCAAAACATATGACACAAGTTAAATCATGTGCTTTACATGATAATTATGCTTATTAGATTCTACATATTACTCATTTGTAGGATTATTCCAATGTCTACCTTGAAGAATGAATATCACACAGTTCTCATTATACGAGAGCCCAGACTCGTAGCCGCAGTAAAATTGACAACTCACAAGCCGAAGACATAGTTTCGAAATCACTGACTGTGAGCGCTTAGATGCTCCGCCGGGTACAGCAGTAGTCTTTTCAGCGCAGTTCATATTCGGGTATGGTGTTCTTTATGAGCAGTGCAAGCATGAAAGATCGTGAATCGAGGAGAGATTTCCTCCAAAGGGTCTATAAGTTTTGTAGATGCACAACGCCATGTATATAGGAATCCTCATGATGCCATCGTAAGCCAGGTGGCCTGGAAGTCTGGACTGAGAGTGCAGACTAGTATGAGAGCTCCCGGTTCCGTTCAGCGGTGCCCGTTATACGGGTCAGTACGTAACAGACGCGGCAACCTCTTGCGGTGGCACACCTGCATCCTCGATCCTTTTGCTCTATTGCCCGAATTTCTTCGTGCACCTTACAGTGCATCAGGATTGGCGAAAATGCAAGAGAACATGTAAAGCAATTGCTCAAACATCTTGCTACACGGTAGCAAGTCTAGATGTTTGAGCAATTGCTTTACATGTTCTTCTGAACTAACTAGCTAACTAGCTTTGTGTCTCCGGTCCGAACCTTTTCACAACGCTCTTCCGCTTGCTAGAAACTTCCTCATGTCGCATGTCACAAAATACATTGAATACTTTCACCAATGCTTCAGAACTTTTTCATGTGATAAGTAGGAGGGTTTATAAACATAATGGCACCTCTAGTAATGGTGTGAGTAAAATTATCAACGCCGGATTGGTTGGTGGCTAAAAAATGCATACATGAGAAAGTTATGGATTTTGGTCAGGTATGGTTATTTTAGGTGATGGTATAGCGAAGTGCCTAAATTAAATGTAACATCTAGTTTGTAATTGGTTCAGAATTGGAGCGTGAGATATTTCAGCAGTTCAATTATGAATCAAGTTGATACCACATCAATTTCATAATTAATCAAAGTTTGTAAATTAAATTTTCTCTAGCCCATGAGGTCACAGCGCTACTTCAAGCCACGCTCTCTCACTCCCTCTACTCGCTCTCAACTGCACTCACCGCGACAAAGTAACAATTAGTCGCACACAGTCGCTCACAAACAAGTCACCGCGACGTGTCCGAAACCTGTTACCACTTTCGACACGTTTTCAGCTCGAACATGTGCCCGAGCTCCATCGAGCCCGCGAATAAACTCGTCCAAAATCACGCATAATTACTCCGACCAACGGTTTCCCATCGATGGGGTAAAAGAAAGAATTTGCTTCTAAAGCTCTCCACGAAAATGCTCATGGCTTCGAGCTGATCGACATTCGAGACAGACACGCAAACGCATCATTTCCCGCACCTTGGACGGACTTTGCTGCACCAAAGCATCCAAACTAAGTTTTGTATGCGACTAAATTAAACAAATTAATGCAACAGACTAATATAACCATGTCTGATTATGACGAAGAATATAGCTCGGTTTCTAGGCATGCTACTATTTGTTTGTTATGTGTGCTAGTAAATTTGTGTAGTTTTATTTTAGAAAAACTTCCAATTCCCAAAATCCTTACAACTTCTGTAAAGGACAAGGTTCACTTACTACGGATTTTACTACATTTCCCTAAAAAGTCTATTTTCACATAGAATGATTTTTTAAGTGTTTTTCCCCCATTTTTGTCTGACAGTCCCGGAGTGTTGGACAGTTTTCGTATGTCGGACAAGCAAAGTCCGGCTTCGTGATGGCCGCTTTTTCTTCCGTCTATCCGACCATAGACTGGGTAAAGATTAGCACTGGGCGTGAAGCGAATTCTACCCGTATCAACTAGGACGCGGAGTTATTTTCGGAAGTGGTAGCAAAACCCGAGGTTAAAAGATTTTCTTTCGTCATTAGTGGGAAAGCTAAATCAAAATTGTGCCAAGCAGGGGACTAAATTCGCCCTAACCACAAATTAGATCCCTGTCGAGGAAATTACTCCACGGGACACCTTGGAAACTTAACTCTCATGAAGGGACCCAACAGGTTTGAATATACCCGATGGGACCCCATTCGACGGCCACCCTCGGTCATGTTCTTATAATCTACTGAATTGCTCTATAGAGTGTGAAGTGTCCGCCATTTTTGGGCCAGAGTATTTGGCGAAACCTTCCGTCCATGTCTAATGGGTCTTTACAAAAGCGAGGATCAAGTACTGTAATCGCGCGTCTGCAGGAACTAGAACGGTCCTATCTTCAGTTTTAGTGTTCTCTCTCTTTACAAAACACCGGAGTACCAAGTACTAAAACGAAGTCTTGTTTTAAATGCTCCATGACTTGGCGTTGAGTTGGCGTCTACGTGGCGCTAAATGCAATCCAGGGGCCATATTCCAAGAGCAACTCTCGAGATGTTCTAGCGATTTGGGCCGGAGTACCATCCGACTCTCATTAAATTTTTGATATTTTTTTCTGCGACGTGGAGGAGAGCATCATAATATGGTATGCTATTTTGCTCGAGCATATGGGCAGTAGTACTCTTGGCGTAGTCAGAAGGAGAGAAATTTCTATTTGAGGGAATTGATGCAGGCGGAAAAAATTTATTCTAAAGATTTGAACAGTTCTGAGAAATGGACAAGTACTTCTCTGCGGATGGAAATGGCATGCGTTCTCTTTACAAAAAATGTCTTGGTACTTGACCCAACCCGTCCACTCAGAGTACTATCCTTGTCTAAATATGACACTAACTTGGCATGCAGATTATCTCGACAGTATTTGACCCCCAGTTTTGTAAAGACCCCCTAAGAAAACGACGGGCACCATGAGTTTGAACCGTGACTTCATCTTTCTACTCCAAATAACCCAAGATAATATTGGAACATCATTGATTTTGGGCTGCAGCATTGATGGGGTACCATGGATTAAAATGAAACCTGTTAAGGTCCCATCAAGTGTCTTGCGTTCCCCTAGGTTCCATAAATAATTTCCTCCTCCCATGTTGGACAGCGACATGGAATTTCCTATATACTAAGTTAGTGACTCACAGTTGGGTTCAGCATTTGCGCAGAGGATGTTGGTTTGAAATCAGGTTATGGTTCTTATTGTCAACGGTCTTCTTAATATCGAGCTTAAATAACCGGTTTGGGGCGCCTCAAAATCGCTTGCTTTCTTTAAGCGTATAGTGAAAGCCTCAGTTACGTCTGAACCCGTGGGGCCACTTTGACTATTTTTTAACATGCTTAGTGTTTAGGTATATACTGTTTTTGAAAAGAGTTTCATAACTCTTATTGGTTTCAAAAGTGTATTTTAAGATTTAGTTTCAAAAATTATAACGCTCTCTTGGTGGACACAACTCTAACTATTGGATCGGTTATAAGATTGAATCAAAAAGTTATTCTTGGTGGACCAATAAGCTTGGTTATATTATTATACCAATTTTCAGTATCAGAAAGAATGACTACAAAAACCTACGGATTGAGCTCAATTGCTCGTGATGCTTACTCTAGAATATACACTCCACCAAAAAGTTTGTCAATAACGTGCGTTGATCGTACTTTTTTCATTTCATAATAGAAAAGTCTCAATCCAGGGAATTAGTGTTGGCAAATGCAACAGCCAACCCTGCACAAAATTTGCTATTTGACCTTTACAATCAAACTAAATTGAAAAATATAGTTGCAGAAACACTTCACATATATTGTCAACAGAGAAAAATAACTGTTTCTATATTCTTTATTTCATAGCAAAATAACATTATTAAGGCAATCAAGGAGTATGTTGAAACAATAAAATTCATCATACAAATTTTGAGTAGAAGTTGTAAACGTTATAGCTTATTTAGTAAATTTTTTCATGCTTTCAAAGTAAATTATATGAAGTTTAAATTAAGATATGAATGACAGACAGATTACAATATACTCATAAGATTTAGAAATTATGTATTTTTATCTACAAGATACAAGAGAATTATAACTCAAGCAAATCTTATAGCCAAGAATTAGTTTTGTGATTACAAATCATGAGATCTATTCTTTAAACCGAAAACAAAGAATCATTCAAGTCAAGAAGAAACACACAAGACACTCATATAACGTGGTTCATCCTCAGGAGCTACGTCCATGGCTGAAACGAATGAGAAGATTTACTGACAACTGCTCTAGAGAAGAAATCTTGGGGGTATATTTAACCCAAAGCCAACGACACACATAGCTATAAATATTTATAACCTGAGGTTAGTCCTTAATCTGAGTTAACTTCAACAATCTCCTCCTAAACTCGTGTTAAGGATATAATAACCTCTGTAAACTATATTATTACTCAACGGAAATTTCTAGGTAGAAACCTAACACAAGGCTTCTCTTTACACGATAGTTAACTAGAATTAGACCGTAGCCATAACATGATAGAGTAATAACGTAAAGAGATAAATAGAAAACCTCCTTGCAAAAAAGGATTAGAGATCTTGTAGTCCATATAATTACTTCGCTGGAAGTTCTAGAAAGAAACTTAATACAAGCTTACTCTTACACAAAAGATAACTAGAGCTAAACCGTAGCCATCACAGGATAGAGAAAATATATAAAGAGATTATTGAAGTTACTATGCTAGCAAATTCTAGATGTGCTCTCTATGCACAACCTGCATGGTAGTACAATGTTGTCTAAAATTCTCGAAAGTAATGACTTTGATCAAAGCATCAGTTGGATTGAGTTTATTGTCGATCTTGACTAGCTCAATCGTTTTATCAAGCACTGCTTGTCTTGTTAAATGGTACATGAAATTGATGTGCTTCACTGTGCTATCCATGACCTGGTTCGCAGCCAAATGTAAAGCACTCTGGCTATCACAATGGAGATTAACCACGCCCTGCTTCAATCTCATTTCCATGATAAGACTATCGAGTCAAATAGCTTCCTTTGTCGCTTTTGCTCCTTCCACATATTCAGCTTCCGTTGTTGATTAAGCTATGCGTTTCTGCTCATCGCAAAATCAATGTCCGGCCTAGTGCACATCATCAAATACATGAAGCTCTCTACGGCTTGTTCATAGGGAACACGTGACATTCTTCCTTTTTTCAGAGCATCAATAGGACATTGAGCTACGGAGAGTTTAAAATGTGCTGCCAAAAGAGTCCATACTCCTTTGGTATCAAACATGTTGAACCTGTCAAATATACAGCGAACATACTTGCCTTGACTCAACCATAGCCTATCCTGTTCAAGATCCTTATGAATCTCCATGCCTAATATTCTCTCCCAAATCCTTCATCTTAAATGCATACTTCAACTTACCCTTGCATTCATCAACATCAGATTGGTTTTCGTCAGGATGAATATGTCGTCTACGTAGAGTACTAGAATGATTAGATTGAACGTCTCATCATTTAACTTCTTCATGTAAAGTTTACAAAATCAAGGAAACATTGTATGTTTAAAACAATAATATGTTTTTTTGATTTGGTGAGTGTTCAAATTTTCTTTGGCTTCATTATTATACACTCTTCAAAATTGATGTAATTCAAAAATTATACTTGAGATTGGTGAAAAAACGCACTTCATCTTGTCTTATAGACAAACAGTATGCAACTTTCTTGAAGTCAAAGGCCTATTGTCGATAACTTCTACTGTTAGAAGATATTTCTTAGTAACTATAGAAAACTTATGATGTTTTATAAGATTTGATTCAAAAATTTAACAAGGTTTTAACTTTTATGTTATCTGGATATAAAACTATTGAAAACGAAATATTAAAACTAAAAGAAGGTTCAAAGGATAGGGCAGGATTCAATGACGTGGCAACACTTGTTAGTCGCACTGTGACTAATATGGCTGTGACTAATGTGGCTGGCCGTTGGCGGTTGTCATTTTCTAACTCGAACTCCTCATGTTTCGGCTAAAAAATGTTTGAAATGTATAAAAAATTGGACTTTTTTACCCTTGAGTTTTCAAAGAGCAATTTTTTAAGCTATGATACTTCCCTCCACAATAAAAACACAAGCTCTTCATAAAACATCGCTCTTTATCTTCTTTACTTGCTTACTAAAATTCTTGAAGCGTACATTGTCATGGCTTTGGGATCAAAATGCTTGATGATGTTTTACTAGTGAAAGCTATGTAATCTCTTCAATATGATTCCAACAACAATCGTCTCTCTTGTCAAACAGCTTGTTGTCGTAATTGATTGCTTGAATAATGACTTCCGACAAAATAATTAGTTTGGATAAATTCAGAAATAATTAATTTTGATATCTTCACGAAATCCTCATCAAAACATGGTGATGATGAGAGCCGTATCGTTGCAATTGAATTTCAATGCAAATTATCGAAGCAAAATATACTCATTTGATTTTTTTCTCTAAATGTTATGTTGAATTGTTCCAAGAGATCTGCCAAAAGTGAAATATGCTTTTTCAAAAATGAAAAAACCAAAATAACTCAATTTTGATGATCAAATGAACCTAACTTGTGTTCTTTTTGTACAGTTTTCTTTTTGGTGGTTGGAGACTAGAGATAAATCTAACTTCGATTGAAAAAATCTTGAAATTTTGTACGAACTCTGTTAAACTTCTCTAGCAAGCTCATTTGAAGTTGTTTTGGAGTTTGTGGAAGTGGATTTGCTGTGAGAGTTAGCGCATGAATTGTAGCGCGAGAACTCAAAGATGTTCCATTGCGTTTTGAAGGGTGACATTCTCTTCTTGTAGTTGTTGCAACATAATAACCAAGTCTTGCATCTAATAAATGGATTTTGTTAAACTGTTGTGTAAGAAAACGCTCACAACTTCGAACAATACTCGAGTCTCTAAGAAACTAAAAGTAGTGACTTGCAAAGCAAACAAGATGAAAGAAGTGACACACAAAGAGAGAAATATGAAAGTAATAACGAGAAAACGAAACCGTGTCTTGATATTAAAAAACAAATACAATGGGTGTTGTTGAGGTTGAGGAACGATGTCCGAAGCTCTCTACTTATACTACTATACACTCTAAAGTGGAAAAGTTGGCACCTGCTCCAAGTGCACGACTCTTCCCTGTTGGGTAGAGTATGCATCCCCTGTTGGATAAAGTCTGGACCATCTTCATGTTGAAAAAATAATCCGCGCCTAATCACCTCCAGGTTTTGCAAAGTCTCTCTGCTTGGCTGAAGTCCACCGTCCGTGACTATCATTACATTCTACACAAAGCCATCATCACATGCCACTCAATTAGTGTACAACTTCTACTTTTGGTATTGACTTTCAAAAAGCAAAGTTTCTAACTTCTATAACTTTCGTTCAATTCTTTTTCTCAATCAAAATTTGAGCTCAATAACTATAAGCATATACGATCTTTGACAATTAGACTACCTCAAGTAGGATTTGTAATGATAGAGATGAAAATAACAAACAATGTTTATGTATGTGAAGATGGAGCAAGTATCATATAAATATGAACATCGTCCAAGGTGGCGTCGAGTCTAATGCTGAACACATGAAAAGACTTTTTGTTCATTTTCGAATTTGGTATCCAAGATTTGAGAAGCATCTTCATCACATGTAATACAACCAGACATGTTTTTCGGAAGAATTGTATTCATTTGTTCTTTTATTGAGAAAATAAAAGTGTTTATCCGTTCTTAGAACTAGATATGGTCTAACACCATTAGATCAAAAACTACAAATGTTACATCCACACGCAAAGGAGATACATGGTCCACTTGGGTATGCACAGCATTTTAGTACACGGGACATATGAGTAAGATATCATCATCAAAATTTGATGAATTATTCCTCATACATTCAATGTAATGAAACAATCATCATATCATACTATTATACAAAAAGATTAATCAAGTCAAAACCCAAGACAAGTTGACAGGCCGAAGGTAGATGGCTTGATATTAATAACGACAAGGCTATATCATCATAATTGTGTTGGAAAATCTTGGTACAAATGCTTAGGTGGGCACTTTGAGTGTAATAAAAGTGCATCATATTTTATTTGAGCGTAAATTCATCAATCTCCGCATTGCAAACTAATCAAAATGCAAAACTACTTACATGATGATTGCTCGGACAGCTCACTGTTTCCTCAACGAGATGAGAGCAGGTGACTGTCTGCTGCAGTGCTCAGACAAAACACAGAAGTTAAACACGACAGCTCTCCTTTAGGCACATTCAGGAGCGAGAGTCCAATTTAATCAAACTCCATAAAGTACGAGGTGGCCTTGTACTTTACACATGACCTTACAAGCGTCCACCACAACACGTGGACGACCTTCGATGAAAACAGGGAGGAAAGTTACTAAAAAATCTAAAGATTGTTCGGTGGCATATCCGCAATTCAAACCAACTGGTACAACTAAAACTCTCAAGTACCCTCTACAAGAAGAAGGGCTGCTTCATGAGGGAAGCGTTTGATCTTATTTACTTACACTCAGGCGTCATTGAACTCTCGAATCCTACAGAAGATTCTTTCTCCATGACGAGTGAGAGAGAGGGAAGGATCACTTGCTACGGCTATGTACAAGCGGGAGCTGCAGACTTACGTCAGTCATGAGTTCTCTTACCTTTGTTTCACGTGGTGCACAAGTCAAATTACGCCGAAGGACACAGGGAGCACAGGGACAAGCGTCTAAGCGCGAAGAGTTTGTATGTGGTCTACCAATCGTTGCAAACTGACGACTGACGATCCATCGCTACCGTCGACGGCTGCGTTTGCTTTTCTCCTAAGGTCTATGGCCCTCTCCCTGGCGTCCCTTCCTTCCTGCCCCCTCATGAGGAGCCGGATACCAGCTTCAAGCTCGTCGTGATCAACAAACATATCCAGCTCTTTTCCCGTAACGTCGGCTGCAACTTGATGGAACATTGCATCTCCCTTTTTTTGCGTAATTAGTATGGCAGTCTTCCATACAGACTCCAGTAATCTGCGACATCGAGACCTCACGTATATCAGAGCTAGAAACTAACAGCTATCTCGATGTACTCCTCTGTTCCTAATATGTTAATGGCTGCTGCACAGAAGCCGAATGCTAGTCTCTAATTTTCGGATCCCAGCAGAAAAGAGTAATCTTCTTTCGATCGAAGAACATCAACCGAGTCGACTCAGCTCTGACGAAAGTACTATTTCATCAGTCTGTCAGAACTTCGGAATCATACCTGGCGTTAGCATGCTGGTCAGCTCCTTGAGGCCAAGCCAGGACTGGAACTCCTGCTTTGACACTATCGAGGCAAGAGCTCCAACCACAGTGTGACAGGAAACCCCATATGGAGGGGTGAGTGAGCAGTTGAGGTTGGGGTACCCATCCGCCTAGGACCAAGCCTCGATCGCCGATGCGAGTTTCATAATTTGGAGGCAGCACATCTTCAGCGTCGGTTGAGTCTCGACGAAGAACCCACACAAACCTCTCCTGGCTGTCCTCTAGTGCAACAGCTAGTGCTTCAATTTGTCGTTGCTCGAGCGAGAATACGGTGCCGAAGCACACGTAAAGGACGCTGGAAGGAGGCTGTTGATTAAGCCAGTTGACACATTTCTGCCCATCATCTTCGAGCTGATCCAAAAACGAAATGTGGGCTTGCTTGGGTGAAGTAGAAAGTCCGTCAGATTGCTCTGACTTGACGGAGAAATTGCATTCACTTGACAGCGGCCCGATGGTGAAAACAAGTGCGTCCTGGAGGACGATTGGAGAGAATTATAACCGATTGAAAATATTTCCATGACGACAAAGTCAATTTTGAGATCCAAATATGTGACTAGTCAGAAGGTAGACAAGCACGCATAGACATTCCTGGGATTGATGGAAAAATATCATATCAGAAATTGGAATTGATTTCATACCCTATGCGAACCACTTGCCAAGTTTTCTCGTAAGGAGTTGACAACTGATCGTTCCAATTCCTCAAAAGTGTTAAGCACCAAGCCGTCTGCTCCCACCATAAACTCACCGACCTTTTTAGTTTCTTCAGGATAAGCCCATCTAGACCATGGCAAATCTTCAGCTCTTAAAAACTCGAGACCAGGAGCCTTCGACACGTTATCCATTCCCACAATTGTCCCTTCTGAGATTCTCAATGACCCTTCAGAATATAATTTCTGTGAATACTGGTGCAGTCGGGCTTCGATTGAACCATTGCTGAAGAAGAGGTACCAACCAATCTGCAGTTCCATCGCTACATCCTGTATATTTAACAGCAAGCAACATGCATTTGTGGCTATTCAGTGACAGTATAGTTTGTTCTCAAGTTAATAAAGATAAACAATTATCGGGCTTATAAGAGTGCTCAATCCTGAAACTTACTCGTTGCTTAGGATTGGCCTCATCGCAAACGTAGAGCTTGTGCAGAGTAAATCCCAACTAGCATCATCAGCGTGGAAACTAATACAACGAGTGCTAATATAATGCATTATTGAACCTAGCCCAGGTCACTAAAGCCGGACACAGAATGAAAAGAAGAAGAAATCCTTCATGAAATTGTCAATCGAAAATCAGGTGGTGTAGAGTATGATCATCGCTACCGAACTCGAAGCAGAAGAATCTTGTTGAGAAGTCAGGCAAGGTTACACAAAGAGTCCGAGCAGGCAGGCAATCAGTTCTTCCAGTAGGACTAATAACCAGCTTCATGACAAATTGACCAAAAGAGTGTCAGAGATATGACCTTTGTCCAAAATAGAAATCTATCCGCCATCACACAAGTTGGCCCAGGCTTTCCTGCCTTTTGGTTTCGAAGAAGCTCTTCAAAGTAAGGCTTGAAGGATAATTTTAAGTCCTCCGCTTTCTCAAATATATTGCCTCTTTCAACGCCATCAAGACCCACCAGATTGATTCGCTGTTTTTCCAGTTGCTCGTCTGTGTACAACTTGCGAATTTGTGCGATGTATTTGCTCAGTGTAACAAATGTCACCGTCACGCCCCTGCAAGAAAGAGCCTCCCCCATCCTAAAACAAGCTGCAATATGTGCCTGGCTGGAAAAGGAGAGCAATAAGACATGCGGTTCCATGGGAGCTGCTGTAACCTGGATTTGAGAAACACTGAATTTTTTTGGAAGCAGAACACAAGTCACAACAGTAAGTACCAGCATTTACGATATTTACATCTTAGCTTTCACGATTATCTTCACAACACTATTACAACTGAAAAAAATGTAAGTCAGTTGAGGTTCAGGAACAGGCCTTCAAGTGCGTTATCTAAGTTGCAGAACGAATTGAGGAAAAGAAATTCCTCCACTCATACTCAGAAAGTCTGACCAAGTCATTTACCATTAAAAATGTGAATGAGTTGAGCTCAGTCTACGGGAGTAAGGGACGGGTACAATTCGAGCGAGGCAGCACCTTGGAACATTTTTATGTTATTCCGATGTCAGCATACAACACAGCAAAATATATACAAAGTCCGAAATCAATAGTATAATTTTTAGAATATAATTTTTAATAGTTTTTTCCTTTAATTCCCAATCTACAACTGGTAGATTTATTGGACATACACTTACACAAACTTCGCAAGCAATACACTTATCAAAGTTCAAAATGAAGACGACCACGAAATCGTTCAGAAGGTAGTAAGGACTTCACCTCAGACAGATGTCGGGTGCGGACGTTGGATAATTGAATTTGGTCGAGCTTCTCGATACGATGATGTCGTCTCGGGCCTGCTCAAAATCTCCTGATTTCAAAATGAACGTTAAAACCTGAGACTAGTGTTAGCGTTGCAATGACAACCGACGATATTTCCGTATGTGATTATGTGAAACTGCACTGCTACACCGATGCCAACTGAAACTGGAACGCTCTGACGTATTCACTCCAGAAGGTTCGTCCCATCAACGATCGCTCTCCAGCTGATTTCAAGTTTGAGTAGCTAAGAGATGAACAGGCATCTGCAATACCCCAATCTGTAAGGTGATAGTTCGAACGATTCTGACAAAACAAACTGCATCCCGCGTTCGCCTCAAACTTCACAGAAGCTGACTTAAATTCGATGTCAAGGCGTACCTTGAGCCTTTCTATCTTTGGACAGATAGTTCTTACAACAGTAAACCTGGTAGCACAGCCCACATCGCTTTTGATTTTCATAATCTCTCTATCTCCTGCGATCTTCCTTACACCAAAGACACCAACGTGCCGTCATGTGAATTGCAGGGATCCTGCAATCATTGACTCAGTCGTTTTTTGTGAATAATGCAACCCCAAGCTCATCACCCTTCTGCAGCTTTCGACGTGCTGGTGCCGGCTAGGCAGACGGAGGAGCTAAGGCTGCTCTTTCCAGCTCGTCGATATCAGCAGAACAAGTAGCGAGAATAAGAGGTTGACACCTGGAGCTCAACCGTTCCGGCACTTTGCAGCATGCATCACCTGAGCTCGAGACACATTTCCACACCGGTGCTGCACCTGCCCCTACCATTACAGCAAATTGGTCTCAGAGACTCGTGCTCTGCCTCGCCTGCGCCTGCGCAGCTTGGTCGAAATCAACGGGTAGATCGAACTGCCAACCGGCGATGTTCCGAAACTCAGTCGACGCAGTTCAAACGCAACACACCGTCTGGTTTCAGAGCTCTACTCTAAACCCAGACGGTCTCCGTGATCGACATGACCGCAAATCCGGTTGTCGGGAGCGAAATATAGATCGTTCGTGATGAGCCGGGCATGAACAAGCCCACGAACCTGATGCAGAAATCTGAACAGGGAGCGAGCGCGAGAGCAGCGGAAGTGGAGACAATGACCTGCTTCAGGGGTGAAGATTCTCTCCCACACCGTCGGGTCAAAAACAGAAAGGTATCAATCTCAAGGATCTGTCTCTGACAGCGTACGGACCGTTTGCCCGTACAGGCTCGCTATCATTAGACTCTCGGTGTCAAATTCTCCGCGCTGCCATGTCAAATTCTCCGTCCTGACTGACAATCATTGCCTGCGTTATGAACGTCACCCTGTGATTCTTCCGTCGGAACCGAAGGAAAGATTCAAGGTGGGGACCGAGAATACCGGGATCCTAGACATCCTTCCTGTGCTCCCCTGTGTATAACGTTTAATCTTCGCTGGATTTACCGATGCATGGATAGAACGCAAGTATATAAATTATTTGGACTTAATGGTATTTTTCCACACGACTTATACGTTATAGCATGGCCCCAGCTCACAACATGAAAGCAATGTAACCTTACTGAACATTATCCAATCTCCACATAAGTCGAATGTACATACACTTTCACTGTCAAAAGAATCAACTAACATGGATTCACTGATTGGTATTATGTGTAAATCAACATATATTATAAAATTATATATCATCATCTGTTCAACACTTTACTTTGTTTACTTTCTTTTCTGTTCATTGAAAATGATTGATCTAGTGAATAAATGAGATCTTTTAAGACATGAAGATCATGTACACCATAACAAAATGTAGTTTTATCAAGAAACTCTAAGTATATCCTAAGAACTTATTGCTAAGTATTAGGACAAATATTTGTTAATTATGGTTAATTCAATAAATATTAGTTAGATTCATCAATTCCCATTGAATAAAATATTTTTTTAAGCTCTCTTGATACAAATTAGAGTTGCGATAAATAGAAACTGTGAATAGATGTATTCTCGATGTATGTATATGATAAGTTTGTTGCAAAAAATTTCATTGTGTATTGACATTACATCCATGCTTCTACTTTTAGAATGGAATAGATAGTCTAGTCTATCTAGCATAATCAATCAATAAAAAATTTAAATTATAAAGATCTATCACTTGTGAATTTTTTGAATTCAAATATTCACACAACCAACAATTACATACATCTTATATACAAAAATAATCATTTTAATAATGTGATATGATATATTGGACTACATACACAAAAACTTAAAACTATTGTATCAACAATAATACTAATTGCATATTTAGAATCACAATTAACAATAATTATATATGATGAAAATTTATTCTACTAAATAATTAGTTTTAAATTAACTAAAAATTCAATCATCTTGAATCAAAAATTTTATATTCACGATAAAAAATTTATAGAGCAAAATGATAAAAATTATAAGAACTTATATTATGATCTTTGAGCTTATCTATTAAATTTTACCTCACATGACTTCTTAATAACTTATCATTTATTTCAATCTTTTATATTTTTTCAATTGTCAATAGTTAAACACATATTATCTATTCATTCATCTCGTGAATTATATTTATTAATTATGGATTTTTAAGGATAAATATAAACTAAGATTGATATATAACAAATTAATTTATAAATTCAATGTCAATATTGCTTATGATTTATATGTAAATATTGAATGTGTTAGGTTAAAATACTAAACTAAACATATTTGTGCTTGTTAGTTAAATATTGAGTGTGTTAATTGAAAGTGACACATAAGAAAATTAAAGTATTATTTGAAGCATTATTAATTAATCAAAACTAAACAAAAAAACTTCAATGATTTAGATAGACTTGAATAATATATAAAACAATTTCTATAGTTTTCACGTCAACATTTTGTTTGCTTTGCATACAAGTATTGAATGTGTTAGGTGGAAACAATAAGTTAAAAACGCTTGTGCTTGTTAGTTAAGAATTGAATGTATTAGTACATTCAGATCTTCATTTACAAGTTAAAAACAGAACGTGAGCAATCTATTTGTGTGTTGAAATTTTTTGTCTATCATAAATTTATAGTGAAATGGATGATAAAAGTGACATCTTAATTTTTATTTATTATTTTTGTGTGTTAATTTTTTTATCACTGTGTATGATGTTTTCAATAATTTTTTCTAAATATTTTAGTGTTTCAAGGACTTTAAAGCCAACTTGTTTCTTTAAGGTTAGATTATTCATAATGGTTGAAAAATGGTGATAAAATTTAATTTTGATAGTGTTTAAAGATTAAAAATGATCATTGATCACGAAGTTTGTTGATTGAGTCAAAATATATATATATATATATATATATATGATTTATAAATATAAATTTAATTAAAAAAAACAAAAAATCATCTTCATTTCATGAAAAAATATTATTTAAAATAAATTTTATAAACTTTCCAGCTGCAAAATTTACATTTGATATGTAAATTTTGCATTCTCATTCATGCTTTTGATCTTAATTTAAGAAAGACATACAATTACATCACTTACCATATATATGTAATGCTTGATAAATTTGATATGTGAAGAATCTGTTTTAATTTCATTCAATAACATGTAAAAATTATGAAAAATTGTTTTAAAATAAAATGTGAAGAAATTTTTGTGCAAATATTACAGAGTTGTTATAACATTACATTTATCTTTTGTTGATCTTATTTTGAGAGATATGATAGTCATCATTCTTACATTGTACTTATATGAGTCGGTGAAAGCATAAGTATACTATTTGATATGGTAAATGGTAAATAGATCAAGTAAGTGGGATCCAAAAGGTCAAAAGGCTGAAAAAAAGAATAAAGAATAAGATATTAAATACAGTCATCCTTAGGATTAAATTATTGAGTAAAAAAATAATTTTATAAATATAAAAAGTAAAAAGCCATACTGCATAAAGTTTTTGCATTGAAGAATAAAATAAGAAAAAATTAGCATATTGAAGAAATTATTATTGAAATTAAAGTATCAAAGATTCAAATTCAATCAGAAGCAACTTACTTCAATATTATGAAGGCAATAAGAGTGTGTGTTCAAATCCAAATTTTTTTAAATGAAAGACTATGTAAGTTAAAGATTTATCCTTTAATTCTAGAAAAATGGATCATGATGTCAAATAGATACTTGTTTTATTTTCATATTTCTGATTATATTGCAAAAATATTCAAAAAATTTTATTTTAGTACTACAACTCTTATGGTTTATCACGAGAATAATATTGTCGGAACGAATATTTCAATTTCATATTCTGAAAGTTTGTGATCAATCTAAAGTCTTATTTTTTAATCTTATAATTAAGAGTAAAATAAATGATACAGATATAATACTTTCTTTTTGTACACATTAAGAAGAGATATATGTTTCAAAAAAAATAATCATTTGATATATCCTTCATCTTCAAAGTTATTGTGTATTTTTTGTGTGATTTTTATTATTTTTGATATTAGATCTTTTTCTTGTTTGATAATTTAGACTCATTGAATAAAGTATCTTCAAAGTCAAATTATAGTTGAATAAGATGAGGTTAACTTTGTTTAAGGAGTAACCTCAAGTTATAGCTATTTTTAACTAGGTGTGTTGCTGGCTTTGGGTATAAATATACCCCCAAGGCTTGTTCTTTGGGAGTATTTAGTATTAAGTTGTAAGTAAATCTTCTCGTGCGTTTTAGACGTGGATGTAGCCCTTGAAGGTGAACCACGTTATATGAGTGTCTCGTGTGTTTCTACTTGGCTTGAATGATTCCTCGTTTAACGTTTAAGAACTGGTATCAGAGCTAGGTTATGATTCAGAGTTGATCCAGGTTTTGGTAAAATGTTTTTTCCACGTAACAAAATTTGTTTTACTTTTCTGAAAGTTTCTTCATAGAAGAAGTTTTCTTCTTTTTCAGTTTTGAGTTTTCTAAATCCTATCGCCAGTTTGTGTAGTCTCAGAAGTTTTCTTCAGTTTTCAGTTTTCTGAATATTGTTGACACTTTATGTAGTCTCAAAATCTTGAGTTTTTCAAAAATCTTGAGTTTTTCTTTTCTTTCAGTTTCCTTATTCTGACAGTTTTTTGTAGTAGTAGAAGTAGACTTCGGTTTTTTTCAGATTGCTAATTCTCAGTTTGTGGTTGAGTAACTAAGTACTTTGACACTTGTTGTGATTGACAAATTAACAAAGTGCTATGAAGTTCTGGTTCTGCAGTAGTAGGGGCAGGCAGAGGAGAAAGTGCTCGGGTTGGTGGAAAAACTTGATAGTAGTTCGCTTCTGCAGAGTCCAAGTCTGCGAGAAGAGAAGTCGAGATCGAGGAGAAGTCGAGGTCGGTGGGAGCACGAGTGTGGAATAGAGAGGAGACTAGATTTTGGCGATCAGTGAGGGTTAAGTGCATGCAGCGGCGAAGGAGTGCGCCCCCTTTCGAGGCAGGAATCCTGACATGCAAGGAACCCCTTTCCTCTCTGAGCTACAAGGACATTTGGTTAGGGCTTTCGGCCAAGCGTCTTTTGTTCTACAGGAGCGGAGTGAGTGTAGTGATGAAGGAGTGTCATTCGAGGACATTTGGTTAGGGCTTTCGGCCATCCCAACCCTCCCGCGTGTCACCTTCCCGGAGCAGCCACTCCCGCGCGGCGGGGCTCTTGCCGCCCCCCGAGGCAAGGCCGGAGCGGCCCTCTCCCGCGTGGCAAGAGTGGAGTGCATGCAGCGGAAGTTAGGGCTTTCGGCCACCCCTAACCCTCCCGCGTGTCACATCCCCCCTCCTCCTGGAGCGGACACTTCCGCACGGCAGGGCTCTTTCCGTCCCCCGAGGCAGGGCCAAAGCGGCCTTCATCCCTCCTCCCGCGCGACGTGGCTCCCCTAGTGCGGAAATGACTCGTCGAACGGTACGCGTGGAAGAACTTGTGTAGTCAGACGTGATCAGTGTACGTAATCGCGGTTGACGTGGTTGTGATGGACGTGGTAGCAGTTGACATTGTTATTATCAACGTGAGAGCAGTCAAACGTAGTCATGGTGTACCGCAGTAACGGTTAGCGTGGTAACACTCAAGAAGGACGTGGTAAGAGCTCACGCAATCGTGGTTATGGTCAATGTGGTGTGCGGACTTGATCGATGCATACGTGGTGAAAGCGCAAGCACTCGTGGTCAGTAGGAACGTGATCACTGGTGTATCAAGATGTATGTGTACTAACGGCGACTG